TCTCCTTAGTACATTCACTGTCTTTGCTTCTTCTGACAGACGGCATATAGACAATGTTCCGACCATCTCGCTGACAGATACAGTGAGTCTTCTGCACAGATGCTCATTGTTCCCCTCCGATTGACCGTGATGCTCTGTAGGAGTGGGTGCGGTTCTTTGTTGACTTCTTGTTTCACTGATGATTGCCACAGATGTGAGTCTGTTCGAAGTTCGCTACCCAAGGCTGATTACTGACTGGATTTGTCAGGCTGGATTATAACCGTTATACAGAGTTGTATTAGTGTTTTGGTATCTGTGATGCTATGGGGTGAGCTTGGCACTTGCGAGGCCTCTCTGATATTGACTGGAATGAAACATGCTGCAAGCCATCATCGTCACTCGGTTGCATGCCATGTATCAACGATCCAGAAAGATCCAGATATTTCTCATTGTCACCTTCCTGGTTATCAGTGTTTTCGTCGGAATGGTCAGCATAATGTCAATGATGCATACGTCAGGGGGTACGCTTAATTATGGATGAAAGCAAATGTGCACGGGGCTCAATGATGAATACCAGAGGAACACATTCTCTCCCGCTCTTATCATTGCTGGATTGACTATACGGAAAATACCCTACTTCTGCTTTGCATTTCTTGGATACTCAGCACCGTATGGGAGGCCCTCGCACTGTGTCTGGCAATCTGGGTTGCAGTAAAACATTTCCGTGAACTGCGACAACATTCGGCAGGAGGGATTATCCGGGAGTCTTTTACGGTGTTAATGGAAACTCACGTGGTTTACTTTGCGAGGTAAGCTCATATTGTGATTGTTGTTCCTTTTTTTCCGCTGAAGGGTCGGACGTGATAGCTTTGTTGTTGTTTCTTGCTGCCAGCTCACTATCGATTTTTCTCCAATGCTCTCATCAGTATGTTAATCTTTCCCTCATCTCTGCATGCTACCACATCTTACCGTTTCTGTAGGGACTTTCCCTGGACGCTCAATTTTATGTTGGGTTTCTTCAGATTGCTTCAGTCGCACAGATGTTTGTGCTGGGACCACGCATGATCCTTGGCATTCGAGAATACTATGCTAAGCTCGCGGCCGATTCTGATGCAGCGGCAACTTCTATGTCCTCAATGGCTTTCCAGGAGCGTGTCCATGTATCGACTGGCAGTGGTGTATAACACGCAATACGTTAATGGTTGTCTGGTGTTCTGCAGGAAGCAGGAATTTATTTTGTCTCCATTCCGAGTCCAAGCCTCGTTGCGATACTTAAGTAATTATTCGGTGTCCTCAAGTAAATTCAACCAATATCCTGCATATCCTTACTATACTAGCGAAGGAAAGCAGTGTACTGAATGAGCAGGTCGAGGAGCGAGAGATGTTTACCCTGGAACGTTAGGGTGCAAGTTGCAACTCGCTCTTGCTTCTCATCCTCGAGGACGATTCACGACTTACCTCTCATAATACATAGACGTGATCCGAACACGATCTGCCAGGGTGAATGATTATCGATTAGCTTCGGCGGGCCCAGCCGTACGTGAATATGTAAACCCCACACCTGATGGCATTCATGAGCTTCTGAGTATTACTCCACCACTGCATGTCTAAGAACAACCTCGGCCGGGCAGTGCGAGGAAATACATTGTGGCAAGCGACAGATCGCGTTCAATGGCACATCAAAGTAACCAATACTAGATAGTAAGCTTGGTGCATTCGCGGTCGTCACCCAAACTATGATTAGTAGTAAGTAGTGGGAAGCCTAAATTGAGAATCTGAGTTAGAGGCTTGTGGGCACCTTCGTCATGGCAAGGGGTAAAACATTCCCCTTGCCGTGACCACTGACCGTAGGCTACTACTTGATGGCGCGTTGCAGCGCCCATTGTTAACGTTAATTGAGCATCCGATTCCTATGGACCCATGGTCAGGCAGAGTATTTTAAAAAATTTAGGCTAGTTCGGAGTACGAAGTTGTATTTTTAGAATGGTGACCCACTTTACTTCCGCTGAGTCGCTCCATCACAATGTTTTGTAAACCTACTAATGGTCGATGGTCCTGTGGCACGACCAATCCAATGGGTCGTCGAGAACGACATGGAGATCTACCAGGTGAAGTCAAAATGTCTTGGCATTCGCGTGTCGTAGCACTAGTACTCACTTATTGGCACCAGGGTGGTCATCCGAGGTTCTTATACTATAGGAAGACCGCAGTACGGGTCCAATTGATCCGCGGCGCAAGGTGTTTAACTTGTATTTGTAAGTATAACTCAGTGTAATCATACACTGTAATCTCAGCGTATCCGTTACTCATCACATCAAGTCACCACCTCTCTGTTCTGGAGTATTTAACGCGTTGCAAAGTAGCGGGGTATCCGAATCGTGACTATCAGCAAGCCGGACCATTTCAATGGCGATTATCATTGCATGCACCCTTATCATTATGTTAGCCAGCGTCTGGATAGTGAAACAACGATATCAGGCCACAAGGCGGTTGCCATTACCGCCTGGACCGCCTGGACGTTGGCTATTGGGAAATACAATGCCAAAGTCATAGTAAGTCTCTGTCAAGGGACACCAACATTATCTCTATCTAACCCCTCACGCAGTGCACCGTTTCAATTCGCGAGATGGACAGAACAATACGGACCTGTGTTCTCGCTCAAACAAGGCCATAGGATTTTCGTAATCATAGGACGTCATCAGGTCAGCTTAAAACAATTCATTGTCTAGCCAGGCATGAAGTAGATCACGTCATAGGCTGCAGTGGATATCATGGAAAAAGAGGGAGCAAATCTGGCCGACCGCCCGCGTTCTATTGCAGTGCACGAGACGTTGTCTGGCGGGTTGAGAATGGTCCTTGAGGGCAGTGGTGAGAGATTGCGCCGACTGCGCAGGTATGCATCTTGTCTTTATCATGTGCGATCAGTCAGACTAAATGTAAAGCAGGGTGCTGCACGCAGGCTTGCAACCCAAGGTTGCGGAGACCTACGAGCCCATCCAGACCAGGCATGCAAAGAATTTAGTTCTAGATATCTTAAATGATCCAAAGAACCACCAGAGTCATGCCATGCGGTACGAACATTAGCTCTTGCTTGCGCAGTACAGGTGGTAATCCGAGCATATTAGTTATGCAGCTTCTGTGGTCATGTCCTTCACCTATGGAAAAATCACTCCGACTTCATATACAGATCCTGAAGTCGTTGCCGTCAATAAGGCTCTTGCGCGTTTTGGTCAGGCTTTGAAACCGGGAGCATACCTCGTGGATACGTATCCAATCCTGCGGTTCGTCCCAGGCTACCTGAGTCAGCTGAAGGCGTGGCACAAAGAAGAACATGCTCTCTATGAAGGGCAGTTGGACGCGGTGCGAAGACAGATGGTTCGTGATTTTCTTGTGATGATATTTACTCGCTCACCATTGTGAAGCGTGAGGGGACTGCAAGGCCATCCTTTGCCAGGTTCATTTTAGAGCACCAAAAACAGTACCAGCTCGAAGACAAGGAACTGGGATTCATTGCGGGAGGGATGTTTGCAGCCGGTTCTGATACAGTAAGCTCTTGCATTACATTACATCGCGTCTTCACTTGACAACTGTTGTAGACTTCGTCCGCAATCACAATTATGATGATGGCTGCTGCCACTCACACAGATGCGCAGGCTCGCGTACAAGAAGAACTCGATAACGTCGTGGGGCGTACGCGGCGTAGGTTATGCCTTTTCTTTGTCCATCTACTGACTCAAATAGCTCTCGATTAGTGCCGACTTTTGATGATCAGGAAATGCTGCCGCAGGTTACCGCGTTCATGCTCGAGAGTCTGAGGTGGAGACCTGTCAGTCTTGGAGGTACGTCTTATTTGACTTGTGATGATGCGATAAAGAACGACCACCTTTCACTACAGGGTTTGCGCATCGCGCGACTAAGGATATCATTTGGAAGAACTACATCATTCCGGCAGGTACGACTGTTATTGGCAACCATTGGTCAGTAAGCAATCATATTCGTCCTCTGACCTTTGGGTCTGATGCTCGTGTTTCAGGGCTATCGCAAACGATCCTGAGGTCTTCCCGGAACCACACACGTTTAATCCTCAGCGTTGGATTGACGATGCAGGTCGTGTGCGCGGTGATATCCGATTTTTCACTTTTGGTTTTGGCCGCCGGTGAGTGGTATCGTTCATCTCTTGACCATTTCTTATGCCTTACTTGAAAATGTCAGAGTGTGTCCTGGTCAACATGTCGCGAGTCGGTCGGTCTTCATCAACACGGCTCTTATTCTCTGGGCTTTCTGCCTTTCAGAGAATCCTGCAGCAAAGATTGATACGCTTGCATTCTCGGACACTGCAAACATACATGCTGCTCCGTTTGAGATATGTTTGGAGAAGAGGATCGATGAGAATGTAGTCAGGGAACTATGCGCACCGGGGAAGTAAACTTCTCTATGAACTTGAAAGTTCTCATGCAGAGTGACGTAGCGACAGAATTCTTGTGTCTTTTGCTCTTTTTTCAACGTCCCAGATTTGCAGGGCTTTATTTTTTGAAGCAGTGGCGATCCATCGACTATCTTAGGAGAAGGCGAGCGTCGTCACTGTTTTCGTGTGTACTTGTATCATTTGTGTTAGGGCCGGCGTCCCTCGCCTTCTCACCATAATCAATGCTTTCTTTACCACATCGCGATGCAATCCTGACATCACTGAACAGGGAGATGGACGGTCAATAGTGTATTATTATGATGCTGTTTATTACCCGCGATTCCATATATCTTGCTTTGCCTCTCCCCAAAAGCTTTTGTCCTTGGCTGTCACGAGTTCTTGTCGAACATAGCTGTATTTATGGTTCGTGCAACACCATTTGTAAGATGCGTCTCGTTCGATAGTGACTGAGCTCAGTTGTAGTGACCCATCACCAAGTTTCGGTGGATCTTTAATTAGCACAATTGAAGCCGCCCACCGTACTGTGTTGTGTCGATAAACCAACCAAATTCTCCCTCACTTCCAGAGTCGAGGATTACAACAACCGATGAAGTAAAAATGTGAAATCAAAACAATGGCCGACAAAGTTCCTTGAAACATAGTAAAACTACAAGGTTACAAAGGGTGGAAACAGATCGAACAGAGCAGCAGCGCTACGATCATGATCTATCATACATAGGAACATGCTCTACATCGCTTTTCATTTTACTACAATCGTACAGTCATGATCCGAGTTGTATTGAATTATCATGCATCTTGTAATTCCCACTGCAAGTTACGTAGCCTGGCAGTACTTCCGAATTTGACGAGGGCTTCGAGAGTGGTTTGGGATGGTGCTTCCTTCTGCCGAGAGACAAGCCCACGCAGCTGGCTCGCAACAACGGGATGTTGGCCTAAGAATGGAAATGTGGTTCCGCTTATTCCAGAAGCGTAGATCCGCAGACATCGGTCCGTTTCAGCGTGATTTGGCTCATTCTCCGAGAATGTAACGTTAAGCTTTGGTTCCACATCGAGGTCGAGGAGAAGAGCGATGTAGGGTAGATTCGATAAACACTGGATCGAATCATGCGTGCGAGTGACCGACCATAAGTCATGCTCATGGCGATTCTTCCCCGCTTTGTCGGAAATAAATATCTGTGACACGCGATTGAGATCATCGGAGCCGAGGGCAGGATCGTCGAAATAGATGGGAATCATCTTGTCGACGAGCGGCTGCAAATGACAGCATTGGACCGCGCTTGTGCGATGCCAGTGGCGCAAAGTCCACTCTTTTGCGCTGCATCTAGCACTATACAGAGGTGATAATCTTAGATACAATATCGCAATGCCTGGAAGCTTGCTTACCTCAACGAATCAGCGTCAGTTTGATCGGGAACTGGAGGTGAGATGAACTCTGTCATAGACACCCAGTGCGAGAAATTGATGTAAGCATGCTGAAAAGCGGCCTTGGCCTCCTCAATTGTCCTCGACCAGAATGTCTCGCCAAATAGGTACTCCAGGAAATCGACGACGGAGACCTTCCGGCAGTCGATCAGTTCCGCATCCCCACTTTCGTTATAGTATAAATCCCGGATCACGCCTTTGGGGGGGTCCTTGCGGATAAAAAGATCCTTAGCGAGAAGCAGCAAAAGCCTGCTGGCCAACTCCCCGCTCTGTCCTATCTCGACCATCCCACCATCAATCTTTTTTTTCAAGATCCCCAAAACAAAATCCACATCGCTAGGCGTCCTATGGACTATCATTGCTGCAACGCAAGACAGAATGGGCTCCGATGGATAACCGGTGAAGGACCACATCCTATCTTCGGTCGTCGAAAAGCATATGCGCAGGTAACTAGCTACTGCCTTTTCGAGATAAGACACAGCATCGGGGTGACCCAAGCAAATGTCGAGACCGAATCTTTGGGATAGGATAGCAAGAGCCTGGTTCGCATCGTTCGCGTGAAATGTCATCGATTTGCAGAGTTTCTGGGCAGCCAGTTCCAAAACTTCAGAGATAGTACGTTTCCCTACAAGTGACTTCCATCTATTCATAGTGGTCAACGAGATTGAAAACGAGAATAAAAACATATGGACAAACAGTGGACGACCGAATCCAACGATGTGATCAAAGCTAGCAACATTATTCGCCAATGTACCAGACAGAGGATCCGCATTCTGGTCCCAACCAAGATGTGTATAGGGCGGATAGAGGAGTTGGCCGGCTACCGCTACGCGCAGAGAATCATCTGCTAGATTGTTCAAGGTTGGGAACAGGCAGCGTATAGCAGGTACTTACGGATCGACTGAGGCGCTGAAAAATCTGCCACTTGCGAGGTCGTGGATGCAAAGACGACCCAGACCGATGCATCGCTGTTCTTGGAGTAGCAGTTGATCGTCCTGCCAATGATATGTGATGGACGAAAACCCTTTTTACTCATGTTGCTCAGAGGGTGGGCCTCGTCAAATGCTATCACGAGTTTGGGATCATGATTCGAGACCTGATCCCTGTTCTCAGTCAATATACGTTGTAGAACCATCAGCATGTTGTTATAAGATGTCGTGACGAATGATTCGCCTTCCAATTTGGGCGCCACGATCTTCTCGTCTGTTTACGCAGTGTGAGCTCAGATGGCTGCATTGCGCAAATCACAACAATTACCTGTGAGAGACATACTCCCTAACTTTGCGGCGGTCTCCTCTGCTGTTGGCGCAGCGGGGTTCACGTCGGTTTTCTCTCCGGGGTTTGGTATTTTGATCTTGGTAAGGGTCTGTTGCAAACTTATTGGGCCCATCTGTCAAGAGACTATGACTTTTCCTGCTCACCTCCTCATATCGAGAATGGACTTTCTGAAAGAACTCGTCACGAGCGTTCGACCGCATATTGCACATTTGGTCATTCCATGATTTGATTACAGGATCAGGATTGCCGGAGCGTAGCCGAGGTAATTTGCCGCTCAGATCCTCCTGAAGCGTCTGAAATATGGCCGTAAAGAACGCGCAACAACGGGCGGTATACTCGGCTGCAGTGCAGTCCGTATCTTCCGTCAATATACGCGCGGGCACTAGGTCTCGCATAGGGAAGCCCGGATCACTTCGATCACGAAGGTTCATGTACAACACAATAACACCTTTGTTCCGAAGCTAATTTCGATGCTTTAGCCACGTGATACGAACATGGACTGTAAAACGCTGACCTCGATCATTAGTCTTGATTTTCCCGTACCAGAACTTTGGACGATCGAACAGAACTTAGCATAGTATGGCCCATGCAGGCCCCTGAACTCCATGTTGTTATTTTTCAGGTACTCGTAGAAACCGTCCACAGCCTTGCCAACGTAAGGTCTGACGAATGAATCGTAAAGAAAGTTTGACCGGTCCTCAACTAGGATACAACTGACCTGAGACGTGACTGTAGATGTTACAAGATAGAAGTCTCTCACCTTGAGACGACTGCACGGGATCGGTAGCTTGGGGTATTTGAAATATTGCTGCATTTCCAGCGGCTGTCAACAGAGGGACATTCATGTCGCTAACACGAACACTCACTGAGGTCAGCGATGTGAGAGAACGAGCGCGTCCGACAGGCGTGGCGGATGATTTCCCGCAGTTGAGGGTGTCTGTGTAGTGTTGCCTCCCGTGCCATGTCCAGATCAAGATTGTCCTTCAGGTGTTCACGTTTGAGCAATCTACTGGCCGCCCAAAGAGTTCGTTCCATGATCGAGGCAAGCATGGAGTCCAAGAAATCCGATGTGGCGGCCTCTTTATCTTCATTGATCATCTTCAGGAAGGAACCATTGGCCTCAAGTAAGTCTCGATCGAGCTCATCACGTTGTTGCGATGTGAGCGGCAGGAGTGTTATGGGAAGATCCTGTGGTGTTGATGTTGAACCTGACATGGCGGAGCGTGTCGATGCAAAGTGATCAAAACGCTGAAGTTGTGCTGTTCGAAGGGATTGAAAGACGATTCAAGCGGCGCGTCTGAGACCACTGCCTATATCAATATTAATAGTCCGCGCTTCTGTGCCACTGATCCTAGGAGTATCATTCGAAGAATCGAAGGGAGAGCACAATACATTGGCAGACACCACAAGGTTACATAATGGTAATTACTAAGCGCTCACACGAGGTTCCCATAGTCTGTTTAAATTAAACTCGTCCAAAAAATCCTGTACATCTTCCCTGTCTTTGAAAAAATCTGTCTCTTAAGCCATATTCGTGACTATATCTCCTAGTACGTACTATTTTGGGCGGCTACTTACATAAGTTTGGAGTACATTTTTAGAATGGTGACCCACTTTGGCGCTTGCGCTAGGCTCCGGGTCGACCTTCATTACAATGTTTGTAAACCTAATGGTCGACGGTCCTGTGGCACGACCAATCCAATGGGTCATCAAGAACGGCATGAAGGTCTACCTTGATCTTCGGATTCGGAGTCGAAATGTCTTGGCACTCGCCCTACTACCAATCACCAGGGTAGTCATCAGGCTCTTATACTATCATAGGAAGGCCGCAGGACATGACATCCGATTGATCCGTGCAGGTGTTGAACTTGTCTTTGTATAAGTTAGTGCGACCATGCACTGTAATCTCGCCGTATCTGTCGCCTATCATGGCAACTAGTAACTACTCTGTTCTGGAGTACTTAACTCATTGCGAAGTGGCGGGATATGGTGAGTATCAACCATTTCAATGGCGATTATCATTGCATGCACCCTTATCATCCTAGCCAACGTCTTGATTGTGAAACAACGATGCAAGGTGGTTACCATTACCTGGACGTTGGCTATTTCGTCTTCTGACTTTTCTGCCTGATGCTCGTGTTTCAGGGCTATTGCAAACGATCCCGCTTGTCTTCCCAGAACCATACACATTTAACCCTCAGCGTTGGATTGACGATACATGCCGTGTGCACGGTGATATCCAATTTCTCACTTTTGGCTTTGGCCGCCGGTGAGTGGTGTCGTTCATCTCTCGACCATTTCTCATGCCTTACTTGAAAATGTCAGAGTGTGTCATGGTCAACATGTCACGAATCAGTCGGTCTTCATCAACACGGATCTTGTTCTGTAGGCTTTCTGCCTTTCGCAGAATCCTGCTGCAAAGATTGATGCGCTTGCATTCCAACATATATGCTACTTCATTTGAGATATCTTTGGAGAAGAGGATCGATGAGAATGCGGTCAGGGAACTATGCGCACCGGGGGAGTAAACTTCTCTAGGAACTTGAAAGTTCTAATGCGGGGCGACGTAGCAACTGAATTCATACAGGTTGTGTCTTTTGCTCTTTTTTCGACTGTCTTAGAAGAACACGAGAGTCATTACTGTTTTCGTGCGTACTCGTATCATGCCATGTGTTTACATACGCAATCGCTCTTCGTTACATATCTCATACACGTTCTCCTTTGATTCTCCGTCTCAATCAGCGTATTAAGACTTCCCCCCGGCGAATTTCCTCCTTAGTTTTTTGACCCAATTACCAGTCTCGTTCCTATTCCTAGTCCGAGCGTGAGCGTCTCGATTCGTCACACGATCCTCATCTCGTGTCAATGTAAAGTGATTAAAACTTTGAAATTCTCCTGTCTGAAGGGATTGACGCGGCCCGTTTGAGACCACTGCCTACATAAATATTAATAGTCCGCTCTTCTGTGCCACAAGAGCATGTCCTACCATGACCTCCGGACCTTGAGTGAGTGGTAGCAAGCGCTCTTCATGGACCCAGTGAGGAGGGACCCACCAGTACTTGTCACTGTGAACCGTTGGATTGACACACTACCAAACGAGCATCAATGAACCACGAGTCAGCTACTAGAGTATGAGGGGGAACTTACCAGTAGGTATGCCTTCTTATCATTGATACCGCCCTGCTTGAACTTTACAGGAAGAGGTCTTCCGCACCCAGGCTTCGGACAATGACTGTTGGAAGGTGGTAGGTAGGATGCTGGGTTCATGCCAGATGTGCGTGCCCTGTATGTGCTGATAAGATTAGCGGTGTAGCACGTACCGAGGTGATTCAAAAGTCAGCCCAAGTCCACCATGGCCTGGTCGTCTTTATACCAAGCGCACTGTCTTGCGCTGCGCCGGAAGAGCGGTTTCAGCGGTGATGAGTGATCTGCTATCACTCGGAAATTGTTTAACTCTCACAGATTGTCAGCAAGGTACGAGCAAAAACGGTGATAAGTGACCTGTAACTTATCGCTCTGAAATTGTTCGGCAAGGTACGAGCAAAAACTCAGTGATGAATGATGAACGATGTGAAGGTCACCGCATGGGCCCCATTGATATTTTCGCTCTTTTTCTTGTAAATGAGGTACAGAGCACTGTAGCTACACTGCCTCTGATATTGGTAGTATATAGTATTGGTTCAGTATGACCTGTTCAGTATGACCTGTTAAGTGTATCCTGACTATTATATATGGTGCAAGCCAACTAACTGTACGCACTGCGAACTTCGAAGAGCGAGGCTTGGCGGCTGGCCAGAAAATGTTGATATATTGTTAGGACATATTTTGAGCGGTAGTGTACTACTTACTACTAATTATCAGAGCCGACAAAAGGTCTTTACGTTACACTGCTGGTACCTTGGCTTGGCAGCCGTTCGGTGGCGGAGTGGTGACAGCATCTCCGTCTCTAGTCAGTGACTCAGTAGGACAGGACTGAGATGTTTCTATCTCGACGACTCTTTTTATAAGTAAGCGTCCACAAATGAATATCATACGACTAATCTCATATTCTGAATTGAGTCTGCGTTCGTACCTTGGGCCTTGCGTCTCCGCGCCTATCTGAACACCGAGGTGATTCAAAAGTCAGCCAAAGTCCGCCACTTGGTCGTCTTTGTGCCGCCGGACTGTGAAATATTATATCCGCCGTCCGTACTACGCGCCACACTGTCTTGCGCCGGAAGAGCGGAAATTGAGTCTGACAACGTTGGCGCCGCTGTTACGATTACATAAGCTAAGAGTTACGAATTCACCAAGTTCCTTTATCACTACTCCCAAATGTCTTCCATAGGCCCACAAATTCCTGCACACCTCCTTCCAGCCGTTTCGTCAGCCGGGGATTCTGACGAAGACGACGATTACACACCGGCTCTGCCACCCGACCTTACTGCCTCCCGCACAGCTGGGCCTTCGTTGCCTTCAAAGAGCGAATCGCATACACCACTTCCAAAACGACACTATGTAGGACCATCGTTACCTCACTCACACACTCCTTACGATGATGACTCGGATTCAGATGTTGGGCCTCAACCACTTCCTGCAGCTTATGCTTCACAAATAGAAGAAAAGTCAGGCGCGGAAGAGTTCAGGGAGAGGGAGGAAAGGAGAAGGAAACTACAGGAAGAGGCGAGCAAGCCGAAAAAGCTTCAGCGGGAAGAGTGGATGCTTGTACCTCCAAAAAGTGGCGACTTATTGGCATGTACGTTTCGTTCAACACGCGGTTTTATGACTTGTGTGCTTATCGAAGTCATGTAGCACTTGACCCGACGAAAGCCAGGCCTCGTCAGTTCGCACGTAGCGCTGCACCATCGCGTGACAATTCTGGATCTTCCCTTTGGACCGAGACACCTGCAGAAAGACAGCAACGTCTTGCTGACGAAGTTGCCGGACGGAAACGACGTGCTGCAAACGCACCGCCGGAGGAGGACTCGCATGACACGGCGAAGCGGCGGAGACGGGATGAAGAGATTCGCAGAGGAGTTGACGAGCACACAGTATGTGTCCTTTGATTGTTCGTCCATTCAAATGGAATCTGACGTGTTATTTACCAGCGCAAGGCTCGCGGTTCAGCCCTTGTAGAGTCACATCTAGAGCGAGAAAAAGAGGAAGAGAATCACAAGCAGAGTGAACCATCGGTTATCTGGGATCATGAACGTGATATGTCTCTAGGTGGACGGCTTATGGATGATAAACAGAGGCAGAAGATGCTTCGGGATGCCAAAGGACTAGGAGAACGTTTCGGTAGTGGGCGCAACGGAAGTTTTCTGTAAGTTCCTGACCCTGCCAAAGACGCTGGAACCCGTTACATCAACATCATCAACCCGAGTTTCGGAGCAATGCACTGTTGGGTTGCAGACGAGGGTTCGGGAAGCTGAGCTCAGACGTATGATGCCACTATCATTCGAACATATATTTCATCTCCATTGCATGCTCAGTCTTATGGTCGGATTATTTATGTAAGTATATCTATCCATCTTTCCCTTCACCATCTAGTCTGTCTGTCTTACTTCTGTGATTTTTTGTTCGTAAAATTCATCTAGATCAGATTACCGTACCTGCGAGGAAATCATTTGAAGGTCTTTTCGGCTTTCTCTTTGAATATATAATGTTTGTATCGATTATCTCTTCTGACGATGTTCCATGGGCTGCGTGGCCTGCGTGGCGTTCGGTCTTAGCTGGTAAGTCCTTGGACACCAAACTTAAATATCACCGTGGTGTTCCAGCCGGTGCGCGCGTTGGATCAACGTGAATGACGGGAGTAACGAGTAAACCCTGATGTGCAGTGCGCACCAAAAATATTGACAAATGTGCTTTCACTGCAGCTGATTGTGTTCCCATCTCAAACATGCCCCCAGCCAGTATGACGCAGCGGATCTCCGAGAACCTCTGAGTCGGCTAAATCATGGTTCTTCATTGTGCCACCACGCTGTTCGTGAGGAAGGCAGGAGGCAGAAGGTCGAAGCTAGAAATGAACGTCGAATTAACCCGCCAGCAGCGAATCCGGTGTCCAGCGAAAAAAAGACAGTGCCCATGAGTGAGACGAGCAGTGCTACATCCATGCACCATGCACCCGGGCCACAGGATGTGTCTGATAGAGTGACACGTGAGAGTTGGGATTTGCTGGAGGCTCCTGCTGATCTTGTATGTCCCGGCCAGTACGTCTCATCGCGGGGTCCCTCGCCTGATTGATCTGAAACGATTACCACAATACCGGAAGTGGCTCGCACTGGAAGTGTGGCGTGTGACACTCCAAATCCTCGGATGGCATCTAAAACGTCCAAGATTACGGCCGACGCGCCCACTGTTGAGTTGGCTGAAACACAAGAATAACCTCGTGACTGCGCTCACTGAAAGGCAATCGTATTTCGAAATGTAGATGGCCTATTGCAAGGAACGACAAGTATGATTCAGTCGTGGCGTATGGTCCACTGCGTACAACTTGCAGTTGACTTGCATGCTAATGAGGGACACGAGAAAGCACATCGGTAACGTATAGAGGCAATCAACCACTCACAGTAAAAGGACCCATAATTGAGAAAGGAGGAAGGAATGAGCGGCTGATTTTGCCGAGTGATGTACCGGAGCTGTATTGATGCTGGAGCTATCAGATGAAACGAGCGTTGCGTGATTCGATAGGACTTGATGAGTGCGCATATGCTATGCCCTTCTTCTTATCATGACGTCTTCGTGTTCCATATTCCCTGAATACAAGCACAGCCTCAGTGTTGTCGCCGTGGACATAGGACATAGGGATGCCAAATGTAGATGATACGCACTGCAGTTAGACTGTGCATCCCCCACATGCCATAAGATGAGGGGGTTTTACACACCGGCATACCAAGACCATAGAGATTCGTGATCGCAGCAATAAAAGTATGAAAGAAGTCCTTCTGGCGAAGGTGAGGCTAACCTCGCGGTGAGCCCAGGGCAATAGAGCGGCGAAGGAGGATTAGGCCGCGTGTCGACTGAAAATATCATTGCGATTTGAACGAAGGAGTAGTAATTGGATTATCGGATCATGATGCTGAAGTGTATGGTAAAGACCAGTCAAAAGATTTACCAAGACCTCGCGACGTCATCGACAATCAGTACTGGGTTTAAGCGCTGGCCAGGCCCTCGGATTGAAAACATGGTCCGAATGGGTGCCGTGAAGCTCGCTGATTGTACTGGCTCAATGTGTTCAACATCCAGGTGACAACGTGATAAGGACCTTGTCTGGGCTCGGCAATCGGATAAAACCGGACGAAAATGAAACGTGAAGGGGTCACGCAAGGGTCTAACAGCTGGTTCTCGAATGTCGCGACTGGAGGTATAAAACTCGAGCAGTAGACGGGAAGCTTGTACTGAGCCACACGCGAGTTCATCTTATACGGATTCGTTACAAATTACATTCCTCTCAAGCAGCGATGCCATCACTCAACGCATCCCACAAGCTATCTTCCCCACGCAAAAACAAAACCCATACGGCCGCTTCCCCATACAAGAGCTCGGGCCCCTCCCGCCCACGCAGGCTTCCACTAAGTTCACTACGCCCACGCCCAATACCTAACTCCTACTGGGCAACTCCTCTGCTACTCGCATGCGAGTACCCCTGGTCTCCTTTTGAAACCTCCACCCAGAAACTTGACAAACTTCTCGCCGCTGGCGTCCGCACCTTCATCGACCTCACTGAGCCTGGGGAACTTATACCCTACAAGCCCCACCTCCAGAGGTACATTAGTGCCGCTGGCCTCGACGCGACTACCATCCACTACCACCAGTTCCCTATCCCTGATCGTTCGCTACCTCACAAGCCAACATATTTCATGCGTCTAGTGATGGACGTGCTCAGGGAAAACGCAGAGCAAGGGCGCGTGTGCGCCGTGCATTGCCGTGGTGGGATTGGAAGGACCGGTTTAGTTATTGGGTGCTGGCTCGTGGAGGCAGGAATCGCGAAGGACGGCGAAGAAGCACTGAAGATAATAGAACGGGAGTGGCGGACCGTTGAGAAGTGCAAGCGCTTCCCGCACTCGCCGGAGACTGGCCCGCAGTTTGAGTTTGTGAGGAACTTCACGAGTCCAGCGATGGTGCATGTATAGAGAATCGTGACAGTGCGCGTGTTTTGCTTGCCTGCTGGTATGCCTGTTCTCCTTTTTTACTCGTGCCTTGCTCATGAATGCGTTTTCAGCATACCTTTGTATTCATCCTCTCACGACCTCACTGTAGCTATTATATCCCTATTCATATTTCTCTAATCATGGTGCTAGTCTCATACTAGTACGTGCCTGGCCGCATTTCTTCACTCTTGTCACAGTGCTGGTGATGTGTATGATCACAGATTATGGACATTATGATGGGTGCCGGTGCACTCATGCCACATACATACATCTTCGGACTCCGCTTCAAGTAGAAGCTTGATGACACAGGTTGTGTACCGTAGTCATGAATGAATTAGTATTGAAAGTCTGTGTGCACGCATGGAAGCTGTTGATATGAATGTTAATGAAGACCAAATTACACCCGTGAGCTCGAGTGCTAGCAGTAAGAACATCGATTCTTCGGCGATCTTATGTGACCCGGACCATGAATGAATTGAGCAGAATTCTCGGTGTTCGCCGAGAACTTCAAGGGTTGCAAAAACCTCGTGTTAGGTGATACTTCGACGTTTCATTTGACGATACACGGGTTTCCTTCCAGGTATAAGTAGGCGAGAGTGAGTGAGTGTTTATTTTTACGTTTCCTGCACTGATGGGCAGTACGAACAAACCACTGCAGGGCAGCAGAGATATGACAGAGGGGCCTTGTGGAGTTTCCTAAGCAAGCGGAGTAATATCTGAAGAGCCACGAGTCACTGTACGTGCTATGGCTTAATTGAACATATGTTGAATCTGACCGCCCATATGCTACAGCTGCCTGAATTTGTGCCTTTCCGATAACACTCAGCTCGTGTTTGCTGCTGCGGTTGCTCTTGCGGTGAGCGCCCATACCTCCTTTTTCAATCAGAGAATGCCTGACCTATCTTACCATCCCACGTGGAGGGTTTTGGGGCACTTCCTACTCCGTCGCAGGTAGAGTTTCATGCCATCCTTCGACGCAATCGTCGAGTCCTGGAGAACATCTTCACAACATGTGTTCGGTTGGCCGTCTTTTACATGATGCTGACCATGTGGCATGTGCGTTTTGTTGTTGTGAAGATTGCTCTAAACTTCTCGAGGGAAGGGGCAACCTACTCAAGTGTAACATCTGGTTATTACCTTTGCAAGGGTGGATTCTTGTCGTGCGCTTCACGAATCGTCCGCAGTTAATATATGCCGGCTAGCATAAAGGAGGTCAGTACTTTGCATTTACTCTCAGGATACATAATCAACAGTGCATCAGGAATATCAGAAGAAGGCCGTGGTATGGGCGACTATGATCATACTCATTCCATGACTTCTAATCACTGGGGTCTTCTTAGCCTGGTTCTTCTTCGATGGTGCAAGTTGGCGATGACTTCGAATTGCCTTTCACTTGCGCACGTTGTAACCTCGTTCATCGTCCATCTATGGCTGTATCCATATTTGGCTTCATGCACCGGCGCTTGTGCATTTTTTCTCAGATCCATTCAACTGGAAAAGGTTACAGGACTAATTTGGCTACCAGGTCCGCAAGCTTGCAAATCGGCGTTTCCCAACCCATTCCCATGTGAAAGTGGTCGGCAGTTTTACGTTGGCTACTGCGATGCTCAACAATATATCCCAATCTCATCTGTTCACAGGTTTACTGATGCGCCGCTCGCCCTTGCACCTCGTCTAACGCTCGCTTGATGAAGAGAATTACTCTCGAGCTCCCTAACTTAGCTTAGTGGGCCATGAGCAGAACTAGGCACGATCGATCATTTTCAGATACATTCAAACATCCATAAATATTGCTCGAGCAGTACGAAAATTCACAAGTAACTGTATTGATTGGCTCCGAACTAGGTATCGTACCATAAACCATGACACCAAAGCGAAAACAGAAACATGACTCACTGTCGCGACGTCCGCTCGGGCTGCTGGCTCAATTTCCAACCGACTACTACTGGCAGAACAAGCCTTGACTCTAAGGCGCGCAGGTGAGTCACGCGGTTGAATCCCAGTTATACAGCGACCTGCTCATACTCACGAGACAAACGTGACTGCAGCAATCCCAATTGGTGCGGCAGGATACACTCGGTCCATTACATGCACTGACAGACATAGATGCTGTCAAAGCAACAACAACGGCGAGGAAGGGTAAGCGCATTTTCCCTGCGAGGTGATATATAATCTTCTGAGGGCGTTCTCGAATGATATCTCTGAGGATGGGGTGACACTGTAGGACAACCACCAGCTTTTATATCCTCATGGGCACGATTCTGATCGCTTTGGGAGAATTGTTATTGCTGTCATATGGCACAAAATTCGGCAGAACCTGCAGGTTGAGCGTATTCAATTGATTACGACCATTGTATCATGACCTGCCGGCAAGCATGGCCAATTCTCTTCTTCGCGAATTGCAAAACGCTCGCTCGAATCACTGGTCTCTCGTCCCAGTCTCTGGCTCATCGCTTCATCATTTGAACCGGCGGTGACCCTGCCAGCGTGGTGACAAAGTTCAGAAGTCAATGTCGACACTTCCGATATGTACTTGATTGATATCTCATGTCATTTTTCTCTCACTTACTCATTGCTTCCTTATATGCAGTACCTGCAATTCGCCTGTGCCATTAGTGAGCTGATGAGGTATCCGTTCTCGTCAACACTTCCGATATGTACTCGGTTGATATCTCATGTCATTTTTCTCTCACTTACTGATTGCTTCCTTATATGCAGTACCTGCAATTCGCCTGTGCCATTAGTGAGCCGGTGACCCTGCGACTGTGATGAGGTATCTTTTGGAAATTGACACTCATTTTCATTCTTGGCATGCGCTTGGTTGAAGATTTTTGGTACAGTAGTCATGGTCGCAGCCACCACAGCTTCCTCTGCAGTTTCGGACAAGCACGGTTGTTTTATGGCATACCCCGATGACCCTATACTTCCTCGGAGACAAGGAACAGCGTTAGCCGAACTAGTGACTATCAATCAGCGCTCTTCCAAGTCCCTCTTTCTTGTCAACCGTCCCTGTACCCCATTCACACTCGATCGATGAAGAGAACCGCTTCCGTGCTACTTTTCGACGGCAAGTACCGCGCAGGCAGTAAATATCAATTCTCTTCATCTTTGCCCCTTTTTTCACCTTCATCATGACGCGCGCTCCTGTATGACCTTGGGTTTTGACTATCCCAGACTCCCACACGTTAAGGGGGAGGGCTTTCAAGTCGAATGCAAACACTTTCCCCCATCTTCATCACTTTTCACTAGGGGCTGGCGTTGCCGCCATGGACCCTGCTCAGTGCGAAGCCTCCTTCAAGTGCGACCAAATCAACAGGGATGGTACTTATGTAAATGTAAGTCTTATTATACACTTCCAAATCGCCGCATGGCATATGTATTTGGATTCTGTCGGTTCCATTCTCCCGAAGCTCCAACGTGTTTGTATTTCGTTTATTATGGCATCTAGTCTGCTGTTCTGGTTCTGGGTATTCGGTACGTGTTGACACTCATTTTTAGTTGGCTGCGACCACCTCTATAACCGTCAAGTTACCGAACAGAATTCTTGTAGTGCAGTTGTCTTCACTCTACCACTGTCTCTCTCTCAGTAAATATTGTCGCAGTTGTTTCTTGTGTCATACAGCTACATTCATATCGATAGACCGGATTCGATTTTGTTCCCTTCACCACTTTTGGAGCTTGATAAACAGTTTGACTTAAGGGTTCCGCTTGAAGTTATTGCTAGAAATTTCGGCAGAACCTGGAGGAGTGTACTGTATTGTTATTGTTACTGGGGTCGTATTGTGTTAGGGGTATGGTTCATCTCCCGGATGAATCACTGATTTGAACCGGAGCTCCACACTCTGAAGTTCGGAAATTCAAATTTCTCCATGGTTCGGACACTTTGCAATTACTTCTGCTTGACCACATATCATTGTAATATACTATTGCGAAGTTGAGTCTTTGAAATTAGTCAAGAAATGATCGAGATCCTTGTCGAGGTGTGACGGGTGTTTTATTTCTGCCGAACCACTCACTAGCACTATTGGCAAATATGCCGCAAATCTGCGGCGCGCTCGGGGCAGGGGTGCCCATCCCCCAAATCCGAGCAAAGAGCTCCAGCGCGAATCGCGGACTCAAGAAGCCCTTGCTGGAGTTCAAGGAAGAGCTATAGGCCAGCAGTAAAAGCTCATCAGGTGAGATCCGCCACAATCTGTGCTTCACTGATTTTCTCACCATCGCGGACTCGCCGCGATCGAAAAAAAGGATACAGTCGCTTCGCTGACCAACAAAATCAAGACGTACCTCGACGAGCACCCTGCACTGGCGGACAATGCACGCTTTTCTGCGTTGTTTGGAGCTGGAAGGCGTCGCACGCATTCGAGGCATATCCCACATAGCCAGGACTCCGCACCTAACACCCGCGCGACTAGTATAGCCATCCATCATATGTCGTCGTCAGTCCCCACACCATCTTTTGGCCTTAGCTCATCACTGCCAGTCTCAGTCACCCGCAGCACTCGGAGGTCCGTGAGGAGAAACGTCTATAGTTTTTGGGTGCGCGATGGTACGTTTCTGAGGTGGGAGGAAGAGGGCAGGCGTGCATCTAGCCACGGATGTAGGGGATGGGTGTTGAGCTTGGAGGTCGAGTGCTGTTCGAGTGAGTGTGAGACGTAGATATGGTAGAGAGGAAGAAAGAGACGTGCGTTTATCGTTTGTCCCAGCCTCGATAGCCTTGCTTCTCATGTCATGGGTGACGGAGACATTTGAGGGCTATGTTGAACACAGCGGTAACTCGTCTTGTACGCCCTTCATCAACTCTAGTGGTTACTAATGAGTTTTTGTGAACGTCTTCGTTTTCAGGGAGTGACTCGCTTCCAATGTAGAGAGGCCTTGAGGCGGTTGATTTAGCGAGGGTGTAGTTGTGTTGGCTCAAGTGGTGTTGGTTGCCTTCGTGAGCAACGAGTGTGGCCAACCGTGGGAACGGGTGGCAAGGGTGGCCTGAGGTGCATCTATCATCTCGTCGACAACAGTCTGTCATTGAGGCAGTGATGAGCAGCTCAGACAGCTTGAAGTCACTCCACAATATAGAAGGAACGACTGTCTTCCTTCTCCTTTGGTTTGACTAGCCCTAGGGGAGACTAGGTTTCAGGCCTTCGGCCATGACCACTTCAACCATGCTCACTATCGACCTCTAACATTTCTCGTACTCTTTTATTTGAGCCTTGCTCATGTTATTGCTGTTTAACTGAGAACAGTAATTACCGCCGGACTCGGGTTCTCAAGGACTACCAGCGGATTTTTCATAGGCTGGCAGCATGATGTGAGTCTCATTCCAGGTGTTCCCTTCCTTTGTTTGACTCACATCATTGCATGGTGATTCGCAATCTAAAGGCGCTGATACTGACATATGGAATTGTTTGCGCCATCAAATCATCACAGACACAGCAAAATTTTACTGTACGACTTCCAAGACTTTGAGGGCAAGATTGATTATCCGGTCTGAAAATATGAACGGTTTACAGGCCAGCCTATGACTGAATCAATTGCAAGGACCAACATGACAACAAATTTGTTGTCAGCTGATTGATTCCAGTTATGAATCACGATCGAGGATCCGTGCATCACATGGGCAGTTACTGTAGTGCATACAGGTACATAGCTAATGCGGGCAACGATCTTGCACAGCACTGGATCCCTATTGAAATTTGAAATGTTGAACGGATCATCCCTTCAATTGAACATTCGTTCATTAACATCTTATAGGCCCTATATTATTTTGCTTGCGGTGGGAGTGGAGGTCGGAGTGAGGCGGGCGCGTACTTATCCACAGTGACTGCTTGCAATTGCCGCACGCTAGCGCTCTACCATACTTCTCTGAGACACCAACAACGACCATCCATCCGACGAGGTGTGCAGAGTTTTAATTTAACACGGTTAATACGCCATGTGTGGTTTATTATATACATGGATATATATGATTCTGGACCCATGCAGTAGCAGCTGGCTGGAACTTGATGCATCGATGTTGATGAGTTCTCAGAGGGCCCGTGTAGGTCCAGAAACGGCTAAAACTTCCCGGAGTCACATGACATGATGGTCGACCGTCGGAAATTTACACACCGTGTACAGTTTACACTATCTCTGATGTTGAATATCAGATGGAGATCTGCCTTAGGCTGTACATGCACGCGCGGGCGGCAGTATCGGTTATTAAATAAATCCTCATGGCTTAGCGAACATCGTACTTAAGTACTAGTGCTCGTAGGTGTATCGCTCAGAGGTTCCATTCACGACTTGCGGGCAGATCACCACAAGGCGCATACTGAATGCCGATTTATCCTGATATGTCTTCCTTATCGGTCTCAGACCTGACAAAGTTGCAGACAGTCAAGGTGAGTAAAGGTTGGCTTCCCTCTGATAAACTCGGTGTTGACATCATGTTCGATTTAGTACGCCAATTGTGAGTTGTCCCCCGATCGTCCGAAAACTGGACGATGGCACTGACTATTGTTTTTAGTGGGCAGTATTGCAATCCTCGTGAGTATCAAATACATTTCTTGTGTTTCCACCTCAAATCTTTTTCGACGTTGCAGGTATTTGATTTTTGCATTACTTTTCCCGAAGAGGTCGAGGAAATATCTGTTTGTTCACGAGTGTTGTTCTAACCACTCCCCACAGGTGCGATGGACCTGGTTCAGACCATGGGATGTAACTCGTGTCATATTTGTCATTTCTCGATATTTGCCTTTCGCGGGTGTTGGATTGACTGCATATGGCGAGCGATTCACTCTGATTTTCTTCATCTTATGTATTGCTGATGGGAATATATTAGATGCACTGCGTGTCGGCCATAAGGTAGGCTCGGATGGCGAATAGTATCTACGTTAAGCTGATTGCATGGGGAAAGTGTACCTCTTCTCCGCAAGGAAAAAGTAAGTCGACCTACCAAACGGTTCACTGTTCATACAACTTAAACAATGTGGATGTTAGTCATTCACATCATAAGTATCGTTGCTGCGGAATGTGCGCGTTCCACATGCATTTTGAGAGCACAGTGAATCTCACTTTCTTGGCAGCCCTGCTGATTATTCGGACTTGGGCATTCTGGCAGAGGAGCAAAAGACTGCTGATCGGGTTATTGGTTTATAGTGCGGTGCGTATTTTACAGAGGAGGAATGACCGCATAGATTCTTATTATTGCATAGTTGATAATTGCCGCCGCCCTTACTGTGGACCTCAGCCATACGATGCTGCTTCCAGGAGGTGAGTTCATTAGTGTTTACGAACGAAAGTGGTTCTAATTTGACTATCAGAGGAGCCTCCCCTAGGAACTTGTTATTTCGAGGACACGCGCAATGAAGCGGTCGTATACATATTCTTGGCCATGTTCGAAAGCGGTCAGTGGTTTTCCAAAGCTGTCCACTGGCCTTCTTACTCACAACATGGCAGTGATACTAATCCTTACTGTGTATAAGAGGGTCCACGATTATAAGAACTCTCAGAGCAGAATTGTGGTAACCCTGTACCACGATGGCATGTTTTACATGTTGTGCATCCTCGGTGTGTAGAAATAGTCGGCTCTGAAGATATCATTGAGTAACGCATTTGAAAAAAGGCATCACACTCGCCAATGTCATCATCGGAGCTGCACTTCCGGTACGCATATGTGCTGTCAAACCCTACGATTCACTAACTTTCTGTCTTTTCTGCAGAGTGCCTATAGCGATATGCTTGATGCGTACGTCACCAGTTGCACTCTGACCGCTAGTTGATCTGGAACCCGCTGTGCTAGGTTACAGCTGGTCAGTCACAGCGTCCTGGCATCACGAATTCTATTCCGCATCCGGGATAGCAACGGACGTATCCACGAACCGTCCATGTCGGTAACGACCATGGAATTGGACTGTTTACGACCTCCGACGATGTCGATGAGTTGGACGGGTACTGCTACTCAAGTTTGAAGGAATGTAGGTGTATTCGGGATCATCACCCTCTGTTAAAATGAGAAGCTTCTTAACAAGCTGCCTCTGTACCTCCCGATGACTGTATCGACTGGACTTTAGCTTGTTCCTAGGGGAAACATGCAGCTGTCATTAGCACCGTGCATATTCCAGCAGCAGTCTGACAATTTATTTATATCCCAGTTACACATCTTCAAATCAGCGGGTTGGATTGTGCTACAGAATGCTACAGAGCGTTCTGTAGCACTCTGTAGTGAATTACGTTTCTCTGCGGCGCCGGCGGCCCTTCAGAAACAACAAAAGGATGTACCTCGCCCAATCAGATTCAGCTCCGAACAAGGCGCCATCAAGAAAACGCCTGTTCGGCTTAGGTCACATTAGGTACAAATTGAAAGTGTTCATCATATGGGAGTTATACTATGGTGCCGATGATCCGAATCTCCATCATGCTGACTTTGGAAATAGAAGCGCTGAATGGTGCTATATCTACTAGTACGAACACTATTGTTATTCAAATCACCAACATTCCCCAATTTCCCTCGTGCCCATCCCTCGAATATGACTGTAGTCTCAAATAATCCAAGTTGGTGGCCGCTGATCGATTTGAATGTGTTTCTCAGCTATTGGACAGGTTTGTTGCATCAAGGTATCTCGACGATTCAACATTGACTTTCGATTTCGCAGTTGCCGCTGGCGTCGTGGTGGTATACGATTGGGGTGAGCAGAACCGTGTTCGAAAACTGCTGATGTTCTTATGATATTTGCAGCACTAACACTAGGACAAGAGGTACGTTGGTGTTATGGCTGGGGTGGAAAACTCGCTAAGAATGGTGTCATAGATTGAACTGATCTGGGTGAGTGACAAGAATCCTGTATCAGAAGAAAATACAACGACTTTGCAACAGAGGCAACGCTGGTCTCCCATGACTTTGTTGTATTTGGTCGTTCGTACCTTTATAGCGTGAAGTTAGCAAGTTGTGCTGACTCCACAATATTCTAGATACGCTATACTGGAATACCATTTTCTGTGTATGTGGCGAAGCCAACAACTTGGCACCATGCTAATAGCTTATCTCTGACAATTAGTGCATATGTTCTGTGTATGTCTGATATGCACTGTATTCGATTTTTCTGACCGGTAGCACGCAGCAGGCATGCCATTGATATCGCTGACAGATGCAGTGAGTTTTCCACAGCCATCTTATTCGTATCTAACCATTCTAATGAATACACTCATTTGTAGGGGTAAGTGAGATTCTGACCATTAAGCTTAGCTCGATATGATGACTTGATAGGTGTAAGTTGGAACGTTTAACGGCACGAGGGTGATCACTAATTGAGTGTTTCAGGCAATATTACGAACTACGTAATGAATGTGACAAATGTGGTCATGGCCGCCATGTTGGGCAGTGAGTTACCCCAGCTGCAATACCTCCGAGATGTTGACTCGACTGAAACATGATGCCAGTTGTGATGATTGCTCGCTTATATGCCATGTATCAGGGATCTAAAATGATGCTTATTTTCCTTGTGATTATCTTCCTGGCTGTAAACATCGCCTGCGGAGTAATTGCGGGAATAGTACTGAAGCATTTTGTAGGGGGTAAGCTTCACTTGTTGACATAAAGAACACGATTCATTGAATAAACACTAGATGTGTGGATAATCTCTGGTACATATATGTGCAATGCTGAATATGAGGGGGACAGCATGCTTCTTATTTCAATGGTTTGGATGCTCAACACTGTTTGGGAGGTCCTCGCACTGTGTCTTTCAGTCTGGATTGCTGTGAAATACTTCCGTAACCTGCGACGGCTCGGCCCATCGACAGGATCGACCATTGGGGACTATTTCAGAGTCCTGATACAATCTCACGTGCTTTATTTTGCGAGGTGAGCTTCTCATGTGAATGGGACTATCTCTTTCTCAAGTTCCGCACGTACTAGCTTCGTTTGTGTCTCTTGCCTCCAGCTTGCTTTTCTCTCTCCAAAGCTCCAGGTGCGCCGAGCTGTCGCTGACATCTGCGTGTGACCACTTCTCATCATTTGTGTAAAATTCATCTTTGACGATAACTCACATACTCGAAGGTGCTCTTCAGATGTTATTGGTCGTGCAGATGTTTGTGCTGGGACCACGACTCATCCTTAGCGTTCGACAATGTCACGCTAAACTCGTGGCCGGTTCCGACCCAGAAACTAGCATGAATTCGATTGTCTTCCAGAAGCGTGTACATGTATCAACTAGCAGTACCGTGTAGGGAGATGCTTGCCGAGTGGTCTGCAGGGTGGAGAAATTTGGGCGATGATCCGTCGTGGTATTTATTTAAGATATAGTGTTTCCAAGTATATTTGAAAAGTCCAGGAAAACTTATTTCTTGTTGTATCGCTACTGAAACAAAGTATCCACGCTTGAACTCAGTGGTGAGCTAAAATTATCCGGAAGGACTAGTAACTAAAGTGTATTGACAGCTGATTCTGCGCGTTTATGGAGTTCCACTGTCTTGACGTATAGATGAAGAAGTGACTGCGAACCGTGAAGCCAGATTGCTGATAACCCATTGGTGCTTAGATGCGATTTCCTCCATCCGATGGGCCACAGAGAATGAAAGGAATGAATTGCGTTGACTCGTGGCTCGACTGTACGTCTCTCTCGTGAATGAGCATTTCAAGGATATGGAGTCTGCTGAATGGGGAGTGGAGAATCGGAAAGTCAGAGGTTCAAGTCAGAAGGCCTCAAGCGTACCTATCAAACTACTATGAGGCATTGCCGACGATATTCTGTTGGAGCCCTAGCTAAGTGCGACCATCAGAGTAAAGCACCGAACGAGATACACACATGCATACACACATACGCCCGTCGGACATGTGTCACAGTCGCTCCTGGGGCAAGTAAATGATCACTTGAATGGAGTGTCTGATGAAAATTTGGGAAACGAAGAAAACAGAGAAGATTCGAAGATACATATTTTGCAGGAACGTTGAGGAATACGTCGATGTCTCGACCACCAATAAAGAAAACGGTTTGTGTGTGCCGTTGACCGCACGAATCAATGCAGAATGATCATGAAGAGAACAAAGTTGCGGAGAGCGGCTATCCCAGGTATCGATAGAGACGCGAGGTGTATCGATGGCATAGCAGGAAGTTGTCTCAAGATTCGTGTTCGATTATGGACAAGCCGCGTGATGGATAATGCTGAAGCCTCGCACTAAAATGGAAGTACGATGGATGTTGAAGAAGGATAGTCTAGGAATACTGGCACATTTGTACAAGGGATGACGACATCAATGATGGCCGAGTCCGAACACAAAGAAGGATGTAAAAGGGTGGCCATCAGAGCGGTAGTATGATGTTCCTGAGTGCGAGGAAGACTGTGTCCGGAAGATCTGTCACAGCCTCCGAGTACCCACACAAAACAAGACATGCCTGACAATACAATTGCTCACAGTAATATAGCATTGGCAGCAAATACTATCGTAGCGAGGTACTTGGGCTTTTCGTAGATGGCCTCGAGGTATACCTTCTCTCCGCCACTGCGAGGGAACATGGTGCCGAACTCGAGCCATATGGAAGCCAAACACGAAACCGAGGACCCAAAGCATAAGGGAAGCGCCGACTGAGCCTACGCCAGAGAGGATGGAGGACGGTGTTGAGAGTATGCCGGTGCCGATAATTTTTCCAACGATAAGGAGAGTGCAAGATGTAACGCCAAGGTAACGACCCATGCCTCCCGCAGTATCTGGATGATGTCAGACGAGCAAGTTGAAGGAATAGCGAGCAACGGCACCTTCTTCAAAGGTCAGTTCTCCAGGACTCAGGTCAGCATTGTCATTGGGCGATTTCTGAATCCTTTTCGCTGAGCTGTGACTCGGAAGCACGGTCATCTTGGTCGTCTTCCTGCTGCTTGCTTAATCGCGACCACCAGGTAGTGGACATTCCTCTGGATGGAGTGGGAGCTATGCATGATGAATGAACACATTGATGGAATATAAAAGGGCGCTTGATGATAACGCAAGAATGTGACCACATGATACCAGGTCCCGGTCAACTATGTGGATTCAAAATTCAAAATCAGAATACCTAGACCCCTGAATATGAATGGCGCCTTAGTCACGTGCGGGTAGTTGAATCAAAGATGCAGTATCGATCTGTAGACAAACGTCTATCATATGACCACTGCATGCCGTCGACATGTTACGCACAACATGAAATACCCTATAAAATGCGACATCTAGTAGCATGCAACTCTATGTAATCTAGATTCTATGCATATGATTCTACAATCGTGCATTAAACCAGCCAATTTTATAATAAACGTACTCCACGTCTTCATCGAGACCTTGTCCTCGCGTATAATCGCCATATGCATCACATGTGATATATTCCTTCGATAGAATGACAAGATCAGCATCACCGTTCGGATCAACATCGCATGCCTTGAGGAACACGGACTCAACCGTGTTTGACTCGAATGCGTGCGTTGGACGAAGTGGTATCACAAGATGAAAAGCGGCGGGAGACACGGTGCTATCAGAAGGACGTCGCACGAGCCCTTTCAGACAGTCCCTGATCCAAACCGCATGTTGGGCTTCGTAAATGATGTCTGCACCGAGGACCACATCAAATGGGTACGAAAGACAATCCGGTCGAGGAGTAGTAGAGAATGATGACCAGTCGAGGAAATGAGTGGTAATGGAATGGGTTGAAGTAATTTGATTGTGCGTGGAGACATTCGCGTCAACATTTGATCTGAGGTTGGCTAACACAGAAGGATGGAAATCAGTCGCAACCACATGAACCTCGCGATGGTTGAAAAACGGCAATGAATCCAGTAATTTCATAACCGCCAAGCTAACCAACCCTGTTCCTGCTCCGAGCTCAAGGACATTGAGCCTGCGTGATTCAGGGCCGTGAGAGAAAGAACCCAGTCCAAACCGCTCAGGATCTTCCACAATCATTTCTGCCAAGACACATGCCCCGCCCCATGTCTGCGCTCCCACACTCCCATAGTCATCGTTATCCAGCGGAATGTCTGTGAGCTGCGCTTCCACTCGCCTCTGCCCGTCTATAGAACCAAAAACGAAGTTACGGGTGATCATTCCAGCAGCAGCGACCCCGGCACAAATCGCGAGTAGCGATGCGGCTTGTTGGACGAGTATCTCTGTGTAAGCCAAGGTAGGCTCTGGCGTCCCAAGATCATCCAATAAGACTTCCTCAGAGTGCGATAAGTCTTGCCAGACCTCGAGCTGTGCGATTAAAGTGGTAAGCCACCGAATGGAATACGAGCGCTCGAATGCGTCAGATCGGATAGCTTGGAGTTCGCTATCATCCTCATGGCGAAGGTGTGAATTTTTCTCTTCATTAGATACAGGCACCTGCACACGTTTGCGACGTGAGCCACGGACTTCTGGATGGTAAAGTGACTGTAAATAAGTCAAAGCATCGAGAAGCTGGGTGACGGAGAAACTCGCGATCTTGGCGATCGGTGGAAGATACGTGGTCGGTGGGCAGAGGACAGACATTTAGAGACGTTAAAATCGAGGAGGCGGCAAGACAATTAATGCTAGCATAAAATCATACTAGTACTGCCACTGTACTGGTTGAATATTGAATATTTGAGAATTATGGTTTCGAGTTACCATGATTATGTACGGGTGTGTACACTGTACAATGATAGCGGGAATAACAGGTCTAAACAACCATCTGGATCAGCACAAGATCAGCACGGTTGCAACTTGAACGCGCCCCACCAGAATCATCAAGTAGCGACGAAATGAATAATTCCAGTCAATCTTCCAATCTGTCCATACCATCTATCCCGCCATCTAGCTTTCAGAATGCTTCTGTCTATATGTCACAATCGTCCCTGCACGATTCCATCCATACTGATCCAAATTCACCATGAAGTGCTAAAGCAGAACGTGCAAATAGCGCTTGACCATCTCGCAAGGATTCAATCAATGGCACGTAATTGCTTGCACGGCATGTAAGTCTCTCTACTCCCTTCATACCTATACCATGTTTAATTATTTGTCAGACAAAGCGCATATCAAGCAGGAAATAGTCCAGCACATACAACAGGCAAGTACGTTCATGTTTTTTTTTGTATAATTGTGGCTTTACACTTCCAATTTTCAGCTGAGCTGGCTACACTCATGCAGGCACTTCGCACACTTGCTGAATTCCTTCGACAAACTGGTGTAGGCGCATACCCCATGCCACCCGCCCCCGAGTCTCAGAGTGCGGCATCATCGGTACCTCCCACAGAGCAGCAACTGATTGACACCACGGCCCTAGAGGTACAAGTGCTTTATGAGCGCCTGAAACGTATTCAAGAGAGCAATACCGTCGCTGTAAATCTACTTGGGGCTGCTGATACCGTCTCCCGTGCACGCTAATCAATATCGGTGCCAATTCTATTGTGTAGTTTTCTAACATCAGCCCAGTTGATATGCTACGATGCGCAGCTTAGCTGGCTTCAGGTGACAGGGTGTTTGAACTGGCTTGTACTGGTGGTTAATCTCTCGAGGATGACAGTCGATTGCGTCCAGACGGTCAGTCCTTCCACGCAGTTATATCGGATTCTGTTGACAGTCTAGCACTCAACAGCTCTGAGGGAGCGTGTCCTCAATTCAGCTGTCTAGCGTCTGGATACATAGATCGTGCCAAGAACTCGACGGCCTGAATTTTATCATGAGCCAACCTTACCTAGGTTTGACGTCATCAAATACCAGCCAACAGCGGTATCCGCCACCCTTAAGAAGCTGAACTTCAATCCCGACCTCTCTTGGAAGGTTAGCCGGGGAGTGCTAATAAACGACCTCATTCCACGATTGATGGAAGCGGTGGATTTGAAAGTGACTTATACATTCTCATATGACGATCCAATTTGCATACATACATCTGCCCAATCGTTTTACCTACACATCTGACCTGCGATTATACTGATATGGTCTGAACTTTGTCACTTCATTACACAACATTTTTTGTTGTTTAATCCGGAGGTTACTCAAGGTTTCGTTCGTCATTTGATCTCTTTACTAACTTTGATTAGTCTCATGAGCTATAGTAGACCTACCTCGAGTTGTTTAGCTCGGTGCTGGGTATATCTATAACTCTGGACATCGACTTGGGACGCCTATGGGTGGTTACGAATGCGCATCCGAGTCATCGACCGACAATAGCAAGGCGGTCCAAGGGACGGATATGCGATTTTCGTTACGATGTGGCGAGCCTGTGGCTTTATTGTCCGTGACACATCGATGATGTTGATATTATCTAAAACGTTGGAGTACAACCCGTGTAGCTTAGTACTCTCGTTCTCAAAGTCATATCCTTTCGCACACGACTTCAATTGTTCAGTGCTCTGCTGTATACATGCTTGAGCTATGTTTTTGATTACTTATAGTGTATCTCGCTCGTATTCTTGTACACTTTTCTTCCAAATTCTGATATTTGATGTCGTCCCAGAGGATTCGGCATGATACAGCATGATGGTGTCTACAAGTCACAATTAAGTACCCGCGCTTGAACCAAGTGGTATCATTTCAATCGGCATGTCAACGGCAACCCGGAGTCCTGGACCGATCTCGCAAATTTCCGACATTCAACAGTCACGCACATATTGCTACTTAGCGCACACGTACGTGTCACTACCGACGTATGTTCATTCTTTCTGAGCCTGCTAAACGTTGATATCCTTCAACTAAGAGCAGTTACCCCCGGACTCGAGTTCGCAGTGACTACCAGTGAATTCTTCATAGGCTGGCATGATGTGAGTCTCATTCGAGGTGCTCCTTCCCTTTGTTGGACACATCATTACATGGCGATTCGCAGTCTAAAGTCGTTGATCCTGATATGTGGAATTTGTTGCGCCGTCGAATTGTGACAGACATAGAAAAATGTCTGTGCGGTTTCCAAGACCTTGACGGCGTTCTTTCGCCAGATTGATTATCTGGTCTGTAGTCATGAGCGGTTTACAGCAAAAATCCATTCTAGTTAAAAGGCTTGTAGTAGTAAGTTGTAATCTTTTGTGCACCGCCCAACAACAGTGTCTATGACTAAATCGATCCCAGGGGCCAACATAACGACAGTTGTCAGCTGATTGATTCCAGTCACTTACATCATAAATCATGCTCGAGGATCCCGCCATGAGCAAGTCAAAAAATAAGGCCTGTCCCCGTAACATACAGGGTACGTAGCTCTGAAATTTCAATAGGAGACGTAAGACTAGCCCGATTGGTCAGTGTCATATTAGGGCTTCGGGATGAAACATCATTTTGATCTTCACATCGAGCAACGATGTTGCTTAGCACTGTTCATCAGCGGGTTGGATTGTGCTACAGAATGCTACCGAGCGCTCTGTAGCATTCTGTAGTGAATTACGTTTCCCTGATGTTGATCTGATCTAAAATTTTAGTAGTCGTCAAGGGGTCTCCTTCAATTGAAATTCCAGAGTCATATTTGCTGGTTCAAGTTCTCGTAAGTTCTGTTACTTTTCCACCGAAATTGAAGTTGCATTTCATAGGCTCTATATTATCTTCGACTGTGCTTGCAGGTGGGAGTGATAGCCAGTGTTTGCAGTTTCCCATTACAACACATGGCGCCTCTAGTCCTTATCGGGCACTATCTCTGATGAATGTCGAATGGAACTTTGCCTTTGGCTGTGCATGCACAGTATCGGTTACTAAATTAATACCAATGCCTTATCGAACATGGTATTTAAGTAATGCTCGCATGTGTATTGCTCCATTCAGGACTTGCGAGCAGGTACCACGAGGCGCATACTGAATACTGATCTTATCCTGATATGTCTTCCCTATCGATCTCAGACCTGACGAAGTTGCAGACGTCCAAGGTGAGTAAAGGGTGACTTCCCTCTGATAAACTCGAGGCTAACATTATGTCGGATTTAGTATGCCAATTGTGAGTGTCCGCCGATCGTCTGAAAACTGGACGGCGGCATTGACTATTGTTTTTAGTGGGCAGTCTTGCAATCCTCGTGAGTATCAAACACATTTATTGTGTTTCTACCTCAAATCTCTTTCGACGTTGCAGGCATTTGATTTTTGCATTACGTTTTCCGAAGAGGTAGAGGAAATATCTGTCTGTTCGGAAGTATTATTCTAACCACTCCCCACAGGTGCGATGGACCTGGTTCAGACGATGGGATGCAATTCGTGTCATATTTGTCATTTCTCGATATTTACCTTTCGCGAATGTTGGAATGATTGCATATGGCGAGTGACCCACTCCAATTCTCCTTGTGTTGTGTGTTGCTGATGGGCATATCTTAGCCGCATTGGGTGTCAGCAATCAGGTAATCTTGGATGGCGAATAGTTTCAATGCTAGGCTGATTGCATGAGAAAAGTGTGCCTCTTTACTGGAACAAAATAGTGAGTCGACCTGCCAAACGGTTCGTTTTTCATGCAACTTAAACATTGTGGATGTCAGTCATTCATATCATCAGTATCGTTGCTGCGGAAGGTGCGCGTTCCACATACACATTAAGAGCGCAATGAATCTCACTTTTTCGGCAGCATTGCTGGTTATTCGAACCTGGGCGTTCTGGCAAAAGAGTAAAAGATTGCTGATTGGATTATCGGTCTATGTCGTGGTGCGTGTTTTGCAGAGGAGGGATGATCGTATAGATTTTTATTATTGCATAGTTGTTAATTGCCGCCAACCTTGCTGTAGTAGAACTTAGCTCTACAATATCAATTCCAGGAGGTGAGTTCATTGGTGTTCACGAACGAAAGTGATTCTAACTTGACTATCAGAGGAACCGCCCCCAGGAACTTGTTACTTCGAGAGCTCACGCAGCGATGCGGTCGCATACATATTCTTGGCGTTGTTCGAAAGCAGTCAGTGATGATCCAAAGCTGTTTATTGACCTTCTTACATATAATAACATGGCAGTGATACTGATCCTTACTGTATATAAAAGGTTTCACGACTATAAAAACTTTCAGAGCGGAATTGTAGTAACCCTGTACCACGATGACGTGTTTTACACGTTGTGCATCCTCGGTGCGTGGACATAGTTTGCTCTCAAGATATCATTGAGTAACACATTTAAGGAAGCCGTCACACTCGCCAATGTCATCACAGGAACTGCACTTCCGGTACGCGTCTGGTCTGTTAAATCCTACGATTCGCTGACTTTCTGTCTTTTTTGCAGAGCGCCTATAGCAATATGTTCGACACGTACGTCGCCGGCTGCACTCTAACCGCTAGCTGATCTGGAACCCACCGCACTAGGCTACAGGTGGTCAGTCACAGCGTTCTGGCATCACGAATTCTATTCCGTCTTCGACATAGCAACGAACGTGTCCGCGAACCGTCCACGTCAGTAGCGATGATGGAATTTACAGATTATTTACGACCTCCGTCAATGTCGATGAGTGGGACGGCTACTACCAGTCAAGTTTGAAGGAACTTAGGTGTATGCGGAACCATCGGCCTCTGTTAAAGTGAAAAGCTTCTGCTTTTAACTAATGTACAACTCGATTGTGAAATCATAGACCAACGATACTGCGAGACCGGAGGGCTGAGGGGATGAACGAAATGGTGATTCGTTCCCTTGTTTCCTCCGAGCCTGGTTGCGGTGTCAATTCTTATGCGACGTCAGGATAACTCTGCATTATGTACTTCCGTGAACCTCGTTTTGAAATCAATAGCGCATGACCTGTCATTCAACATCACCGCGGCCATGAAATCCCAGTCATCCAGCGGCCTTGTAGGATCCATGTGCGCGGAATGATGTTAGTACCTGTTTATAACGTATAGACCGGGGCATATCCTGGAAGTAAGAGTTAGAGAAAGTATCTTTTGAAAGACGGTGGACTGGCGCGGCTGGCAATGTGCCTGCCTCTGGCAGACGGAAGCTAAGGATTTCTCCAGTGGCAATCATGCGAGGATGATTCACTAGCAATGCGCCCTGCTTCTCCATGATTTCAACCACGGCCTGCAACAGAATGTCAAACCTAGATGCTGTGACAACTTGATGCGGAGGGCTAACTTTGTGATGACCGATGATAATGATCTTCTCAGTTCCTGAGCGAATGGAATCCTACTGGTCAATTCATCGCGCTATAGTAAGAAACGGACTGATAAACGAAAGAACATGATTAACATAGAAATTGTGACGACTATGATGTCAATTTTTACTTACGAGGGGGCAGGAAGCGTCCCAGAAGGCCGCTGCAGGTGAGAGAGGAAGGCTACTCAGGCTCTCTGAGCTAGGAAAGTAAGCCTAACAAATCGCTCCCACTAACCCAGGGCAAACCACAGTACCCAGGACGAGCTGCATGTTGTCAGAAATGGGCAGCTTAGAAGCATTACCATAATTCAAGATCGGGAGGAATGCAAAGTCCTGTCACAGGACTGTAAGAATGTGATTGAAAGCGCATTCAAGTTATGAGTTTTTGTTGAGTATAGCTATGGTAGTGTCCCTGGAATGGTGGCACCTGGAGCAGGAGACGGTTTATACACTCACTATAATACACGTTAGGGACGTTGGGTGAACCTTTTTGGGTAGGGATTGAACAGGAAGGAGAAAGGAGAACGTCAAGAATTGAAATACGAGACAAAAGTAAAGTAAATGCACCATTCAGGGTACACCGTAAACTTGAACACATCCGAATTAATCGTCACGAGTCTATTGAACCGACTCGACCAGCCGCTCCCGTCCACCTGCCGATGCGTGAGTGAAATCCGCACCTAGCAACGCAACGAAAAAAGACGACTCACATGATACATCAATATTTGTAATTCCAAACCTCCCTAAAGCCCATCCTGCGCATCCATTCCTCCACTTCACCTTGACCTGGTTTGCCAGCGAACGCTACATCCATCATCGCACGGTTCACGATTGATTTTTTGAAGGTATGTGTTATGATGCCGTCGGGAGATGAAAGGTCCGTGAGGAGAAACGTCTATAGTTTTTGGGTGCGTGATGATACGTTTCTGAGGGTGGGAGGAAGGGGGCAGGCATGCATCTAACCACGGGTGTAGGGGATGGGTCTTGAGCTTGGAGGTCGAGTGCTGTTTGAGTGAGTGTGAGACGTAGATATAGTAGAGAGGGAGAAAGAGACGTGCACTTATTCTTTGTCCCAGCCTCGACAACCTTGCTTCTCATGTCATGGGTGACGAAGCCGTTTGAGGGCTATGTTGAACACAGCGGCAACTCGTCTTGTACGCCCTTCATCAACGTTCAACTCTAGGAGCTGGTATAAGCGGTCACTAGTTAGTAGTGAGTTTTTGTGAACATCTTCAGGCCGACCGTGGGAACGGGAGGCAAGTGCTGACTCGACCTGAGCCCGAGTCGTGTATCTTTCGAATAGCTGCCTCTTGTCGACAACAGTCTGTCATTGAGGCAGTGATGGTCCACTCAGACAACTAGAAGTCACTCCATAATATAGAAGGAACGACCGTCTTCCTTCTCCTTTGGCCTGACTAGCCTTAGGGGAGACAAGGTTTCCACAACTTCAACTATGCTCATTTCTCACTGTCGACCTCTGGGCTATAACAACATTCTTCTACTCTTTCCATTTTCCGAGGCCTTGCTCGTGTTATTGCTGTCTAGATGAGAAAATTTGCCGCCGGACTTGAGTTCTCAGTGACTACCAGCGAATTTTGGCAGCATGATGTGAGTCTCATTCCCGGTGTTGGAGTCCCTTACTCGCATCATTACATGGTGATTTGCAGTCTCAAGGCGCTGATACTGAAGTACTGACATATGTATTTTTTTGCGCCATCAAATCATCACAGACACAACTAAATTTTACTGTGCGACTTCCAAAACTTTGACGGCAATCTTTTGCATCCAGTCTGAAGTCGTGAGCGGTTTACTGTGAAAAATCTATGATGACACCGCCCATGACTGAAACAATCCCAAGGGCCATCATGACAACAAAGGTGTCAGCTGATTATGAATCACGATCAAAGATCCGTGCACCATGGGCAGTTACTATAGCATACAGGTCCATATAGCTAATGGAAGGGGCAACATCTTGCCTAGCACTGATACTGATTTCAAATTTCAGTAGGGATCTTCCTCAATTGAAATTCCGGATGCGTTATGTAATTTCCCGTAAATTCTGTTACTTTTCCACCGAAATTGAATTTGGCTCTATATTATTTTTAACTTTGCTCGCGGTTCGTCGGAGAGGTCGGGCGCGTACTTATCCACCGTGACTGCTTGCAATTGCCCGTGCGCTAGCGCTCTACCATACATTACTGTAGAAACGGCTCAAACTTGACCCTGGGGTCACACGACATTTAAGCCAGGTATCGACCGCCGAAAATTTACATGCAGTGTACACTATCTTTGATGAATATCAAAGGAAGTTCTGGCTTAGGCTGTACATGCACGTGCATCGGTTATTAAATAAATCCTAGTGGCTTGGCGAATATCGTACTTAAGTACTAGTGCTCGCAGGTGTATCGCTCAGAGGTTCCATTCAGGACTTGCCGGCAGGTCACCACAAGGTGCATACTGAATACTGACTTATCCTGATATGTCTTCCTTATCGGTCTCAGACCTGACGAAGTTGCAGACAGTCAAGGTGAGTAAAGGTCGACTTCCAAGTTCCCTCTGATGTTAACATTATGTCCGACTTAGTACGCTAATTGTGAGTGTCCGCCGATCGTCTGAAAACTGGACGATGGCACTGACTATTGTTTTTAGTGGGCAGTCTTGCAATCCTCGTGAGTACCAAATACATTTCTTGTGTTTCTATCTCAAATATTTTTCGACGTTGCAGGTATTTGATTTTTGCATTACTTTTGCCGAAGAGGTCGAAGAAATGTCTGTTTGTTCGCGAGTATTGTTCTGACCACTCCAAACAGGTGCGATGGACCTGGTTCAGACCATGGGATGTAACTCGTGTAATATTTGTCATTTCTCGATATTTGCCTCTCGTGGGTGTTGGAATGACTGCATATGGCGAGTGACCCACTCTGATTTTCCTTATCTTGTGTATTGCTGATTGGAATGTATTAGATGCACTGCGTGTCAGCCATCAGGTAAGGTTGAATGGCGAATAGTTTCTACGTCAAGCTGATTGCATGGGTAAAGTGTACCTCTTCCCCGGAAGTAAAAGGTAAGTCGACCTGCCAAACGGTTCATTTTTCATGCAACTTAAACATTGTGGTGTCAGTCATTCACATCATAGGTATTATTGCTGCGGAATGTACGCGTTCCACATGCATTTTGAGAACGCAGTGGATCTCACTACCTTGGCAGCCCTACTGATTATTCGGAGGTGAGTTCATTAGTGTTTACGAACGAAAGTGGTTCTAATTTGACTATCAGAGGAGCCTCCCCTAGGAACTTGTTACTTCGAGGACACACGCAATGAGGCGGTCGTCTACATATTCTTGGCGATGTTCGAAAGCGGTCAGTGATTATCCACAATTTATTGGCCTTCTTGTTCATAACACCATGGCAGTGATACTGATCCTTACTGTATATAAGAGGGTTCACGACTATAAAAACTTTCAGAGCGGAATTGTGGTAACCCTGTACCACGATGGCATGTTTTACATGTTGTGCATCCTCGGTGCGTGGAAATAGTCGGCTCTGAAGATATCATTGAGTAACGCATTTGAAAAAAGGCATCACACTCGCCAATGTCATCATCGGAGCTGCACTTCCAGTACGCATCTGGGCTGTCAAACCCTGCGATTCACTAACTTTCTGTCTTTTCTGCAGAGTGCCTATAGCGATATGCTTGATGCGTACGTCACCGGTTGCACTCTGACCGCCAGTTGATCTGGAACTCACTGCACTAGGCTACAGCTGGTCATTCACAGCGTCCTGGCATCGCGAATTCTATTCCGCATTCGAGATAGCAACGAACGTATTCACGAACCGTCCATGTCGGTAACGACCATGGAATTAGACTGTTTACGACCTCCGACGATGTCGATGAGTGGGACGGGTACTACTACTCAAATTTGAAGGAATGTGGATATATGCGGAACTATCGCCCTCTGTTAAAATGAGAAGCTTCTTATCAAGCTGCCTCTGTACCTCCCGATGACTGTATCGACTGGACTTTAGCTTGTTCCTAGGGGAAACATGCAGCTGTCATTAGCACTGCATATTGCCGCAGCAGTCTGATATGTCAGTTACGTATCTTCGGAAACAACAGAGGGAGGTACCTCGCCCAATCAGATTCAGCTCCGAACAAGGCGCCACCAAGAATTTCACGCCTTTTCGGCTTCTGTCATTAGCTACAAAGTGTGGGAGTTATAGGTGCCGATGATGATCCGAATCTCCATGCTGACTTTGGAAACAGAAGCGCTGAATTGTGCTTGTCTAGCACGTACACTATCATTATACATCACCAACATTCCCCAGTCGCTCACGCCCATCCTTCGAATATGACCGTAGTCTTAAATAATCCCAGTTGGTGGCCGCTAATCGATTGGAATATGTTTTTCAGTTATTGGATAGGTTTGTTGCATCAAGGTATCTCGATTCAACATTGACTTCCGATTTCGCAGTTGCCGCTGGTGTCGTGGTGGTATACGATTGGGGTGAGCAGGACCGTGTTCGAAAACTGCTGATATTCTCATGGTATTTGCAGTACTGACACTAGGACAAGAGGTAGGTTGGTGTTATGGCTGGGGCGGAAAACTCGCTAAGAATGGTGTCATAGATTGAACTGATCTGGGTGAGTGACAAGAATCCTGTATCAGAAGAAAAACGGGAATTTGCAACAGAGGCAACGCTGGTCTCTCATCACTTTGTTGTATTTGGTCGTTCGTACTTCGCTTTGTTCTATAGCAAGTTGTGCTGACTCCACGGTGTTCTAGATACGCTATACTGGAATACCAATTTCTGTGTATGTGTCGAAGCCAACAAATTGGAACCATGCTAATAGCTTATCTCTGAGAATTAGTGCCTACGTTCTGCGTATGTTTCATATGCACTGTGTTCGATTTTTCTGACCGGCGGCACGCAGAAAGCATGCCATTGATACCGCTGACAGATGCAGCGAGTGTTCCGCAACCATTTTACTTACATCTAATCATTCTAATGAATACACTCATTTGTAGGGGTAAGTGAGATTCTGACCATTAAGCTTAGCTCAATATGATGACTTGATAGGTGTAAGTTGGAGCGTTTAATACTAGCACGAGGGTGATCACTAATTGAGTGTTTCAGGCAATATTACGAACTATGTAATAAATGTGACAAACGTAGTCATGGCCGCCATGTTGGGCAGTGATACCCAGATGCAATACCTCTGGGATGTTGACTCGACTGAAACACGATGCCAGTTGTGATGATTGCTCGCTTATATGCCATGTATCAGGGATCTAGAATTATGCTTATTTTCCTTGTGATTATCTTCCTGGCTGTCAACATCGCCTGCGGAGTAATCGCGGGAATAGTACTGAAGCATTTTGTAGGGGGTAAGCTTCACTTGTTGACTTAAAGAACACGACTCATTGGATAAACACTAGATGTGTGGATAATCTCTGGTACATACATGTGCAATACCAAATATGAGGGGGATTACCAGCTTCTCACTTCAATGGTTTGAATGCTCAACACTGTTTGGGAGGTCCTCGTACTGTATCTTTCAGTCTGGATTGCTGTGAAACACTTCCGTAACCTGCGACGGACTCGGCCCATCGACAAGATCGACTATTGGGGACTATTTCAGAGTCCTGATACAATCCCACGTGCTTTATTTTGCGAGGTGAGCTTCTCCTGTGAATGGGACTATCTCTTTCTGAAGTTCCGCACCTGCTAGCTTCGTTTGTGTCTCTTGCCTCCAGTTTGCTGATTTCTCTCCAGAGCTCCAGGTGTGCCGAGCTGTCGCTGACATCTGCATGTGACCACTTCTCATCATTTGTGTAGAATTATTCGACGACAACTCAGATACTCGGAGGTGCTCTTCAGATTTTATTGGTCGTGCAGATGTTTGTGCTGGGACCACGCCTCATCCTTAGCGTTCGACAATGTCACGCTAAACTCGTGGCCGAATCCAATATAGAAACCAGCATGAATTCGATTGTCTTCCAGGAGCGTGTACATGTATCAACTAGCAGTACCGTGTAGGGAAATGCTTGCCGAGCGGTCTGCAGGGAGGAAAAATTTGGGCGATGATCCGTCGTGGTACTTATTTAACATATGGTATTTCGAAGTATATCTGAAAAGTCCGGGCAAACCTATTTCTTCAACGGCATGTCACATTATGTAATATTGCAACCGATCTCGCAAATTTCCGACAAATTTATCGAGTTTAAACCACGCACCGGCCAAGTACTGGTACTGTGCGTACACGCGTCACTGCTCATTCTCCTAAACGCTGGAGAACAGCTACCGCCGGACTCGAGTTCGCAGTGACTACTTCATAGGCTGGCATGATGTGAGTCTCATTCGGGGTGTTCCTTTCCTTTGTTGGACACATCATTAGTACATGGTGATTCACAGTTTGAAGGCGCTGATACTTGATATATGGAATTTGTTGCGTCGTCAAATTGTCACAGACACAGCAAAAATCCATTCTAGTTAAAAGGCTTGTAAGTTGTAAACTTTCATGCACCGCCCAACAACAGTGGCTATGACTCAATCAATCCCAAGGGCCAACATGACAACAGTTGTTACTTGTCAGCTGATTGATTCCAGTCACTTACACCATAAATCATGATCAAGGATCCCGCCATGAGCAAAGTCGGGGAAATAAGGCCTGTCACTGTAACATACAGGGCACATAGCTCTGAAATTCTAATAGAAGGAGACATTGAAGAGACTAACCCGGTTGGCTAATGCCATTTCAGGGCTTCGGGATGCAACATCATTTTGATCTTCACATCGAGCAACGATCTTGCCTAGCACTGATGATCTGATCTAAAGTTTCAGTAGTCGTCCAGGGGTCTCCTTCAATTGAAATTCCAGAGTCTTCTTTGCTGGTTCGAGTTCCCGTAAGTTCTGTTACTTTTCCACCGAAATTGAAGTTGCATCTCATAGGCCCTATATTATCTTCGACTTTGCTTGCGGTGGGAGTGACAGACAGCGTTTGCAGTTTCGCATTACCATGCTTGGCGCCTCTAGCGCTTATCAAGCACTATCTCTGATGTTATCGAATGAATTTCTGCCTTTGGCTGTGCATGCACAGTATCGGTTACTAAATTAATACCAATGCCTTATCGAACATCGTATTTAAGCAATGCTCGCAGGTGTATCGCTCCATTCAGGACTTGCGGGCAAGTACCACGATACGCATATTGAATACTGATCTTATCCTGATATGTCTTCCCTATCGATCTCAGACCTGACGAAGTTGCAGACGGTCAGGGTGAGTAAAGGGTGACTTCCCTCTGATAAACTCGAGGCTAACATTATGTCGGATTTAGTATGCCAATTGTGAGTGTCCGCCGATCGTCTGAAAACTGGACGGCGGCATTGACTATTATTTTTAGTGGGCAGTCTTGCAATCCTCGTGAGTATCAAACAGATTTCTTGCGTTTCTACCTCAAATCTCTTTCGACGTTGCAGGCATTTGATTTTTGCATTACGTTTTCCGAAGAGGTCGAGGAAATATCTGTCTGTTCGGAAGTATTACTCTAACCACTTCCCACAGGTGCGATGGACCTGGTTCAGACCATGGGATGTGATTCGTGTCATATTTGTCGTTTCTCGATATTTACCTTTCGCGGGTGTTGGAATGACGGCATATGGCGAGTGACCCTCTCCAATTCTCCTTGTATTTTGTGTTGCTGATGGGCATATCTTAGACGCATTGCGTGTCAGCAGTCAGGTGAGCTTGGATGGCGAATAGTTTCGATGCTAAGCTGATTGCACGAGAAAAGTGTGCCTCTACTCTGGAAGGAAATAGTAAGTCGACCTGCCAAACGATTTATTTCATGCAACTTAAACAATGCGGATGTCAGTCATTCATGTCATAGGTATCGTTGCTGCGGAAGGTGCGCGTTCCACATCATATTAAGAGCGCGATGAGTCTCACTGTTTTGGCAGCATTGCTGGTTATTCGGACCTGGGCATTCTGGAAAAAGAGTAAAATATTGCTGATCGGATTATCGGTCTATAGCGTGGTACGTGTTTTGCAGAGCAGGGATGTTTGCATAGAGTTTTATTATCCCATAGTTGACAATTGCCGCCATCCTTGCTGTATCCCTCAGCCCTACAATGTTACTTTCAGGAGGTGAGTTCATTGGTGTTCACGAACGAAAGTGATTCTAACTTGACTATCAGAGGAGCCCCCCGTAGGAACTTGTTACTTCGAGAGCACACGCAACAGTGCGGTCGTATACATGTTCTTGGTGATGTTCGAAAGCGGTCAGTGATTATTCACAACTATCTATTGCTTTCTTGCTCATAACAGCATGGCAGTGATATTGATCCTTACTGTATATAAGAGGGTTCACGATTATAAAAACTTTCAGAGCAGAATTGTAGTAACCCTGTACCACGATGGCATGTTTTACATGTTGTGCATCCTCGGTGCGTGTAAATAGTTGGCTCTCAAGATATCATTGAGTAACGCGTTTGAAAAGGCATCACACTCGCCAATGTCATCATCGGAGCTGTACTTCCAGTACGCATCTGGGCTGTCAAACCATACGATTCGCTGACTTTCTGTCTTTTCTGCAGAGTGCCTACAGCGATATGCTTGAAGCGTACGTCACCGGTTGCACTCTGACCGCTAGTTGATCTGGAACCCACTGCACTAGGCTACAGCTGGTCAGTCACAGCGTTCTGGCATCACGAATTCTATTCCGTCTTCGAGATAGCAACAGTGTCTACGAACCGTCCACGTCAGTAACGACGATGGAATCTATACGTTATTTGCCACCTACGTCAACGTCGATGAGTGGGACGGCTACTACCAGTCAAGTTTGAAGGAATTTAGGTGTATGCGGAACCATGATGCCATCGGCCTCTGCTAAAGTGAGAAGCTTCTGCCCTTATCTAATGTACAACTCAATTGTGATATCATAGGCCAATGATACTGCGAGACCTTGGGACTGAGGGAATGAACGAAATGGTGATTCGTTCCCTTGTTTCCTCCGAGCCTAGTTGCGGTGTCAATTCTTATGCGACGTCACGATAACTCTGCATTATGTACTTCCGCAAACCTCGTCTTTAAATCAATAGCGCATGACCTGTCATTCAACATCACCCCGGCCATGAAATCCCAGTCATCCAGCGGCCTTGTGGGATCCAGAGTGAGCTGGAAAGCCCAAAGAATAAAGCGGTTTATGGATACCGATCTGTACTAATTGAATGAGCTCGGAAGATCATGTGCGCGGAATGATGTTAGTACCTGTTTACAACGTATAGACCGGGGCTTATTCAGGAAGTAAGAATTAGACAGTATCTTTTGAAAGACGGTGGACTGGCGCAGCTCGCAATGTGCCTGTTTCTGGCAGATGGAAGCTAAGGATTTCTCCAGTAGCAATCACGCGAGGTCTATTCACTAGCAACCCGCCCGGCTTCTGCATGATTTCAACCACGGCCTGCAACAGAACGTCAAACCGAGAAGCTGATACAACAACGCCCTATAGTAAGAAACGAACTGATAAACGAAAGAACATGGTTAACACTGGAATCCTGACGACTAAGATGTCAATTTTTACTTGCGAGGGGGCAGGAAGTGTCCTCGGGAGGAACGCAAAGTCCTGTAGACTGTAAGAATGTGATTGAAAGCGCATTCAAGCTATGAGTTTTTTCAAGTATAACTATGGTAGTGTCCCTGAATGATGGCACCTGGAGCAGGAGACGGTTTATGCACCCATTATAATACACGTTAGGGACGGAAGTGAAGGTCGACAACGAACCCCGCAGCGCCGATGGGACGGATCCAGAGTCCAGACCATCGAAGTCGCTTAAATTTATCTGGCAAGCGTATTAAAATTCTCCCAAGGCGATCATGATATTTTACAACCTATCACGATTCGCCAGCATGACCGGCCTCCAGCTGAATTGACAGTGATCGATCATGAATTATGTGCTTGATCCATTAGGTAGGCGACTCACCTATGTTGGTTACGAGGGTCGACTTCCGAGTCCCCAGGTCCGACGCCTGTCACGGTAGTGTTCGCCTAGGTTCGCCTGCCGAGGAGCCCATCGACTCCGAGGGCCTGTTCAAAACGTTCAAGTCTTGGTTCTCTTTTAAGAACTTTACACACCGTATGAGCCATTCAGGGCCCGGGTGTCGGAGTTCCGGTGAACTCCGAGTCCTCCTCTGTCCTGCGGATGTCGTCCTCGAGTAAGGAGTTTTACCCGTTGGTCGAAAGGCTTGAAGCTTGAAGCTTTGAAGGTCTGAATTCAAATACTATGTGATGCATTTGACATATCACTCGGCTTATATACTAATGTCAAAATTAGGAACATCTGCAATTCCTTTTCGCCACTTTCAGCTTCTTTCCTACAACTTATTCGTAAAGAATGAGCCCACCCTGAACGGATGACCGCGGGATCGCTGCTCTCTACTTCTTTCACTATGATAGCGCTGGCGTCCATTGACTACCGAGGATGTTGGTGAGGGCGTATTATCAGCTTAATCCAGTCCACCGCAGCCTCTCGACGCCCTGCCAACCATCAGTTGCTTCTTCAAGTTGGTTCTGGTCCTTCCCTCAATTTCAGCAGCTCGGAATATGAGGATGTTAACGCTATGGCACCTAGGTCTTCGCAGACTGCTGGGACACGAAGAAAGAAACTCGCGTATTCTAGTGTTGTTGAGCTCTCTTGTATTGGCAGGATGGTTACACCTCAGGCAGTACATTTGGCGTCTAGGGAAGCCGTCAACAGCACGGGCAACCGGAAGATTTTGTTCCTGCGTACGTTTCTTGACCTCCTGGCAAGAAAATGGTGACCGTCCCACGTCCAATCACTCGATTCCGTTAGGATCACAACCATATCTGGCTCCTCCATCCAACCTCGTATTTTCTTATGCACACACTACATTGAGAATTCGCTCCTTTAGCCGCAAGTTCCGTCTGAAAGCGCGAGTTGGTCACTGGGACATACTTTTACTTGTCCGTGTTGAAGCTACCAAACCTATGATCGGGACGTTTTTGGTTATGGACATAGGTGCCTAACTGATCACCCTTGTTTTTCACATGGATATGATCTTGAAGACAGATGGGTGTCCCCGTTCTGGATGTGCGGAGGCGCATCACATCTCTGTGGGTCGCCCCACATGCATCCTCCTGCTTTGTTCCAACTTACCTTCACCATGTCTATCCCTTCCTAATTCATCCATCAATTACACGTGGGTAGCAAATATCCACAGTATCTGGAGGCGCTTATAGAAGCACACGAAGGTCTACACGCTGAGTAAGTGGTCAATGTGTGCCCCAGTGTTACTTACTCTCACGGAGACAGGTTGAGATTAACCTAGGGAGCTCAGTACGCATTTATCTGTCCTGGGAACATACAGTGTAAATGACTGAAGGGTACGTATTGTCTCTCCCTTACTTTCAGAGAACCAGATTATACGTCATTCTAAATATTGCCATCCTGCTCAAATCAATTTCTAAGGAATACATATCCGGCTCAATTTGATTAGGCGGTCTTCACATAGATTTGGCTCGCAGTGCAGAGAACCTGAAATTCTTTTATCAGCAAGAGCTTTGATGAATCATATTTTATTTACCTCGCCAGAGTACACGTTATCGCAGGCGCTGTTCACGTTCGGGTTGTTCGCGAGCAAAGTGCTGATCGGGATGCCAGCCGCGTCGGCAACGCTTTGGCACGTGTCGCCGGCCCCCATAACATGGGTAACATCACAATCCTGGCCGGTGAGTCCAAGGCATATGATCTATGACGATGAGTTCAAGTGTTTTTCAAATGTCGAAATGTCTTACTTGTCCGATGAACAAATTGTCACAACCGGCGTCAATGGTTCCGCTGTTGACTGTCGCTAGCTGGTATCTGCGGCATACATTCGATGAGCAAGTGAATGGAAGACACCTGATTGTACGTACGTTGAAACGCTCTGTACTGCGGAGATTCCATCACATGTATCCATAGCTCGAACAGTTACATTACGGTCGCAATCTTTGGGGAGGATACCTAGACGTTTTGCTGTCATAAATGTGGGCATCATCGAAACTCGAAGGATTACTGACTCTGAGCAGACACAACTGAGGCAATGGCAGCGAGCGCAACGAGTCCGGCGGTGAAGAATGAGGCGTGCATACTGTTCAGATGAGGAGATTGAGAAACAGGTGAGTAATGTCTGATGCTTTCAAGTCGACTTTTCTAGCTGCCTTTATACACTTGAAGGATGAACACCAGTCAGCGAGTCTGACGCTGCCTGACGGCCAGCCTTTGCCGTTTTTTTGGCTCGTCACGACTTGGCATGCTTGGACTGTGAGTAAATGGACACCATCATATATGGCACGCGCGGCATTCACGGAGGAATATGAGTCTGATCTGACGTGTTCAATAGACTTGGTGAAAATTTACTCGTGTAGCTTAATATGACACGTCGTATCACGCCTACCCGGTAGATCTAATTTACGAGTGGACAGCCTTGGGGTGATCCGGGGACGAATGCTGTGGGGGCTAGACTCGTTGCCTCATTAGACGGGCTGGTCGCGAGTTTATGTGGGGGCCCTCCCGAGGTGGACAACGGAGAAGGCTGGAAAAAGATGAAATCAGTACCACTAGTGTAGGAGAAGGAACTGGTCAAACTTTATAGGGTCATGTAGACTATGTATACAAGATTTCTAATGGAGTCATCGATCGATCGAGTCGCCTCGTCCCGGATCTGCATGATGCATTCAATAAGGATGTGAATATTGTGAATTACCGTATGAGTATATGTACTACTTCACAAACACAAACTTCGTATAGCAACAGTACGTCATCCTTCCGACTCGGGACTCGGAGCTCTCTACCCACCTTGCTTAAAGTCGCTTTGACAACCAACTTAAGGGACGACTGCAGCAATTCCCGGTAGCTGATGGGGATCCCGCGGTTCTCGGCTTCCGCCAGTCTCAATTTCAGCATGGGTTTTCAAAATTTCACTCTTCGTGCTTTTCCTGCTCACCAAAACATCTTTAGAGTGTAGATAATCATGAAAACCAACATTCTGTTGACCACATACCACACGAATGACCAGTGTGACAAGGGATGTCATTTTCTTTCGCTTCATCTACTATTGACTGATCGAGTGTTTTTTCAGAAGTACGACGATAAAGCAACTAAATTGGCACGTCCATTACTGTACGAATCGTAACATATCATTCACCATGGTCATATATCAGTTTTCCACTGCCACCGAGAGTACTCATCGACTTGCCGACTCGGGGCCTGCTCAGAGCAACAAATTCTTGGTTCTCTTTCGAAGAAACTTTCTACAGGTTTATGATACACCGCACGAGTCACCCGGGTGTCCTCATTTGCCATCCGAGCCTTTCCTTCCCTGAGCCCTCCCCATAGCGACTCTCCCCTGCGGACTCGTATTCGTCTTCGAGTAAGGAGACTTGCATATCGATCGAAAGACTTGAAGGTCTGAATCCGAATGCTATGTGATGCATTTGACATATCGCTCAGCCTACTATGTACTAATGTCAAAATTAGGAACATCTGCAATTCCTTTTCGCCACTTTCAGCTTTTTGATTAGGTGGCCTTCACATAGACCTTTTTCGCAGTACAGAGAACCTGAAATCCTTTTATCAGCAATGGTTCCGATAAATCACATTTTATTCACCTCGCCAGGATATATGCTACTGCAGTCGGAGCCTACGTTCGGGTTGTTCGCGAGCAACGTCTTTTCCGGGATACCAGCCGCATCGGCAACGCTATGGCACGTTTCGCCGCTCTTCAAAACATGGGTATCCTTGCAATCATGGTCTTTGATTCCAAGGCATATAACCTATGACGATGAGTTCAAGTGTTTTTCGAACATCAAAATATCTTACTTCTCCGATGGCCAAATTATCGCAACCGCTGTCAATGATTTTGCTGTTGACTGCCGCCAGCTGGTATCTGTCGCATACATTCGATGAAAAAGTGAACGGAAGGCACATGATTGCACGTACGTGGAAACACTGTGTGCCGCGGAGATTTTGTCACATGTATCTCCAGATTGAACAGTTACACTACGGTCACAACCTTCGGGAAGATGACCTAGACGTATCATAAGTGTTGGCATCATCTAATCTCGAAGTATTACTGACTCTCAGCCTGAGCAGAAACAGCTAAGGCGATGGCAGCAAGCACAACGAGTCTGGCGGCAAAGAATGAAGCGTGCATGCTGTTCAGGTGAGGAGGTTCAAAAGGCGAGTGGTATTTGATGTCTTTATGCCAACTTTCTAGCTGCCTTTATACACTTGGAGGACAAATATTGGTCGGCGAGTCTGACGGCCAACGTTTGCCGTTCTTTCGAGTGGTCGTGACTCAACATCCTTGAGCTGTGAGTAAATGGACACGATAATACGGCATGCGTGGCATTAACGGAGGAATGAGTCTGGTCTGGTCTGTTCGTGTAACCTAATGACACGTCGTGGCAAAATCAAATCAATGGAAATGTGCTACAACGTCCCACCTGGTAGGGAAAATATTGTGCAAAGTGGCGCATTTCTCCAACTTGCATATAGTTGTCACCTGCGGTAAATTCACACATTTCTTGAACTTCCTGTTTTGCGACTTGCTGTCCCCTGTGAAGGACCGTCTGCGGCTTGGCGACCGCCAGCACCATCTTACTTTAGGCAGTCGACAGTCGGTTTTCTTGCTTCTTCACCTTCCATCGTCTCCGTTGCTCTACCTTGTCGTAGGCGAGTATTTATAACCCAATATCTTCAGCAATTCAAAAACTAGCTTCTGTGGTCCAGACTAGTGCTGCCGTGGTCCGGTTCGGTCCGGTTCAGAGGGCCCTGGACGAGAACCGAGAACTGGACCATGGTCCAGTTCTACAAAATTGTCGAACCCAGAACCGGACCATCAAGAACGGTTCTTAACAGTCCGGTTCGGTTTTTTTGCGGTCCGAACGTGAACCGAACCGCAAATTTTTCAAGCAGCAAGGAAAAACATTCACAATACATCTACATGACATTGGGTAGCTAGGCTAATGACACACCAGCTGCGTACTCTTCTGCCTCTACTGCCGCTGACACATGACCATTCTTATAGGCTGCCTTCATTAATTGTAGCGCAGAGAATGTGGATGGTGCGAGGGCGTTGCGGCGCAGAGTCGATGTGATCCCCGCACTGGAGAAAGCGCGTTCCGATGGGACTGCACTGCCTTGAATGGGCAGGTAATCACGCGCAACACGAGCTAGCATTGGATATTGCATTGAATGTAACTGATCAAGGATGTAAGCGGGGAACAATGAATTTGAGGGCTGACTTACACCCCACCACGCGACAACGTCATCCGTCTCCTCCAATGGTGAAGTAAGGTATGCGGAGAGCTCTTGATGAGGATCGCGCGTGCGATGGTCTGTAGCTTGACGTTCCATGATAGCGTCGCGCATCCAGGAAGCACCATAACAAATTGAAGCTTTCGTTGTTGACATGGCCAATGGCTCCTTGGGTTGCAGTCCTGGGGCTGGAGGCGCTTGATAATATTTGTCAAACTAAGCATCCATCTGAAGTTAGAGACCGCCAGGATACTTAAGGTTGAATAGTACTCACCACCGCCTGAAGACGAGCCCTCCCATCCGCGACCTTCATCTCAGTCCATCGCCGTTCAACATATGCTAACTTGTAGTTGGGGTCAAGAACTGTAACAAAATGAGACATGGACTTGAGCAAAAACTCGATACTTACCTAGACAGATAAAGTAGACATCCGAGTCACTAGCTTTCTGGTAGTACTTCTCAACATTCTTGAGACCCTTCGTAATGGCATCCGCGATTATTGCGTATTCTGGATTTCTTGCCATCGTCTCCCATGCGCTAGCGAGACACTCTAGTGTAGGTATAGTCTGCCAGGCTGTTGGGTACGCGACCGACGAGAATGATTGCTGTGCAGTTGCAGGTTCCTATAACAATCAGTAAATAAAATAAAAACAGATATACAAATAAGTACCTTGAGGACGTCATGCACTAGCCGTATCTTCCTCCAGTCGGCTTGATCAAGCTTGAAGTCACTATATGACTTGTTGCGCAACTTTGGGACCTCATGGCTCTCATCGGCAAGTAGAGTGAAGCGGTTGACAGCCTGAAAGATGTTAGATACTAAACCGGCAGTTGTACATCTCACCTACCAGGCGAAGAGACAAGAAGCGCTCGAGGCACTTGAACAAGGAAGCCCAGCGTGTTCTCACCCATGTCAGAATCTCACGAACGGCAACACCTTCTTCCTCGCATGATTTCTTGAAAAACGCTTGAGCTTGCGGTGATTTACGGATCTAGTTATTGGTTGTGTCAATGAGAACTCGAAGACAAAAAGAGAGGACTTTACCTGTTCAATGAGTGCCAATGCTTTTCCAACAGCATCGCCGACATCAAAACCATCCTCAACAATAGCTTCAGGGTCGTGTTCCAATGCTGCAAGTTGTTCAGTTAAGCTGGTGATGTCAGTATCCTCGTCATAATCGATAGCGTGACGGATCTTGCATAGTAAGGTTGCCTGTGGGGTGGGTGCGACTCCGTCAACAAAATGTCGCGCTGCAAGATTCAAAATATGCTCTTGACAGTGGATGCGACGGGGACCTGGAAGCCAGTGGGTACCATCTGCATCTATGGCCTTCGCTACTTCACTCATAGCGGTATCATTATTTGAGGCATTGTCCGACGTCAGCCATCCAACCTATGCAAGCGAAGTCAATCCACAGCTGAAGCCAGACTCTGGGAAACATACCTTATTGCGAATATCATACCTATCTATCGTCGTAACGAGTATATTGCTGATGTTGTGGCCGCTATGGTTGCCTTCAATCCGCATGAAATCAAGTTGCTCATTTCTCAGCTCCCACTGCAGCGGTTTGCCAGCAGGGCTCCAAATATAATGTCCAGTAACCGAAAAAAATGGTTCGCCGATTATCGATGTCCATGAATCGAAAGTCATGGACACCGCACTGTCAATATGCTAATGAAATATTGTAAGACTGATGCCATAATATAAGTAGGTCAAGACTCACCGCTAGACGCTCCTTGATATTTTCGACCACAGTCATTGCTCGAGACTTGATTGTTTCCGTTAACTTGGTGCGATGCGGAATGTCCTTTTCAGTTAGGGTGGGACGCGCATACTGTAATAAACGCTGAAATGCTGGCTTGTCAATTAATTGTATTGCCTGGTGTGATGTGAATAAATTGATACAATATATATATAAAAACAACGTACCTTGTCTTCTGTCACGATAAGTTCCATGATATATTCAAGCAAGCCTTCCTTGGTGAACGCAGGTGGTTTGCAAACAAGCTTGCCATCGAGAGTTGATTGTGATTGTGTCATGATGTCGTCTTCTCCAGGTGGGATTGCACGAGAGTGCATTGTGATGCCTGCGGCGTCACAACGCTCCTTGTAGACTTGAAAATGCGACTTCTTGTAACAGACAATATGGGTGCGAAGTGTCGAAGTACCTCCACGAAATGTGTGCTTCTGCACTGGTTCACCAGCGGCCCTTGTTTGAAAGTTATTAAACGACATATCAAAAACAATATGGACCACTTACTTGCATAGTGTACACACCCACCCATCAGGTAAACGGGTAAATATAGTCCTAACGTCCGCTGTGCGTTCGCTTTTTGAAAGCTAAATACAGGTCTTAGTTGAGACTCAAGGAAAACAATAAACGAGTACATACAGTAGTGGTGCACCCGTTCTCGGATTTAGATTCATCAACTTCATCGTCGACCTCTGGTTGGGGGATCAGCTCGTCAGCAGACGACTCCAGACTCGTTTGTCGCTAGTATAGGGGGAAGAACTACTTGGGGTTAGTTCTGTCAGTTACAACCGGCAGAACCGTGGCGAAACGAGTCTCGGCTATGTAACAATGTTATATAGATGATATCAATGTTGCCTCGTCCCATGTATCCGTCATCCTTGCCAATATTGTAATCAACTGTCTCGACCCCATCTAGAATAGTCTGCGGTATCATTCATTGTCCAACCTGATCTAACTCGTCAGAATCAACCAAAAAGTGCGCGCAACGTATGTATAAGTGTGTCACATAGCACGTGCTGATAGTCACTTCGCGTCCGTCACAAAGGAACGCAACTTTGTTTGAGCCACTAATCATCATGTATATTAATATCGTTGGTCTCTGCGCTTGACAGAGACCTCTTGTATTAACATGGCTCCGAAATACCCTAAAATCTCAGGTACGTTCTCTCTCTTATTGGGTCAGGTTCACAAATGACATGACTGATTTGCAGGTTATGAGCTCATTCAACAAATCGGTGGAGGTACCTTCTCGACCGTGTTCAGAGCCGTCAATATAGAGAGCCATCAAGTGGCAGCATGCAAAGTGATATTCATCAAGGAGCAGACTACCGACAAGGAACGCCAGATTGTCGAGAAGGAGATGAAGATTCATAAGCAGCTCAAGCACAAGCATGTCCTGGAGTTTCTACAGGCTGCCGTGGTGGAGCGCAAGTACAAAGATTGTTATGTCCCTGGAATGTACATGCTACTAGAGCTTGCTGCAGGAGGAGACCTCTTCGACAAGATCGGTGCGTTTCGTCGACCGATCATGTATCCAATCATTAACTCGTGACTCATCAGCGCCGGATGTTGGGATTGGAGAGGATGTGGCACACTACTATTTCGGCCAGCTACTGGCAGGGATGGTGAGATACCAACACTGATCATCCACATTCAAGTGAGACGAAACCTTTTCGAATCATAGGACTTTATTCATCGCGAAGGAGTTTGCCACCGTGATCTGAAACCGGAAAATATCTTGCTTGATGCAGCTGGTACCCTCAAGATATCAGACTTTGGCCTCGCAGCAATCTATAAACTCAAGGAAAGCGGCAAGACAAGACATTTGGACGGATTGTGTGGCAGCTTGCCGTACATGGCCCCAGAAGTGCGTCATATTTACATATTTTCGGATAGCGCTCACGATGTGATTCCAGGTTCACTACCAAACACCGTATGAAGCAGAGCCCATTGATGTTTGGGGGATTGGTATCATTCTTTTCACACTTCTCGCAGGAAGTCCGTCAAAACTCCAATCATGTCCATAAACTCTTAGATTAACGTCCCTCCCAGATACCCCTTGGGATCAATCCACAGCACAATCCTCAGAGTTTTGTCAGTATATCACGGGCGAGTTATTTAATGAGCCCCCTTGGAATCGTTTAGAAGAAGAAGCCCTATGTAAGCAGGATCATGCGCTTTCGTGATCATGCGCGCTGATATGCCCACCAGCACTTATCTGTGGTCTGCTAACCATCGAGCCAGAGGGTCGTATGACACTCGCCGAAGTATTCGCTCACCCGTGGTGCAGAAGACCAAGTCAAATTGCGAAGCAAGGGGTTGTCACGCTTGCAGACCACTTGGCTGAGTCTTTGAGGGCGAACGGTGATCTGAACTATGCGATGCCGGATATTACGTACGTTTCCAGGATTATCATCACGAGGCCGATATTCAGTTCATATGTAGCGAAACTCGCAAAGATAAAGATGGAGACGATATCATGCTCTCTGCAACTCATCAATCCCAGTTCACCCAATCACTTCTATTATTCGTATGTCTCCCATGCGCATCTCAGTTCCATTTTGAATCCGTTGTTCCCTCTAGTCACAAACACAGTCTGGTCGCAGATATACACCTAGCCTTACTCGCTTTTATACTTCTCTTGGGCCAGGGATCATGATGCAACTCATAAAAGAATCCTTGACTGCCCTTGGTGTCAAACACAAAGACGGACCTACCGGTGAGGACGAACGAGGGGAGATCCTTCGGTTGCGCGTAGGCGGGTATGATAAGCGGAATATCGCATTCAAAGGCTGGATCGAGCTCGAGAACTTCTGCTACGATGAAACTGACGGAAGCTTCTGCTTGATGACTCGCGACCTCGTAGGTTTTGTTTCATTCTTGGTTTCTGGATGTAAGCTCATGGAGCCGCAGGGGAATCCTATCTCGTGGCGCCAGTTGTGGAAATCACTAATTTTGTCACCAGCTGTGGATCCTCATGTGCTCCGCAAATGACCACATTGACACTGTGACATGACACTCAACACTCTTTTGTTAGCCTATATCCTGTTTGAACTCATGTTTTTGGAAGCTTCCCTCTTGCTGCCTTGTACGCGATCTGATTGAATACTTCCGTATGCCATACACTGCTACAGGAGACGATCTATTTGGTTGATGTTCGTGGTTTACTTTCCTAGAGTCCCACTGCAATTCAATTGTAGTTTCGTCGATTTCAGCCTTATTGTCTCCTTAGCATCTCAGTACGGTGTGCTTTGAATTGCGTTCTGGCAGGTGATGTTTGTTCGAATGCCCTGGGTAGGACATCAATATGAACAATCGGGATCTGGGCGGTTCGAATGTTCAGCGTGCAAATAAATCAACGATCAGAATGTTGTCTCTAACAGCTGCAGCAGATATCAAAGAAACTGGTACCCTATATGTATAGTACATTGTGTTGAAGTACTTATGCACATGCCTGAATTTCTTTGAGACGAGTCGAGGGCGGCGTTCAAGTACATGATAACCACCTTTCGAACACAAATGACCCGGTACGACGGCGTTTTGTAGAGTGATTCCAGTCGGACTTCTCAGGCTGGTGCGACTTCAGGATAATTCTTCATCATGCGCACGCTGCCTGATATCCGGTTCCGCCGTGTCGCACTCTTACTCGTCAACTTAATGCCGCACGGCCGGGTAAGTGGCTGCACCCCAGACACATACGTACCCCATATCATCCAGCGGTTTCGTAGGATAGAGACTGGGCTCAACAATTAATGTAAACTTCAGGATAGAACCGACAGTTATGCCTACCAGGACCCAATGGCCTCCATCTCACGTTAACCTCAGAGACACCGGCCTTCATTCCAACGAGGATATTAGTTGACCAGCAAACGTCGGTGCTTCAGCAGAGGCATCATCGAATCGCATTGAAGTTTGTTACATCGAAACTTTTAAAAGTAAAATATCTCAATCAGTATAGTACATCCCAGCATCACCTCAGCCATTCGAGGAAAGCCGCCTCGCTTGGGACATCTTACTCCCCCACGACAACGAAATAATTGACCCCAACTAGCCTCAGCCCATGCTTGTCAGCAAACCTTGCTGCATTCCAGTTCTTTCTATCTGCAGCCTCGTTCATGCGTTCCGGGGCATCGGCAGGGATCGAGAAGTCCGCACTAGGCTCCTGGTATAACAATAGCACTGTTGCAGCTATCATCAGCACATATAGCGACTATAACAGAAGTTGAATCACCATAACGATGCCTGCCAGTTCCCGGGGGAGGGGTGGGAGGATAATAGGGCGTCACAGCGGGTTTGGTGAGTTGTGCATCAAGATTGTCTGTCTCAATGGCTGACGTCGGAGGAGCTTTCACGCCAGTGACCTATACATGAAAGTAAATAGACAGTTTGCAGTATATGATAATACTAACCACCCAGTGCCGCCACTCTCTGAATTTGGGGTTTTCCTTGGATGGTGCGTCTGGGTCTGTCATGACGAGCGTATAGGTGGGTTCATCGGTCTGGTCTGGCACCTGCATTGGAGTGAACGCAACAGTTGGTTCGTCAGCGGTGTCTGTTTTTGTGAGTGTGTTCCCAAGAAGAGCCTCTTGGCTAGTGGGGAAGGTCACGACGAGCAGAGCCTTGGGATGGAAAGGAGGGTCAACAGGGATAACATCTGGAATGATACCATTCTCCTTGAGATCTTCTCTGACAGCATTGAGTGGATCGAGCATCATTGTGGGCTCAAGTCGAGGGTTTTGACGATGATGAGGCTATAGTCCAAAGGAGACAAGTAAAGATCAAAACTGAAGTCGTCATTGGAGAAAGGGGTGCTTATGTAATATTCCGTGCGTGGGCTTGCCGGCATTCTGAGAGCCTGTAAGATAAAGCAGAAAACTGTGCTAGAGAACATCGAATGGTGCCCGTAACACTACATGATTGTCTTATTCGCATGTCGAATTCAAGAACTGCAACAAGTTCTGCCTATTGGCGTCCATCTCGAGATCTCTGGCATCCTTATGAACTTTCAACTTGATCTGAGACAATTATATGAGAGTCTGAGGCCCGGATCTGGACAAAGAAAACTGACCTTCTTGCCTGTTAGAACGCTGCGCCTTTCATCCTTGTCCTTTCCATTATCCCTGTCCTTATGTTTCTTGTACTTCTTGTCTCGATCTTTCTCTCGATGCTTTGACTTGGACTTGCGAACATCGCGACTATCCGAACGAGAACGAGATCGGTGACTCGGCGAATTCCCCCGCAACCTATGCCGACTACTGCCACCACGCTCCTTAGATGACATAGATGCAGCAGAGTTTGCCGAAGGTGAGAGAGATCGGCGTCGATGTTCAGCGGTCTACAATGCATTTATGCACAAATCTTCAAATGTCAATGGCAACTCAGTAAAAAAAAATGAGACGACAACGTACGACGCTACGACTTCTGATTCGTCCACGACTCTGGGAAGGCTCGTGGTATTTGTCTCGGTCCTACAGTAAGGTTAAAACAACATCGGAAAAAGACAGGAAGTGTCTCACATTGTGATCATCCTTTCCTCTGTCTCTCGTATCATCATGGTACTTGTGACTGTGTGAGCGGTATGGACTCCGGGACCTTGAACGTTTAGTGTGACGAGACCTTCTGTCTTCTTTCTCGCTATGGTGGCTGCGTCTTTCAGGTGACTTTGAACGACTCCATCCTCTATCTCCTCCTGTTCGGAGAATGCGTATCACGACATGTTATGAATATGAGCATGAGTGAATGCGTTGTCGCCCCATTACCAGCACAGCCGACGTAGTGCGTGGTAATCAACATTGACACAGAAGGTCAGTCGAGAATCTTTGAGGAGTAACGGAGACCATTTACCACTTCGCCTATGGTTATCTCTTGAGCGGTGCTCTCTCCGTTCACCGTGTCTTCTCTCGCTCATGAGGGTTGTTGTAGACGACCCGGTGGAGAATCATAATTCATTGTTTGGTACTACTTGCTTATTAAGTGTTTGGAAAAGTGTATCACGGGGCGCATGTTAGGTCACATGGCATGCCATTCATCCGCTGTATGTAGGCGTGTCCTGCCAGTGTCATTCACAGCCTCCATGATCTAGGCATACTTGCTTCGGCCTCATGGTACCCGTACGTCCAAGTCATTTCCTACTAAATCAAACATTGAGCATCACCCTAGTACCACCAATGGACTCTGAGAGTCCAAGCTCGATTGGACAATTTTTACATCGCCAACAGGCGGCATCAGTAAATTCACACATTTCTTGACCTTCCTTTTGTGCAACTTGCCGCCGGGTAATTCCCGAAAAGGAACGGCAAAGCCAAGCATAAGAACGGTGACACCAACTTGCCGTGAACTTGCCACAAGACGATTTTAAGTCGAAAAAGTAGGTGCCTCCTCTTGACTTCGACTTTTTCCAACCTTATTTTGACTTTTTTTGACAATTACTTTACACTTATTCCTACACTGCAAGTCGTGCAAGTAGTAATACTTATTGTGACTTATTTTCACACTTATTTCACACTTGTTGAGATGAAAATGACCACAAAACATTGCATTTCAAGTGATAAGTAGATTAAGTGAGAAAAAAAAGGAGGGAAAGTAACATGAAAGTACTGGTAAGTAGCGAAAAAGAGACCTCAAACATGCGTAATAAAGTGAATAACACGACGAGTAGTAGTACATGCTGGTAGCGGCGGCGACTGCGGCGGAGACGCAGGTGGGTATACTAGTAGTACCTGACTCTACAAAAGCATCAAAAATCATCAGTCACGAGATGCTAGAAAACAACAAAAAGGACAGTACCAAATATCGAAGATAAGCGCACACTCATCCTCAGAATCCTCGTCTGGAGTGAGGGGCACACCACGCCTCTTTGCAGCGATATCCTTCGTGCGTTCCCAGATGTCCTGGAGGACCGAGTCTCCAAGGTGGTTGATAGATTTCATGTAATTCCTGGTTGCCATACCATAGTTAGTGTCTGAAAACGCCTTTCGAGCATTGCTAGTCTTGCCCGAGGCTTTGTTCAGACTGTGGGGGACCTTGACCGCCTTCCCTTTACTGTTGACTGCCAATTCACTGATGAGCGTGTTCTCGAGCCCAATAAGTTTGAGGGCACGTTCCATCTGCAATGCGAACAAAAAAAACAAGTTAGTCATAGTATGACGAGAGAGTGAATATACATGCTGCCACAGTGACAAGACTAAGAGCACCCTTGGCATGCGTAAGCTTCCTGTGGGTATCAATAGCGCCCCAAGTAGCACACCTGTGCTGTACAAGGACTTGAATAAGGAGTTCAGACTGAAAGGGTTTCTTATATTTTCCATCCTGTGTGATGCTCCCGTACAAGAATCCTAGCTCGAAGAGTAAGTTATTTGCAAAATCTTTGCGGTCTTGGTCAGTCCGGACATCGTCCTGCAATGTCATGAAGTGTGTAAGTACCGAGATGGCAGTAGAGCCAATGCCGTTGCACCACTCTGATAGCCGCTGGATGGCCTAAGAACAAATAAAAATTATCAGATACGAATTGCATCAAAAATAACTTACTAAAGCCATAACAGGACCATCAGTAGTGACTACGTGGGGTATATCCTGATAAACCACATCCCAGGTGTCTTGCATAATAGCGCAGAGAGTTTTCTCGGACTCGACATGATCCCACACTTCATCTTGATCTCCGATAGCAAGAATGAGAGTAGGGATGAACAGGGCACTCCACTTAGCTACAACTCGGGGACCTCCAGGAAGGTTTTTGACCCTGTAAGCAGAACGGGGGAGGATCTCCACCTCTATAGGGTTCATAGCACCAGAAGTCACACTCGAGATGCTGGAAAGACTCTGAGTGTGTGCGACGGAAGACTTTGCCCGCTTTGCCACGCGAGCTCTGTGTTTGACACCAACATTAGTCTATATAATTCATTGTTAGTATGATTAAACATCAGCCACCAAAGAATACTACCGCAGAAGTGACCCGCAAGGACACTGGTTCAGGTTCGGTCTTGATTATAGGCGTTGTTTGACCCACAAATTCAACTTCAGACGAGGCTGAGTCTTCCTCAATCACGAAGGCATGATCGGCCATAGAGTCATCATCAACGATGAGATTGTCCTCGATGTAGTGGTCCTTAATGTGGTTGTCCTCAAGCAGGTCATCCTCGAGCAGGTTGTCCTCGAGCAGGTTGTCCTCGATTATGTCATCCTCCAAATCCGCGAGTTTGCGCTTGACGCTTGAAGTCAGAGTAGTAGGGTAGGATGTGTGAGCTCGAGCTGTAGCCCAGCGGATGTCGACATCATAATATCCTTTGGGAACCTGCGTAGAAGGAGGAGGTTCGAGATCAGATTCCATATCAGTGTCAGATGCGTAGTTAACGAGGGGGGTTACTACTGGGGGAGCCACCTCAACATTCATTTCGCAATCATCATCAGGCTGGATCGTGTCGAGCTGTTTGAGAGTCGGGTTAGCATTGCGATGAGCTAAGTTCATTTGAACCGAAGTATCAGAGACCTGATGAGAAATCTTGACACCCTAATAATACGGTTAACGCATAAAAAAAAATAACTATATAATCCAACTCACCTGAGCAGCCTTGGGTTTTGACATACGAGTAAGGGCTTGAGAACGCTCGACTGATTCGGCCAAATCGTCGTCTGCGAACAGGGTTGTAAAATGATCTGCCACATTATCAGCCCCAGAATTGGCGATAGTGTTGATGGGCGTAAGTAGGGCACCACCGCTACTAATGGTACTCCCCCTAGTGAGCTTAGAGGAGGAAGTGATACCAGAGAAGTCGGAAGGCAATGGGAATGGTCTGATTTTCAAGTTGGAGGGTGACTTTGAACAATCAGCAGGAATTCTCGATATCCAACTTGGGATACGCATGGCAGCAACACCAAAATTGTCAAGACCTGGTGCAGAACTATCATGATCATTGACCATTAGATTGAAAAAGAAAAAAGCTGTTTCGGTCAGCTGGTGCATCATGGTTGAGAAGTGATAAATGCCTTACACATCATCGAGCTTCTTATCACCATCACGTGCCACTGTTGATTCGATAAGGATGTCAGCATCTGCTGCTTCAATCACATCTCTCACTGGCATCTTCACTGGTAACACTTTCTTCCCCTTCTTGTGGTGTGCCACTGGCACCTGTTTCTCTTCCTCCTCCTCTGCATCACTCTCAGGATGTTCGACATTAGCACTAGCTGCTAAGTTACCTCCAACCGTACCACCCTTGCCATTGGCGCCCACGGCCTTATCCTCAGCCATAGTCAAGTTGGAGGTCTCCACGTCTTTCACAGCCTTTTTGACGGGGCGTGGGCGTGGGCAGGGACAAGTAGGCTTCGGCACATCAGCACGGGTAGCTGCCTGGTCTGTCTGCATTTTTTTCTGAAATACAGCAACGCGCTTATATCCTTCTTGTACAGCCATTTCACTTGCCTCCTTTTCTTCCTTTTCATGCTGGTCATCAGCGGCCTTTTGAGCTTTGGTACATCTCTTTATGTGACCTTCGCCTCCAGTCAGGATATATCCTGGATGCTGAGTTGCGTTTTTAGCTTGAGTATTCATACATTTTGGAACTGTGCTGGCAGGCTGAGACATGGTATTGGTGGAGGATCCGGAAGGCTGAAGAAAGAGAAAATAGAACCAACGGTGGCTGACAACAAGGTGAGTTTCGTCACAATTCTCAAAAAATGTAGCCCTAGCTGACTCTGAATAAATACCCTGACATACCCAGTAATATACATTAGCACGATTTGTTTCAGCTGCTGGGAGCCTTAATTTTCATCGATACGTTCCGGCACTCCTGTGTCAAACTTTGCCTGCGAAGTGTTAATGTTCACCAAGACCTTTCTGGCAAGGAGATAGTACACTAATTTTCATTTATTGGTGCAGTGAGACCAAGGTTCGTGACTGTGTTTCCATTGTGGTTTACATCAATGTTCACCAGAGCCTTTTCGGTGCAGTTTACTCGTGTCCAACAAATCTAGTCTTCATTTTCAAATTAAACCTTATATACTATTTTGGTTTGACTACATCGGTACCGGTGATTAGGGTTGTACCCCAAATCTTGAATGTGTCAGCCTTCAAAATCCTTGGCAACATCTCAGCGTAGCACATACTATGCCTTCCCGTCGTGCTCACCACCTACTTCAACTGCCATGCTCAGTTCCAGGATGTGTGTGTTGGTTTTGAAATCAGTCGGGTCTTACCCAACACAGGCGCTCACTTCACCCAACTTTATGTGCTTCGAGACCATCCCCTCAGGACCTCCCATTGGCACCCCAGCCACCACCGTCCCCTCAGGATGATCCCAGACCATCCCGATCACCTTCCTACCCTCGAGATTTCTCACTGCCCCCTCCGGATTTTTCACAACCGCCCCAGCCACCACCTCCCATACTCCCTGATTCAATTCATGAGGATTCAAGCCATACTGATGCAGAATTCACTGACGCGAGTGAGCGATACTATCGTACGTACCATTCAATGTTAAACAGTAAGTTCCTTTCAAGTTTCAGTACTTTGTTTTTGACTCAGATATATGCTTAGGACGACCATGCGCTGCTGATGGAACGTTTCTGCCTCATGGCACCCCCCCGACTCCTGTGCCACCAAAGGCTCCTAACAATTGGAGTCCATATCGCAACAGAATAGAATTTGAGGCGGCAGAGTTCGCATTCAAAAAATGCCATATGTCTGCAAAAAATTTGGATTTCTTGTGCGACTTAATGGCTGCGACCCTTGCGAAACACCGTGACACCCCTCCATTTGCTGATCACAAAGATCTACACAGTGTCATAGATGCGACAGAGCTTGGGGATGTCCCGTGGCAATCTTTTTCTGTTCAATACTTAGGAGAACGACCTGAGGTTGTCCCACCATGGATGGACGATGAATTCGAGGTCTGGTATAGGGACCCCCATGCAATGGCACACAATATACTTGCCAACCCTACGTACAAGGACGAAATCGACTATGTGCCATTTCGTGAATATGATGCGTTGGACGACACGCGCCGATGGAAAGACTTTATGTCTGGAGACTGGGCATGGCAACAGGCAGTACGTCTTCAATCTCTTTCTGGCATTGCTTAGGATATAGCTAACATTCTCAAGGACACCATATCAAAAAATCCGGAAACACATGGATCTGCTTTGGTCCCAATCATTCTCGGTAGTGACAAGACTACCGTCTCTGTGGGCACTGGTAATAACAAATACTATCCCCTCTATGCCTCTATCGGTAATGTATGCAACAACGTGCAGCATGCACACCGTGATGCTCTTGTCATCATTGGGTTCCTCGCCATACCCAAAAGTATGTTTGTTCATATTTTATTATGTCTCATCTGAGCTGTGCTATTATAGCCGACAAGATGCACTCTAAAGATGATGTATTTCGGATGTTTCGCCGCCAACTATTCCACAGTTCGCTATCCGCGATTCTCTCAGCCTAAAACCTGTTATGACCAAGTATGAGGTCATGTGCTGTGGAGACGGTCATTTTCGACGTGTCATATATAGTCTAGGACCCTACATAGCGGATTATGAGGAACAACTGGTACTATCTTGCGTTGTCAGACATTGGTGCCCGAAGTGAGTATTGGCACTTGTAATCAGTATCCATTGGTACTGACAATTCATGTAGATGTATCGCAGTTCGTACAGACCTTGATGGTGGTGGGATGTACTGTTCTCGCGAGCACAATGACTTCTTGATCGAAGAACTATGTGCAGATATATTGTGGGATGAATATGGTCTCGTTGGTGATCTCGTCGTGAGTAGAACGGGCCGCTCTTCATACCAGACTAATATGTTTTGTGTAGCCATTCACCAACGACTTCCCTCGAGCTGATATTCATGAGCTGCTGTTGTTTGACCTCCTCCACCAGATAATTAAAGGTGCTTTCAAGGACCATCTTGTCGACTGGGTAGCAAAGTACCTTAAGGCTGTGCACGGGACCAGACGGTCGGAGGAGATTATGAGCGACATAGATCGCAGGTATGTCACCTTACTGACTACTCAATAATATTCTCTAACAATAATCAGAATTGCTGCTGTAGCATCATTCTCTGGTCTACGACGATTTCCTCAAGGTCGCGACTTTAAACAGTGGACGGGCGACGATTCCAAAGCGCTCATGAAGGTATTCCTTCTGGCTATCGAAGGTCACGTACCTCAAGACATGGTGCGCGCATTTCGTGCATTGCTAGAATTTTGCTATCTTGTCTGGCGCAACGTTGTCACTGAAGATACCTTGACTCAAATTCAAGATGCACTTCGTCGTTTTCATCATTATCGCAAGATATTTGATATCGTCGTTCCTACCTTCTCACTCCCCCGTCAGCACTCAATGACTCATTACGTGGACATGATCAGACTCTTTGGTGCCCCGAATGGACTGTGCTCATCAATTACAGAATCAAAACACATCAAGGCGGTAAAGGAGCCCTGGCGGTGGTCGAGCAGGCACAATGCTCTTGGTCAGATGCTTGTGACCAATCAGCACCTTGACAAGCTTGCAGCGTCCCGTGTGGACTTTGATGCATGGGGAATGCTCACTGGCACTATTCTATCAAGTACTTTAGCTGCTATTGGTAAGTCCGTTTCAGGTTTCTTTTTGTGATCGTCTTCTCGCATACTTAACAGCAATATATAGCGACAGATGCAAACGAGCAAGTTGTCTCTGCTGTTGCACAGCAACCAGATGCCCTTGTCATCATCGAACCGCACCCAGTAATGGATGCTGATGATGACGGTGAAATAGTTGATGATCCAACAGTGCTCGCTTGTGTAGCACTCACCAAAACTCCCCGTAAGTAATATCATGCAATGTCCAATCTCGATGTTCACCACTATATCACACAGAGCGAAAACGAGCACAGACAGTAGCAGCATTGGCACAGGAAGTCGCTGTTCCAGAGCTACCACGCCTCGTTCGATACTTTCTGTTCTCCCAGCTCAATCCAGATGATACCCGCAACCCCGAAGATATACCAGCTGTTAACTTGCCTCGACACAAAGGCAAGCTTCAGGTCTTCAATTCCGCTGCAGCAACATTTTATGCTCCCAGCGATCCAAGCGGTTTTGGCGGCATATGACGTGAACACATCTGTGCATGTCCGCTCTGGCGGAACAGGTACCCGTGTAATGATTGCGTGTTCGTCAATACTGATTCACATGCTGAAGGGATGCGAGGACTCGAAGTTGCGAGAGTCATATGTTTCTTTTCTTTCTTTCACAGATGGGAAGTGTATCCATGCGCCCTCGTCCAATGGTTTGAGAAGATCGGTGATTGTCCCAATGAAGACACTGGCATGTGGATGGTCACTCCAAGTTTTCACGAGGACGGCTCAAGGAACCTGGCTGTTATTCATATCGAGACGGTCTTCCATGCAGCACACCTGATACCCATCTACAGTTCTGAGTACATTCCTCACTCTCTCAAATTTTATGATTCCCTTGATACTTTCCGTTCATTTTATGTCAACAAATACGCTGATCACCATGCCTTCGAAATAGCGTCCTGACCGCCACACATGATAGAGGTGGGTCTTCAATCTAATCCTCAGTCCATTGCCAATGGTCACATCGCATGAACTTACGCAGACACTCACACAATACTACCATTCCCACTATTGCCTCATCCTCACCGGTACCCCCCTTCAGAACAACCTTCCCGAACTTTTGGCTCTCTTCAACTTTCTCCTTCCCAAGATCTTCAACTCACAGGGTGCATCGCACCCTACAATCGCCCGAGCTGTACGTGTCTATTAGGTCCTCATACTCTCCTAATTGACGAAGGTCATAGATATCATGAAAGTATCTTCGTCTTCACAGTGGTATGGAAACGGAAGAGCGCGCCTTGCATGTACAGCAGTTCAATGCGAAGGATTGAGAGATTAAAGTCTTCATCCTGTCAACACAAGCTGGTGGTTCGCAAACCTATTTGCGGTTGTGAGTGTATTTACCATGCGCTAGTGCACGTTCTCAATTTGTGTGAGATGTAGATGCTTGCGTCAGCTCTAATGGTCAACACTATCTATGATGTGTCATTACTTGTCATTGATTGCGCAGTGCATTCTCACTTAAAACAATGCAGTTCTCGTCGTACTGAAGCTGTAGGTTTTACCTGTCATCTGAAAAACAAGTGATGTGTTAACAATTCTCCAGCTCTTGTGCTACGCATTCTCTATCGTCTGCGATCGCTATCAGAGCAAACTCCGTTTGACGCTGCAACCTTTTCCTATGCATTCCCACTCCTTGCACAGGTGTTACTGAAGGGTGGTGTAGACGCCGGCCAAGATGATGGCAATGAAGCACTCGAGCAAATAATTCTCGTGCTCGACATCATCAAATTTCACTGCAGCGAATGTTTGTCTTTGATGTAAGAGTTGATGCATTTCTAATATTCTTGAAAAGCGCAGAGTCCCGAAGATCGTTTGAGAGCAACATGGATCGGAGGGGGCTGAACATTGTCCCATTGTCTATTGGGGCATCAGGGCTGATCACAACGTATATTGGGGGCCCGATCGGCCTCGCACTGAATATATTTACAGATCGCAGTCACAGATGACACTATCAAGATTATCAGTAAGTTCTCGTTGATTGTAGGACATCCTAACACTCACCGCGCCCTACAGTCACACTACCCTCGCCGAGCGACACGTTCGGCCGCCCCGATTCCTTCGAACCACCTCCTCACTCTTTTCCAGAACCACGGCAAGGTCTCCGCTCCTTCCGCCTTCGCCTCCACCTCCTCTGCCTTCACTTTGGCTCGAATCGCTATGTCTGCCCTAAGCGCCGTATCCGTCCAATGGTGGTTTCTCCCTCATCTGCAATCAACTGTTTTCGAAGCCATGAACTGTACTGACGCCTTGTTAATCAATAAATGACGCAATAAATACTTTTAGCACTTACTATACTTTTTTTTGCTTGGAATATATGACTTACTTTTGTGTGCTTTCTTGTCCTTGTTTATCACGCGCTTCTTTTCGGCTTGTCAACATAGCGCACCAAGTAAATAAATGTAAATAAGTCGTAAATATGTTTTAATGTTCCAAAAAAAGTAGCGCCAATAAATGTGTGAATTTACTGATGAGAGTGGTCACGGACTCACAGTGAAGGCCTAGGACTACATAGTACTTTCAATCACGTCTTGCATATTTTTGGATGCCTTTTCCTGAGCTCGCTGGCAAGGGCCCGTGCTTGAAGTAAACTAATGGTAAAACACGGCTGCAGATATTTCCAAGTTATAGTAGCATGTAATTGAAGGCCAGCAAACTCATCATGTCACCCTCATGTTCATTTGGATGAGATTTTGACCTGATGCGCAGCTGCAGTGCGGTTTCATGTATTCAAATTGCGACTCGCATATGTACTTTACAGGCTACAACGCCCCAGCCTCGTGTAGTTCTCTAACAGACTCTCAACCTCACCTTGGTCATGCAGCTCGCCTTTAAATTCTAGGGATCGCTGAGCATTCGCCATATGATTTCCCTTGCACTGGCAGGCTTCGGTGTACAAGTACTGCAGTTTCAGCTCCCCAAGTAGGTATTGACTGCGATCTCACTCCATTTTGTGCTCACCTTTCACAGCGAGATTAGCTTGCATTCACTAACCGAGGGTATTACTCTTCCGTCCAACCGGTGTAGAGACTCACGCCTCTCCTTGTGCAATATTGCAGTTTTCACCAAGGAGTATACAGCACGAACTTGTAGCATCACTCTGTATGCTTCCTACAGCTATTCCCACATGAGGCGCAGCTTTCCTGCGCATCGCGCAATGTGCGCGCAACTTCCCACGCTTCACGATGTATATGTGCGCAAGCTTTCCCGCGCTTGAGCGCCCTATAGCGCCAGCCATCTGGAAGCATCCATCCACTGTCCACCAAGTTCCCTAGTGTGTATATTTCCATTTCTCACATTTGCATATTGTTCCATCTTTATTTTTATCATGGACCCTTACTTACATATATCCTTACATACCTTACTCGGTAGTGCTTCGGCTCCGCATGACAGCGCTTAGGTGCCATACTTAAGCGCCAGCAGTACATACTATTACTCACTTACTCACCCACCAAACCACAACAATACCCATTGACTACCCAGCAGAGCATAGTTGAAATCTATTCCTTGGCACCTCACATATAACATCTCTCGGCTTGCATCTCTCACCTCTTGTCTAGTGTCTAATCATCACTTAAGCAAACTCACTCTTACTCTCTCTTATTTCCGCATACACGCGCACGCATTCCCGTGCTTCGCACATTCTCACGCCTCGCACGCACCTTCGCTTTCCTGTGCTTTGCATTCGCCAACCAGTAGCGCCTTCGGCGCCTACTACTAGATCCTTGCTGCACTCGCTTCCCCTTTAGGGTCGAACGCACTTGTCGTCTCAAGTATAGCAGACTAGGCAACGCGCGACCTTACAACATTTATAGATACAGTCAGGAGCATTGTTTGTGCCTCGCTGTATCGTTGAACCTTCACCGGTCATTCAGATCCATCCATTTTTCTGAACAATCTTGCAAAAAGCCTTTGAAACAGATTCCAGCAGTGGGACATCATGTCTGATCTTGATGAGGCTGTCAAGCGCCATCGGACTGCATTACTCCGTCATCCCCCGGTCATTCACTTCAATCCTTGTCTCTGAACAATCTTGCACTCAACCTTCGAGACAGATTCCTGCAGTGCGGCATGATGTCTGACCTTGATGAGGCCATCGAGCTCCATCAGGCTGTATTACTCCTCCTTCCCCTCGGTCATTCATATCGATCCTCATGTCTGAACAATCTTGGGCTCAGCCTTCGAGACAGATTCCTGCAGAGGGGCATGATGTCTGACCTCGATGAGGCCATCAAGCTCCATTGCGCTGCATTACTCCTCCATCCCCCCGGTCATTCAGATTGATACTCGTCTCTGAACAATCTTGGGCTCAGCCTTCGAGACAGATTCCAGCAGCATGGCATGATGTCTGACCTTGATGAGGCCATTGAGCTCCATCGGGCTGCATTACTTTTTCCCTCCGGTCATTCAGATCGATCCTCATGTCTGAACAATCTTGCAAACAGCCTTCGAAACAGATTCCAGCAGTGTGGCATGATGTCTGACCTTGATGAGGCCATCGAGCTCCATCAGGCTGCATTACTCCTCCGTCCCCCCAGTCATTCACTTTGATCCATGTCTCTGGACAATCTAGGACTCAGCCTTTGGGACAGATTCCTGCAGCGGGACATGATGTCTGACCTTGATGAGGCCATCGAGCTCCATCGGGCTGCATTACTTTTTCCCTCCGGTCATTCAGATCGATCCTCATGTCTGAACAATCTTGCAAACAGCCTTCGAAACAGATTCCAGCAGTGTGGCATGATGTCTGACCTTGATGAGGCCATCGAGCTCCATCAGGCTGCATTACTCCTCCATCCCCCCGGTCATTCACTTCGATCTTCATCTCTGAACAATCTTGGACTCAGCCTTCGAGACAGATTCCAGCAGTGGGGCGTGATGTCTGACCTTGACGAGGCCATCAAGCTCCATCAGGCTGCATTACTCCTCTGTCCCCCTGGTCATTCAGATCGATCTTCATCTCTGCACAATCTTCCACTCAGCCTTCAAGACAGATTCCGGAAATGGGACGTCCAGTGTGACCTTGACGAAGCATTTAGCTTGTACTCTCAACTCTCCCACCTATCACATGCAGCATCTCGCACACATCTTAGTGCTGCCAAGTCATGGGCGGCCTCCGCCGAAATATTCAATCACCCATCTGCATTGCTTGCTTATAAAGTTGCACTGAAATTCTTGGATCAGCAAGTTGCCTTCCTGTCGTCTTCTTCGCATCACTTCGATGTCATCAGGGAGGCTGTTTCTTCTCTTGCCACAGATGCTTTTTCATGCAGTGTTCGTTGTGGTTCGCTGACCACTGCGGTGGAGTTGGTGGAGCAAGGTCGTGCAGTGTTCTGGACCCAGTTGGCACGCTTCAGCACACCACTCGATGAACTTTCTGATTCAGGTGACGCCGGCATGGTCTTGGCAGAAGAGTTCAAACAGTTGAGTTTTCGCCTTTGTAATGCGTTTGATCAGTCTGAAGACCAATCTTCGCAAATCCGACAAATTACTGCAGTGGGATGATGTTGTCTCGCGCGTTCGCATGCTCCCTGACTTTTCGTGTTTTCTCCTACCTCCACTCTTTTCTGACCTCCAGAAGGTGGCCGAAGATGGCCCAGTGATAATTGTCAATGCTAGTCAGCACAGCTGCAACACCTTGATCATCCATGGTGCAGGAGATCCTGTCCATGTTCCACTTGACATTAAACAAGCCGAAGTGTCCGAATTCTCCTCAGAGTTCCAATCACTCGCAGAGCAGTTTGGTTCTTCTGATTATCAACTTGTGCTTGTCGGCATCCTTCACAAGCTTTGGAATGATGTCGTTGACCCCGTAGTCCGAGCTCTCAGGGAGTCTGAAGTTCGCCCTGGTTCACGTATCTGATGGTGTCCCACTGCTGAGTTCATGCTGCTTCCCCTCCATGCAGCCGGACCATATGAGAAGGGGAGAGACAATTTATCTGACATTTACATATCCTCTTACACCCCCACTTTGGCGACTCTCGTTCATGCAAGACAGCAGGTTTCTCGAGATGCGTCCTCCCAACATTTCGTTGCCATCGGTCAAGGCAACCCGGTTGAAGGGAAGGAGCTCAAATGTGTCGCTCCTGAGCTAGCCGTCGTCGCTCGCCACATTACTCCCGTCATCTCCTTCACATCCCTCGAGGATGCCAACGCAACAGTCGAGGGTGCATTCGATGCACTCAACCATAATCAATGGCTTCATCTTGCCTGCCATGGAATGCCGAATCGGACGCAGCCATTCGAGTCTTCCTTCGCTATGCGCGACGGGCCCTTAATGATCAAGGATATCATCTGATCCAACTCGCAGAACCCACAGTTTGCATTCTTATCAGCCTGCCACACTACCACTGGCGACAAAAAGACCCCGGATGAGTTGATCCATCTTGTTGCAGCCATGGAATTCTGCAGATCTCGCAGTGTGATCGGCTCCATGTGGTCTGTTGACGACGATGTTGCATGCCAGGTCATGTCTGCTTTTTACCACAAGTTAATTGGTGATTCAAAAAGATTGGACTGCACAGGGGCTGCAGTAGCGCTGCACAAGGCTGTGAGATTGTTGCACAAGAAGATTCCGTTAGAACAGCAGATTGTATTTGTCCACATAGGTGTGTAGTTAGAGACTCAATTCACTATATTATTTCATTTGCTGTATTTCTAGTTGTTTTCATCCCCTCGCTATCTTGTTGTTTACTTACTTCTGCATGATACCCTCTTGTTCCATACTATACTAGTGCCACACTCTGTGTCCCAGTGAATACATCTGATTTACTCCTGCATCGTCACAGTTCTAAGTCATTAAGGGCAGCTGTAGTATATAATTCAAGTGGTGTTACCTGTGAACTGCCCTTGCTGCCCCCATGGTGTATGTATCTGCTCATTTGTTCGGTACTACTAATTGCAACTTGTAAACACTGTCATGCTGTATCATGCTGAATCCTCTTGGATGACATCAGATATCAGAATTTTGAAGAAAAGTGTACAAGAATGCGAGTAAGATCAACTATAGTCACAAACATAACTCAAGTATGTATACATCAGAGCACTGAACAAAGTCGTGTGCGAAAGAATATTATTTTAAGAACGTGAGTACTCACAGACTAAGCCACATGGGTTGTACTCCGACGTTTTAGATAATGTCAACATCATCGATGTGTCACGGATAATAAAGTCATAGGCCCGCCACATCGTAACGAAAATCGCGTATCCGTGCCCTTGGACTGCCTTGCTTGTCTCGGTCGATGGTGCGCATTTGTAACCACCCATAGGCGTCCCTAGTCGATGTCCAGAGTTATAGATATACCTAGCACCGGGCTAAACGACTCGAGGTAGGTCAACTATAGCGCATCAATTAGTCACAGTTAGTAAACCAAGTCAAGATCAAATCACCAACGAAACTTTAGCCTCCGGATCAAACAACAAAAAACGTTGTGTGATGAAGTGACAAAGTCAGCATGATCGCAGGTCAGATGTGTAGGTAAAACGATTGGGCAGATGTATATGTGCAAATTGGATGATCATATGAGATACTTCGCAGGTATAAGCCTCCCGAACGCGTTCGGTGACGTTCGGTCCAGGGTTCGACCAAACGGCTAAACCGAACCATAGGTTCGGTTTGGTGTGCGGAAAATTTGGCTTAAGAACCGGACTGAACCGGACTTCGGCAGCACTAACCGCTTCCATCAATCGTGGAATAAGGTCGTTTGTTAGCACTCCTCGACTAACCTTCCAAGAGAGGTCTGAATTAAAGTTCAGCTTCTTAAGGGTGGCGGATACCGCTGTTGGGTGGTATTTGATGACGTCAAACCTATTAGGTAAGGTTGGCTCATGATAAATTTCAGGCCGTTGAGTTCTTGGCACGATCTATGTATCCAGACGCTAGGCAGCTGAATTGATGACACGCTCCCTCAGACCTGTTGAGTACTAGACTGTCAACAGAATCCGATATAACTGCGGGGAAGGACTGACCGTCTGGACGTAATCGACTGTCATCCTCGAGATTGACCACCAGATCAAACGCACTGTCACCTGAAGCCGGTTAAGCCGCGCATCATCGCATGTCAACTGGGCTGATGTTACAAAACTACACAATAGAATTGGCACCGATGTTGATTAGCGTGCACGAGAGGCGGTATCAGCAGCCCCAAGTAGATTTACAGCAACGGTATTGCTCTCTTGAATACGTTTCAGGCGCTCATAAAGCACTTGTACCTCTCGAGCCGTGGTGTCAATCAGTTGCTGCTCTGTGGGAGGTACCGATGATGCACTCTGAGACTCGGGGGCGGGTGGCATGGGGTATGCGCCTACACCGGTTTGTCGAAGGAATTCAGCAAGTGTGCGAAGTGCCTGCATGAGTGCAGACAGCTCAGCTGAAAATTGGAAGCGTAAAGCCACGATTATAAGAAAGCATGAACGTACTTGCCTGTTGTATGTGCAGGACTGTTTCCTGCTTGGTATGCGCTTTGTCTGATGAATAATTAAACATGGTATAAGTATAAGGGAGTAGAGAGACTTACACGCCGTGCAAGCAATTACGTGCCAGTGATTGAATCCTTGCGACATGGTCAAGCGCTATTTGCACGTTCTGCTTTAGCACTTCTGGTGAATTTGGATCAGTATGGATGGAATCGTGCAGGGACGATTGTGACATATAAACAGAAGCATTCTGAAAGCTAGATGGCGGGATAGATGATATGGACAGAGTGGAAGATTGACTGGAATTATTCATTTCGTCCAATTCTGATTGGTTCAACGTTCAACTCTGCGTGATGGTTGTTTAGACTTGTTATTCCCGATGTCATAGTACACGCCCGTAAATAATCATGACCATAATTTTCAAATATACAACCAGCTGGTATGATTTTGTGCTAGCATTAATTGTCTTCCCGCCTTCTTGATTTTAACGTCTCTAAATGTCTGTTCTCTGTCCACCGACCACATATCTTCCACCGATCGCCAAGATCGCGAGTTTCTCCGTCACCCAGCTTCTCGATGCCTTGACTTATTTACAGTCACTTTACCATCCAGAAGTCCGTGGCTCGCGTCGCAAACGTGTGCAGGCGCCTGTATCTAATGGAGAGCAGAATCTATGCCTTCCCCATGGAGATGACAGCGAACTCCAAGCTATCCGATCTGATGCATTCGAGCGCTCATATTCTATTCGGTGGCTTACCACTCTAATCGCACAGCTCGAGGTCTGGCAAGACTTAAGGCACTCCGAAGAAGTCTCATTGGATTATCTTGGGACGCTAGAGCCTACCTTGGCTTACACAGAGATACTCGTCCAACAAGCCGCGTCGCTACTCGCGATCTGTGCCGGGGTCGCTGCTGCTGGAATGGTCACCCGTAACTTTGTTTTTGGTTCTATAGACGGGCAGAGACGAGTGGAAACTCAGCTCACAGATATTCCGCTGGACAACGATGACTACGGGAGTGTGGGAGCGCAGACATGGGGCGGGGCGTGTGTCTTGGCAGAAATGATTGTGGAAGATCCTGAGCGGTTTGGACTGGATTCTTCCTCTCACGTCCCTGAATCACGCAGGCTCAACGTCCTTGAGCTCGGAGCAGGAACAGGGTTGGTTAGCTTGGTGGTTATGAAATTACTGGATTCATTGCCGTCTTTCAACCATCGCGAGGTTCATGTGGTTGCGACTGATTTCCATCCTTCTGTGTTAGCCAACCTCAGGTCAAACGTTGACGCGAATGTCTCCTCCACGCACAATCAAATTACTTCAACCCATTCCATTACCACTCATTTCCTCGACTGGTCATCATTCTCTACTACTCCTCGACCGGATTGTCTTTCGTGCCCGTTTGATGTGGTCCTCGGTGCAGACATCATTTACGAAGCCCAACACTGCGGTTTGGATCAGGGACTGTCTGAAAGGGCTTGTGCGGCGTCCTTCTGATAGCACCTGTATCTCCCGCCGCTTTTCATCTTGTGATACCACTTCGTCCAACGCACACATTCGAGTCAGACATGGTCGAGTCCGTGTTCCTCGAGGCGAGCGATGTTGATCCGAACGGGTGATGCTGATCTGGTCATACTATCGAAGGAATATATCACATGTGATGCCTATGGCGATTATACGCGAGGACAAGGTCTCGATGAAGACGTGGAGTACGTTTATTATAAAATTGGCTGGTTTACATAACGCACAATTGTAGAATCATATGCATAGAATCTAGATCACATAGAGTTGCTGCTAGCTATTCTTGTTATCCGTAACATGTCGCAGTGGCATGATAGATGTTTGTCTACAGTTGGATACTGGCGCCGGCGCCCATCAAACATCAACTACTCGCACGTGACTAAAGCGCCATTCGGGGGTCTAGGAATTCTGATTCGAATTTTGAATCCACATGGAACGTTGACCGGGACCTGGCCATCTTTCGTGCGCACTGCGCGGCATGGTATTTGTATCATGTGGACACATTCTTGCGTTATCATCAAGCGCCCTTTTATCTTGCATCAATGTGTTCATAGCTCCCACTCCATCCCGAGGAATGTCCACTACCTGGTGGTCGCGATTAAGCAAGCAGCAGGAAGAAGACCAGGATGACCGTGTTTCCGTGTTACAGCTCGGCGAAAAGGACGAGGGAATTCAGAAGCCACACAACGACAATGCTGACTTGGGTCCTGGAGAACTGACCTTTGAAGAAGGTGCCGTTGCTCGCTATTCCTTCAACTTGCTCGTCTGACATCATCCAGATACTGCGGGAGGCATGGGTCGTTACCTTGGTGTAACATCTTGCACTCTCCTTATCGTTGGAAAAATCATCGGCTCCGGCATATTCTCAACGCCGTCCTCCATCCTCTCCAGCGTGGGCTCAGTCGGCGCTTCCCTTATGCTTTGGGTCCTCGGTTTCGTGCTTAGCTTCTGTGGACTCTTCATATGGCTTGAGTTCGGCACCATGTTCCCTCGAAGTGGCGGAGAGAAGGTATACCTCGAGGCCGTCTACAAAAAGCCCAAGTACCTCGCTACAATAATATTTGCTGCCAACGCTATATTACTTGGGTTTACTGCGAGCAACTGTATTGTCAGCCATGTCTTGTTTTGTGTGTACTCGGTGTTGAAACTTAACTGTTCGTCAAGGTTTTTGCTAGCAAGTGCGTATTTTGGATTTGACGAAACGGCTCGACTGATACGATGTAGTATCTTGGTTGCCGCTGGTCAATCCGCAGGTCGCTGGAATGAGCGTGGAATTGCACTTGGAGGTGTGTCTTCTACCTAACTGGCATCTTAAGGTCGTTTCATGGCATCTAGTCATGTTCTTCGTAACCTTTCTACACGGAATGGCCCCGAAGACCGGCGTACTGATTATGAACGTATGCAAGTTTTCATCTTTACATTATCATCGTATTCAACATCTTCCTTTCAGTTGCTCTCGATATTCAAGATCGTAATTTTGGTATTTGTTGTGGTCACAGGCTGGGTAGTTCTCTCTGGTAAAACCCGCGTCGTGGATCCGTACTATAATTTCAGAAACGCATTCGCGGGGAGCTCCACGAGCAGCAACGACGTGCGTTCAATGATATTCCTAGATGCCCATATGTTGATTATGGTCTTGACAGTATGCTACAGCCACCTTCAAAGTCCTGTACGCATATACGGGATGGTCCAACGTGAACTACGTGATGAACGACGTCCGTAATCCAGTGAGGACGCTCAAGATCGCAGGCCCGCTCGGTCTTGGTATATGCACCGTTTTGTACTTGCTTGCAAACGTGGCTTATTTCTCTGCTGCAACCAAGGTGAGAACTTCTTTTTTATCTTCACTACGAACGAAATACTGAATTATATCGATAGACGGAGATTGTTGAGTCTGGCGTTACTGTCGCTTCTTTGTTTTTCGGGAACGTCTTTGGTTCTGTTGCGGAGCGTGCGCTATCGGTTTTCATTGCTCTCAGGTGAGCTCGACGTCCAGAGGTTCGAGGGTTTCCTGACTCGTGGTTTTCATGACAGTGCTCTTGGAGTGAGTCCTATGTATTTCGTATCATGATCACCGTTTGATGTTGGGCCATAGAACGTCATTACTGTGGTAAGTCGAGGAATGCTATGGAAATTTGTGACTCAAGAACTTTTCATCTAGACTTTTGTGGCTGCACGAGTAAACCAAGGTTCGTCATACCGACATCGTGATTCTACGTAGCTTATGCTTCAACCACAGAGCTCGCGAAGGAAGGGATACCCTTACCATTCGGAAACAAATTCTGGGCCTCAAATTGGCCCACTGGAAAGTCCCCACTTCCAGGATTGATAATTCATTTGATACCCTCCGTAAGTACTACTCTGGAAATATGATATCAATCTGAGATTGGTCTTCTAGATTATCGTCATCATCGGGCCTCCCCCAAACATTGCTTACCCTTTCATTTTGGACGTTGAAGGATATCCACAGCAAATTATCAATTTCTTTATTGTCATCGTACGTCTCTCAACTCTTTTCTCGAGTGTTTCTTACCTCTTGATGCCGCTAGGGTTTGTTCTATCTGCGATGGAAGAAGCCAGATGCTATTCGGCCATTCAAAGGTGAGCAAATATGTCGCTCTTCCTGTATGGTACGTTGACGCGTATGATGTAGTATGGTGGCCTCTCGCTGTATTCTTCTTGGCTGCTGCTTGCTTCCGTGAGTTACCAATCTACAGCTCCAACACTTTTTTTCCTAACCAAACCTCCACACAGTCCTCATCGCTCCCTTCCTGAAACCAGCCAATGGCGTCGGCGACACCCCACCACTGCCATATTACCTGTACGCTTCTTCCACCAGCACTTATCTACGCGTCCCTTATTCTCATTCCTCGCTTGTCATATAGGTACTGTCTCGTCGGAATCGCCATCATGTTCGTAGGCGTGCTGTACTGGTTCGCATGGCGAATCATGCTGCCTAAGGTATTTGGCTATGAGCTTGTACCGAGGAAGGAGATGTTGGACGATGGGACTTTTGTCACTGTAGTGAGTGTTGGCTTTTTATTCTGTGTTTCCTGGTTTGGCTCACGGATCTTATTTTCAAGTATTCGAATCGAAAGATGCAGTGATTTGGAGGTTGATCGGAAGTGCTAGTCAGTTGGTCTTTGTATTAATTTAGTGCAATGCCGTTATGCACTTGACATGCATAGTTTATCATTCATGTATTCACTATGGTACTACCGTATAGAGTGTAGAGCGGACCCTCGGTTAGCTCTACTTTCTGGTCTGTGCCGCCTGGAGTTCTGGCCCACAACATCTGTTTTGATTCAATCCCGTTGGAATTCTAGCCTCTCATGTCATTTTCCGCGATGAATGCAATAGTGCGGATAATTGGATGATATGTGCAAGTCTACGCTGTGGGAGTATGTGTCTGAATTATAATATGCCAGCGCACCACACCACCCACATACGAAGGAAAGATACATATGACGAAAGATGTCTAACATAGAGTCACTGACCCCAAAGAACTGCAAAAAAAGTTCACGCGGTTTTGAGATGCTGCACACCCCGAAGCTCTCTACTAAATATGTAGCACCAGCGCACGATGCAGAGGACTGTCAACAAGCACAACGACGCAACAAGAGCGATGCAGCCTTGCAGTAGGTGATGCATGTCCAGCGCTAGCACATTCGTTGTCGCAACCCGGTTTTCTACGAGCAACACAATAGATGCCAAGGTTGCGCCAATATCGGAGGAGAGTGTGTTGGTTTTCTGCGCGAGGTATTTGATAGCGATGGTGAGGTTTTCTACGAACATCGTAGAAGACGGGAGGGTTGTGCTAATGCCTGAGGAGAGAGTGTGCGTCGTGTGCGCGAGGTCCTCGACAGAGGTGAACAGGTTTGCTACGAGTAGCTTAATAAGCACGAAGGTTGTCCTAATGCCTGAGGAGAGACCCTCGATAGCGATGAGCAGGTCTGCTAAGAGGCTCCACATGATAAACATGAGGATTGCGATAATGTCTGAGTAGAGAGTGTCTGTGTTCCACGGGAGGCGGTCGAAAATGTCCATCACTCGTCAGACAACGTCAGGGCTGACGACATCAACGATGGCCATTGATCCAAGGGTTTCGTTTTTATGAATTGTTGAGGGCTGGAACTCATCAGCATGTATTGTAAGTGAAAATTGTATTACTTGCTCAGTGTGGGGGCCAATTATATTGATCAATTCAAGTAATTCGAACGCAGCGGGTGTCGTGTCTGGAATTAGGGACGTCATATTCCTACAGGTTGAAGCCGTGCACTTACACTCGTGGCCCATGCACTGCCCCTCAAATTTCAATTGAACATCTGAGTTGGGTGTGCACTCGCATGACTGGGATCCTGGGCCCAGCCATCGACTCAGCACACGTGCTGCTGCAGCATGGCCCTGAACTATATGCAAGTTCTCGCGAGGCCTCTCCCGTCAACCGTGACAGGTCACACTAGTTCCCATACTTACCTCAAATTTCAATACTTCCTACCGCAGGGACTCGCAGATACCGACCCTGCGCTTTCTCGTGACATCCCTCTCCAGAAAAACCTTTGCATGCGCAGTCTCTCAGGCTATCTCCCTCGACTTTTTGGATCTAGAGAAACCCTTGAAAGTGTCACGTCCGAGGGTTCCGGACTTCGACAGATACTATGTGAACATGTATTATCGCACCGTGCATTTCCGCCTCGTAATTGGCATATCGCGCAAGCTCATGTGCACTCCTGGCCTGATTGATTCGAATAGATTCGTGAAGTTGACTGTTTTAAAGTCGTCAGTTGTGTTCAAGTCAGGCCGTCGTCACTGCCACCGCGTCGAATTTACGAGATAGGCTTACGACATGGGGACAACAGGTAGACGCTCAGGCTTTAGCAGCATTCCCTCGATGCCTCAGCCTTGTCCAATCCTGTCAAAATTCGATATCATTTTTGCTGGAGGTGAGTACTATAATAACATCATGTAGTAGCTTACTTTTTACATGGTGTGCTGTGTGTAGGTGGTACTACAGCTTGTGTTGCTGCAGGCCGACTAGCTGCGTGTGATCCCTCTCTCAATATTTTAATTTTGGAAGCGGGTGAACATACCCTCGATCAAGCTGCTCATATCCAACCCTACCAATATTTCACCCATCAGGCGCCGACAAGTACCACGCTGACAGCCAATGTTGGAAATCCTAGTCTGCGTCTCAATGGCCGTGCACCAATTGTTCAATGCGGTCATTGTGTAGGTGGAGGCTCAAGCGTGAATTGTTCGTAACATTCTTGCAGCAAGGAACGCGGATCTGATATAATACAGTCATGATATACACTCGTGCGCCTGCCTCAGATTTCGATGACTGGGGAGCCGATGGTTGGGAATCTGAGAATCTAATTCCTCTCATGAAGAAGGTCGTCAAATTCGCTTTTTTGTATATCTGTCAAGCTGAATCATTGCATCTTGCGCAGCTGGAGACATATGAGGTCCAGCCCAATGGTCCAACTCACGGGGACAATGGACCTATCAAGGTATCTTATGGTGGTCGCACAACAGGAATCTGGGAAGAGTTCGTGCATGTTGGTACAACCTATCACAAGAGGCCATATGCCGACGACACAGAAGATCTAGAAACATGCAACGCATACAGTGTGCGATACTGATTCCCCATCTCTGTTTGCCACCACTAACAAGATCATCTCAGCCATGGGCGAAGTAAGCCGGTACTCGTACATCATTGTGGATGAGCCTCATGTACGAGAAGGTATATTGACGGAACGACTGGAAGGCGTTCTGACGTGGCTCACCACTATATCTACAACCAAGCCCACAACCCGAATTTACAACTTTGGGTCGGCAAGCTCGTGAAGCGCGTTATCTTTGAGTGAGTGTCCACCTGGAATTGCAACTACATTCAATTATTGACGACATTCTTTACAACCAAAGGGACAAGCGTGCCGTAGGTGTTGAGTTCACCTGCGATCCAGTGTCTTGCCCAAATGCAGATCAATCATCGAGCATCGTGAGAGCATTAAAGTTCGTTGTTGTCTCTGCTGGGGCATTTGGTTCACCAGCCATTCTCGAGAGGTCTGGGATCGGTGCTGAGAGGGTCCTCAAGCAATGTGGTATCGAGCAACTGGTGAACTTGCCTGGTGTTGGAGAAAATTATCAAGGTCCGCCTTCACCTATTAAGTTGATCTTAGCTTAGGGTTATCAGATCATATCGGCTGCTTCGTTCCATACTTTGCTGCTGACGGAGCCGTTACCTTGGACCCTCTCTGGCGTGGGGAGGAGAGTGTTGTACAGGGTAAGCGTGTTTTCCACATATTCTCCACACATCTTTCAGCCATCCAAATATAGAAAGCCTTGCGCATTGGAAAAGTAATGGAAAGTCGCTCATAGCCCAAAAGTATGTACAAGTTGTTGCTACTGATGAAGCACTGATGAGTATTGCAGTGGCTGCGATGCTAAACTCAAGTGGCGGCCTGATGAAGATGAGCTGAGAGCCATGGGTTCAGCTTTCCAAACACCATGGAAAGAATTCTTCCAAGATCGCCCGGACAAGGCTGTTGCCATCTTCGGTCTATGTGCGGGGTTTGTGCACATCACTGTGCTGTAATGACGTACGAATGCTCACGGTAACTAGATATATTCCACTCTCGAGCGCCCTTCCTCTTCGCAATTACATGAGTGCTGGCTATTTTACAGTACTGCTCCCCATCTACCCCACGTTTTGTTCTCAATGCTTCAATAGCTTTACCCTAGGTCTGTTGGCAGCGTTCACATCAAACTAGGAGAGAACGGCAAGGAAGTCCTCGACTTCACTACGGGCTTCCTGGATGAGTAAGTCGTTACACCTCCTTTCCGAAACTGCAAGACTAATATTTCATTCAGTCCATCCGATATCGTACCTCTTAACTTTGCGTACAAGAAGATGCGAGAGATATTACGACGCATGCCTTCCTACCGAGGTGAAGTCCCTGCAGGCCACCCACGTTTCTCAGACGGAAGCGCTGCAGTCTGCGGCGAAACGTCCGGGCCTATGGACTTGAATGCGCCTGACATCATCTATACTGCTGAAGACGACGAGGCGATCGACAGATTTCATCGTGACAACAGTACGTTTTCACTGTCATCCTCAATATTATGCTGAAATGCTGAATCAAATTTCAGTCCCAACGGCAGCGCACTCGGTGTGTGCAATTGAAGTTTGATGATTCTTACGTGACCGATTCCTGCGGATGTAGCTGGGTACCTGCGCCATGAAACCAGAGTCAGAGAAAGGAGTCGTGGACGCTCGGCTAAACGTGTATGGCGTAGGCGGGCCTGAAGGTTGCAGATATGTCTATCGCGCCTAAAAACGTTGGCACGGTGGGTATTAGATTAGTAACTATCGATGTGTGGTCTGACTGTCTCCATAGAATACGTACTCGACGGCACTCCTCATTGGAGAGAAGGCTGCGCTGATCATTGCTGAAGACTTGGGTATGAATCGTAGACCACGTGGTAATGAGAAAGTGAACAGCACGCCGTGTCTTTGATACTCATATTTAGGACAGGGTGCTATATAGTCAGTATAGTACCTGTAGGTGACGAAGAAAAGTAGTTCAAGTACCATTAACTGCTAGCGTGCATTACCAGCATCGTGGAGTGAGGTCGGAGAAAAATTTCGTGTAAAAGCCTGTAGTGTTGGTAGTGACTCGGGAGTTTTGTCAACCGGTCTAGCTAATTGGCCGGCGGCAGAACCCAGGTGCAAGGCTGCCTTATAGAGTTTTTCCAGTTTTGTCCTAGGACTAAAAGAAAGCCTCCTTGTCTACCTCGGGAGGGGGCTATACGGTCTCCCCAGGATCTATCTCCAGACCACTCCTAAATTAGGCCTACCGGGTAGGGACTATAGTACGATGTGTCGTTAGGCTAAACGAGCAAACTTCTTACAATGTCAAACTCATCCCTGCATGAACCCTGCGTGTGCTATATGATCGTGTCCATCTACTCAGTCCAAGGATGTTGAGTCACGAGTAGAAAATAACGGCAAACGCTGACCGTCAGAAGACCAATGTTCGTTCCTTTAGGTGTATAAAGTCAGCTCAAAGGCATCAAAAATCACTCGCCTGTTCCTGAACCCCCTCACCTGAACAGCATGCACGCTTCATTTTTCACCGCCAGACTCAGTTGCGCTTGCCACCATTGCCTCAGTTGTGTCTGCTCAGAGTCAGTAATACTTCGAGATTCGATTGTGCTAACATTTATAACCGCAAAACGTCTAGGTCTCCTCCCTGCTGGCTGTGACCGTAATGTAACTGTTCATTCTGGAGATACATGTGACAAAATCTCCGCAGCACATAATGTTTCCACGTACGTACAATCAGGTGCCTTCCGTTCACTTTTTCATCGATTGTATGCGACAGATACCAGCTGGCGACAGTCAACAGCAAAATCATTGACAGCGGTTGCGATAATTTGGGTATCGGAGAAGTAAGATATTTTGACGTTTGAAAAACATCTGACCTCATCGTTATAGGTTTTATGCCTTGGAATCAAAGGGCAGGATTGCAATGTTACCCATGTTTTGAAGGGCGGCGAAACGTGCCATAGCGTTGCCGATGCAACTGGTGTCCCGGAAAAGACGTTGCTCGCGAACAACCCGAACTTAGGCTCCGACTGCAGTGGCGTATATCCTGGCGAGGTGAATGAAATGTGATTTATCGAAGCCGTTGCTGATGAAAGAATTTCAGGTTCTCTGTACTGCGAAAAAGATCTATGTGACGAACACCTAATCAAATTGAGTCGAGAAGCTGAAAGTGAGAAAAAGGGATTGAAGATGTTCCTAGTTTTGACATTAGTATATACATAGGCTAAGTGATATGTCAATTCGTCACAATAGCATTCGGATTCAGACCTTCAAGTCTTTCGATCGACGAACAAGTCTCCTTACTCAGGAGTCAGAGACGACATACTACGAGTCCGCAACGCAGAGTCAAGTGACTCGTACGGCGTACCAGACAGTTTCTTCAAGAGAGAACCAAGACTTAGAAGTTCTGAGCAGGCCCCGAGTCGGTGGGTCGGTGACAGTGGGATTTTTCTTGAAAAACTGACACGTGTGCACATCACCATGATACTTACTGCAGGCACGCTTGCAATAATGTCCTTCCTAGCGACTGCTGAAGAGAAAGTGACATTTACAGTTTACTTGCGATTGTTTTTGGGATGAATAAGGTTTGTCTGAGTTTGAAAACCTTGCGCTCTCTCCTGCTCCCTCAGACGATTCCAAATTGCTAGTGCTTCACTGGGTCTTACGATCCCGCCGTACAGCTCTAGTGTCGGACCTTGAGTCATGGAAAAGCCATATGGGCACTGGGCAGTATCTTGTAGTTACTATCAACGCTACTGACAACACTCATCGCATCGCATAAGTATCTTACAACCACCATGTACGCCTCTGTTCACCATTTGCCCCCTATCTGAACTCCAACTGATAGATAAATATTGCCGTTGTGCGTGCTTGATGGTTATGGCTGTGTCGATGTTCCATAATCTCACTTCATCATCGGAACTCCAGCTGCCAACCTGCACGCCCCTATCTGTCCCAGACTCGAAATGAGCCATGGGGTGATTTCACCTCTTAGTATTATCATCCCGCGCGAATAACTTACAGGATTAGGATAATATACAGAAAGACGGATAGGTTGAACTGCGACGGAGTGCCATATGTCGAGCCTGAAATCCTGTTTCTCTCCGCTGACCCAATATAATTCTGCGGTCTTCTTATGTGCCCCCTTCTGTCGCATTTCCTTTGACTCGTGCCGTTGTTGTTCTGCGCCAAAAGTACATTCATCTAAGTGTCTAAAAGTTCTTACCACCATCTATCCATAGCTGACTCCGAGTTTCTGGGTCAGAAATGCTACTCCATGTAAAAACTTGAGCGGGTGAGAATTTGATGTGTTCTAACTCAAAATCTCAGTGCATTTTTGGCGCCCAACCGGCCGGGATCAAGTCACGAACACAGCCTGATTGTATTTGGACGTGCGGTGGAGAAGCTGAACAACAATCAGAGTGATTTGAATACTAATTTCGATGAGATGACATCCCAAGGCGGCTCTAGCAGAGATCTACATAGTTACAAACGAAAGGGGTATATATATACATGACAATACAAATAGGATGGGGCAAAGAACTCTAGACCAGTGGTGTGGCAGCCGAGGAAAGAGGATTGTGCGTCGATAATGGGATAGGCGATAGATATATAATTACAAATTCAAACTTGGAGCGACAGCCATGTAATGAAAGGGGAATGATGTTTTGAAATACAACGTGGTAGCAATCAGTCCAGCATAAACAGATCTTCGAGCGATGATTGATTATCGGGGACAGCCTCGCAGCATATGGCTTCCCAATCTTCGTCTTCGAGCAACGATTGACTCTCGGGGACAACCTCGCAGCGTATGGCTTTTGTTCGAACGAATGGCCTTCGAAGCCGAGGAGCCTCCCAGTTGTTGCTCGGAAGGTACTGCCGGGAAACTGGTGGTGGTGTATTCGCAGCTGGTGACTTCACATAACGTGCGAGCCGGTGGATTCTCTGCTTGTTTTTCGCCAAAGCATCCGGCACTAAAAATTATTGGTCAATCTATGTCTCCTGAATATTTATCGCAGAAGCTTCACGTACGTAACATAGCGTCCGACGTCGCATATGATTTCTGTGGCGACAAGGCAATAGCAGCATGCGCATGTGCTGCAGTCTGGATGACGGTTTCACAAGGGGTTAGTGCGTTATTTGGCACTAGTAACTCCTCGATGCCCAGTTGGGCACGAGTGTCAACTCCCCCGAACCGTATAGTGAAATCAGTCTTTAGAACAGACAAGAGAGAAGCAATTCGATCTGGACAAACGGTGAATAAGGAAATCCAACGAAATAACGACTGATGCTTACCCCCAATGTCAGCTGGAAACGCGGGCCTGCGGTGTCTGATCCAAAGAAGAAATTTGAAGTACGCCGACTTGTACGGCAAAAGTTCCTCTGAACAAATAACGAAGAGGTACAGGGCCACTCCCTCGCGTCTCAATGTCATGCGTGCACCCTTAAATACCGAGTAGCATTAATATCGGAAGAGTTTGCGAAATTTCAAATTATACTTACTTCAGTGAGAGCGATGATCTGCACGGGAAAATAATTGTCAGTTGACTATAAAAGATGATTTAATTGTGAGGGCAAGACCTTTCGACTGTAGTGCTGCAATTCGTGATCTCCCAAGCAACTGAATTTCATAAGGTCGTTAATACCGTCGAGAAAACGGCTCAGAGAGCCCAGACGTTCAGCCAAATCATTGACAACTGCTGGACAATCGAGTGCAGGGATATCGTTATTCATGATGTGAGGTGTGAACAGTTCGAAAGATGGTAAGAGGTAGAACGAAGAGAAGCACTGAAAACACGGAATATGAAGTGCTTGTTGTTTACCTGGGTGACAAACAGACACGCTTACCACAAACCATAGAAGTGACTCAAAATGTGGATGTTGTGGACGGTGGAGAGTGGAGAGTGGGCTGCTGATGGTGAGCCCTAGCATGCAAAAACCACAGTTTTGATAAGGATCCTGTTCGAAGGAAGGACTCCAAGAGTTTACCACGTTTGAACGTGTTAGCTGGATATCCAACCGTATCATGAACGAGGGGGCAAAGGTTCTAATTGCTTATGGAGAAACGCAAGGATAATTTGACAGTGATCGTTAACTTTGCATGAGTTCATTGCGTGTCTTCATACATATGCATCGGATATATCAGGTATGACAGAATTTCAAACTGTGTCAAACAATCACCTCGTGAGTTCATAGCCCTTCCATAAGTCTCCGGAGAATGGGGGCAGTCTGCTTCCTTGTCGCCCTCGCGTTATCCTGCTTGTACGCCCTCGCAACAAATGAATCCCCGAATCGCGCTTCATCGGCCATCACTTCTTCAGCATCATCGTCCTCAGATTCATCAGCCGTGTCGGCGTTGCCCACGAACTTTGTGAAATCAAGCCTTTCAGTTTAAGCTCTTCATTTGATTCGAGACCTTGCAAAAGTTTCTCTGCGATGCCTTCATCTGCGTTGACTATCCAAAGTTGCTCCCGCCTTCCCTTGCCTCTCGTGCTCCGAAAAGTAGTGAGTATCCCGAGAACGCTAAGATCTCTTTCGTCGAGCCAATCTTGAATTTCTTTTATAGGATAACTTGATGATATGAAGAATACGGAGAGCCGACGTGGAACGGTGGTAAGACCCACTCTCATCATATTGAAAGATTGGGTCGCATTATCGGATGCAGGCATGCTGAATGCGTACTCTTTGTAGTCTCTCCGCAGCAAGTCCCGCGTGCTGAGATGGGATACAGAGAGTTTCTTCTCTCCTAACGTCGCTGACAGAGACTGGACGGAAGGGAGGTGGATGATTGTTTGGTTATATAATGAAATCTTTTCCTTGTGTGCCAGAAGGGAATTGGGAATTAAAACCGCAACCGCCTCCTTGTCAACATCCAGAGCCTTGCCTCCCTCTTTCAGACCTTGAGTATCGATTAAAATAGCACTTAGCAAGAGCGTGGACATTTCTGGGGGTATGAAAAGGTTGGAAGACGATTGATTCAATTTGATACCAAGGGACGAGCAACTTCCGGCCGGTTCGACTATGCGGGACCAGTCGTACTAGTATCCTTGTATTGTCCTTCATCTTCGTGATGCTCTATCACTGCAACGACCCTGGCTGTTGGAGACGCGTGTCTGGTATGAAAGACGTTATGATCCACAGGTGCAAGCTAGGACACTTGTGATGGAATACATACGATCACCAGAGCAATAAAGTTCTTCAAAAGGGTGGTCGATGCCAGCGAGACCAAGGGCGTGCAAATTCTCTGCTCTAAGGACAAAATCCTCCCTAGGTGTAGTTATGTATGCGATCGCCTTTCCGCGCGTGTTGCAGCGCAACCAGGCATATCCGAGTGCACTAGCGAGAGAATCGAGATCTATATGGTGCAAGACAACGGTAAGGACTAAGACAGAGCGAAACACGGTTGAGCATACCACCCGCTCCATTTCCCATTACCACTGTCCATCCTTCCACATTATCAGCTAGAAAAGCCGCTTTCCGGAACTTCAGGTATGTCGACAAGTTGAAAGTATACATAGAAAACTGACCTTCTTGTCTCGATCTTTCTCTCGATGTTTTGACTTGGACTTGCGAACATCGCAACTATCCGAACGAGATCGGTGACTTCCCCCGCAACCTATGCCGACTACTGCCACCAAGCTCCTTAGATGACATAGACGCAGCAGAGTTTGCCGAAGGTGAAGGAGATCGTCGTCGATGTTCAGCGGTCTACAATGCATTTATCCACACATCTTCAAAGGTCAGTGGCAACTCAGCAAAAAAAATGAGGCGACAACGTACGATGCTGCGACTTCTGATTCACCCACGACTCTCGGAAGGCTCGTGGTATTCGTCTCGGTCCTATAGCAGGGTTAAAACAACATTGGAAAAGACAGTAAATGTCTCACATTATGGTAATCCTTTCCTCTATCTCTCATATTGTCATGATACTTGTGACTTGGTATGTACTCCAGGACCTTGAACGTTTAGTGTGACGAGATCTTCTATCCTCTTTCTTGTCATGGTGGCTGCGTCTTTGAGGTAACTTTGAACGACTCCATCCTCTATCTCCTCCTGTTCGGATAATGTGTTGTCTACCCATTACCAAGACAGCCGACGTAGTGCGTGGTAAACATTGACACAGAAGGTCAGTCGAGAATCTTTAAGGAGTAACGGAGAGCATTTATCACTTCGTCTACAGTAAGATGCTCTTTCCGTTCACCGTGTCTTCTCTCGTTCACGAGGGTTGTTGCAGATGACCGTGTTTAAATTTCACTGTTTGGCATTGCTTGCTGATGAAGTGTTTGGAAAAGTGTATCACGGTGGACAACTGTTTTACATCGTCAATAGAGTGGTTGAAGGCGTCACACTGGCTGTGCTGACTAGCATTGACGATTATCACTGGGCCGCCCAGTGATGATCGTCAATGCTAGTCAGCACAGCTGTGACGCCTTGATCATCCATAGTGCGGGAGATCCTGTCCATGTTCTGCTTGACATCAAACAAGCCGAAGTGTCCGAATTCTCCTCAGAGTTCCAATCACTCGCAGAGCAGTTTGGTTCTTCTGATTATCAACTCACGCTTGTCGGCATCCTTCGCAAGCTTTGGAATGATGTCGTTGACCCCGTAGTCCAAGCTCTCAAGGAGTCTGAAGTTCGCCCTGGTTCGCATATCTGGCGGTGTCCCACTGCTGAGTTCACGCTGCTTCCCCTCCATGCAGCGGGACCATACGAGAAGGGAAGAGACAATTTGTCCAACATTTACATATCCCCTTACACCCCCACTTTGGCGACTCTCGTTCGTGCAAGACAGCAGGTTTCTCGAGATGTGTCCTCCCAACATTTTGTTGTCAAGGCAACCCGATTGAAGGGAAGGAGCTCAAATGTGTTGCTCCTGAGCTAGCTATCGTCGCTCGCCACGTCACTCCCGTCATCTCCTTCGCATCCCTCGAGGATGGCAACGCAACAGTCGAGAGTGCACTCGATGCACTCAACCGTAATCAATGGCTCCATCTTGCCTGCCGTGGAATGCTGAATCGGACACAGCCGTTCGAGTCTTCCTTCGCCATGATGCGCGACGGGCCCTTAATGATCAAGGATATCATCCGATCCAACTCGCAGAACCCACAGTTTGCATTCTTATCAGCCTGCCACACTACCGTCGGCGGCGAGGGGAGCCCCGATGAGTCGATCCATCTTGCTGTGGCCATGCAATTCTGCGGATTTCGCAGTGTGATCGGTTCCATGTGGTCTGTCGACGACGAGGTTGCACGGCAGGTCGTGTCTGCTTTTTACCGCAAGTTAATCGGTGATTCAAAAAGATTGGACTGCACAGGGGCTGCGGTAGCGCTGCACAAGGCTGTGAGATCGTTGCGCAAGAAGATCCCGTTAGAACAGCAGATTGTATTTGTCCACATAGGTGTGTAGTTAGAGACTCGATTCGCTATATTATTCCATTTGCTGTATTTCTAGTTGTTTTCATTCCCTCGCTCTCCTGTTGTTTACTTATTTCTGCATGATACTTTCTTGTTCTGTGCTGTACTAGTGCCACACACCGCGTCCCGTTGAATAAATCTGATTTACTCCTACATCGTCACAATTCTAAGTCGTTGAACGCCGCTGTAGCATATGATTCAGCGAAAAATCGCGTATCCGTCCCCTTGGATCGCCTTGCTATTGTCGTCGACGACTCGGATCCGCATTCGTAACCACCCATAGGCGTCCCAAGTCGATGTCCAGAGTTATAGATATACCCAGCATTGAGCTAAACGACTCGAGGTAGGTCAACTATAGCTCGTCAACTAATCAAAGTTAGGAAACAAAATCAACGGACGAAATCTTGGCCTCCGGATCAGACAACAGAAAACGTTGTGCAATGAAGTGACAAAGTTCAGACCATATCAGCATAATCGCAGGTCTGATGTATAGGTAAAACGATTGGGCAAATGTGTGTATGCAAATTGGATCATCATATGAGATACTTCGCAGGTATAAGTCGCTTTCAAATCTACCGCTTCCATCAATCGTGGAATGAGGTCGTTTATGAACACTCCCCTGGAGGTCGGGATTGAAGTTCAGCTTCTGATGCGTGGCAAATACTGCTGTTGGGTGGTATTTGATAACGTCAGACCCAGGTGAGGTTCCGGGCCGTCGAGTTCTTGGCACGATCTATGTATCCAGACGGTAGGCAGCTCAATTGAGGACACGTTCCCTCAAAGCTGTTGAGTACTAGACTGTCAACGGAATCCGGTATAACTGCGTGGAAGGACTGATCGTCTGGACGTAATCGACTGTCATCCTCGAGATTGACCACCAGTACAAGCCAGTTCAAACACGCTGTCACATGAAGCCGGTTAATCTGCGCATCGTCGCATATCAACTGGGCTGATGTTACAAAGATACACAATAAAATTGGCACCGATGTTGATTAGCGTGCACGAGAGACGGTATCAGCAGACCCAAGTAGATTTACAGCAACGGTATTGCTCTCTTGAATACGTTTCAGGCGCTCATAAAGCACTTGTACCTCTCGGGCCGTGGTGTCAATCAGTTGCTGCTCTGTGAGAGGCACCGATGATGCACTCTGAGACTCAGGGGCGGGCGGCATAGGGTGTGCGCCCACACCAGTTTGTCGAAGGAATTCAGTAAGTGTGCGAAGTGCCTGCATGAGTGCAGCCAGCTCAGCTGAAAATTTGAAGCGTAACTTGCCAGCCACAATTATAAAAAAACATGAACGTACTTGCCTGTTGTATGTGCAAGACTATTTCCTGCTTGGTATGCGCTTTGTCTGACGAATCATTAAACATCATATAAGTATGAAGGGAGTAGGGAGACTTACATGCCGTGCAAGCAATTACGTGCCAGTGATTGAATCCTTACGACATGGTCGAGCGCTATTTGCACGTTCTGCTTTAGCACTTCTGGTGAATTTGGATCAGTATGGATGGAATCGTGCAGGGACGATTGTGACATGTAGACAGAAGCATTCTGAAAGCTAGATGGCGGGATAGATGATATGGACAGAGTGGAAGATTGACTGGGATTATTCATTTCGCTACTGTGCGTGATGGTTGCATTTAGACTTGTTATTCCCGCTATCATAGTACACACCCGTAAATAATCATGTTAACTTGAAACCATAATTCTCAGATATTCAACCAGTACTAGTATGATTTTATGCTAGCATTAATTGTCTTCCCGCCTCCTTGATTTAACGTCTCTAAATGTCTGTTCTCTGCCCACCGACTACACATGTTCCAGGATCGCGACTTTTTCCGTCGCCCAACTTCTCGATGCCTTGACTTATTTACAGTCACTTTACCATCCAGAAGTCCGTGGCTCGCGTCGCCAACGTGTGCAGGTACCTGTATCTAATGGAGAGCAAAATTACGCCTTCGCCTATGAAGATGATAGCGAACTCCAAGCTATCCGATCTGACGCATTCGAGCGCTCATATTCCACTCGCTGGCTTACCACTCTAATCGCACAGCTCGAGGTCTGGCAAGACTTATCGCACTCCGACGAAGTCTTATTGGATGATCTTGGGACGCCAGAGCCTACCTTGGCTTACACAGAGATACTCGTCCAACAAGCCGCGTCGCTGCTCGCGATTGGTGTCGGGGATCGCTGCTGCTGGAATGATCACCCGTAACTTTTTTTTGGTTCTATAGACGGGCAGAGACGAGTGGAAGCTCAGCTCACAGATATTCTGCTGGACAATAATGACTGCGGGAGTGTGGGAGTGCAGACATGGGGCGCGGCATGTGTCTTGGCAGAAATGGTTCTCGAAGATCCTGAGCGGTTTGGACTGGATTCTTCCTCTCACGGCCCTGAATCACGCAGGCTCAACGTCCTTGAGCTCGGAGCAGGAACAGGGTTGGTTAGCTTAGTGGTTATGAAATTACTGGATACATTGCCATCTTTCAACCATCGCGAGGTTCATGTGGTTGCGACCGATTTCCATCCTTCTGTGTTGGCCAACCTCAGGTCAAACGTTGACGCGAATGTCTCCTCCACGCACAATCAAATTACTTCAACCCATTCCATTACCACTCATTTCCTCGACTGGTCATCATTCTCTACTACTCCTCGACCGGATTGTCTTTCGTAGCCATTTGATGTGGTCCTTGGTGCAGAAGTGCGAAATCTATATCATTAATACTACTGCAAGTCTTACGATCCCGCCGTACAGGACTCACTCGACACTGCGGCAGAAGCTTAACAGGGTAAAAGACGATAGGTTATGGGATCCTCACTCGACACCATAAACCAGCAACACTTGAGATTGCTGTCGACGAGAAAGGAAAGTTGCTTGCCGCAACCCGCTATGCTCAAGGTCAGCTGCAGTGGTACATGCGAGGAAGCTGGGAGATGATGCATAAGTTGAGGGTGCTGAGAGCCTGAGAGGAGTGGCACATCGCATGCGTGCTAACGCCAACTTGGCGTCCATTCGATGCAGAGAAGTTCAGTATACTATTTGACGCGAAACTTACCATCTTCCAAGCGCAGAAGCACAGTTTACGACATTGCTCATATAACTAGGGTATACATTAAATAAAATTGAAGAATCGATAATAGTGAAACCAAAGACCGATCTAACATTGAAAATCCGTGCGGCATCTCGGGAAGTCGAGGTGTAACCAAACATCCGCCATAATTAGACAAGAGCAGACTCGGAAGCTTCTCATTTTAACAGAGGCCGATAGTTCCGCATTCACCTATATTCCCTGACCTCCACTGGTAGTACCTATCCCACCCATCGACGTTGATGAAGGTCGTAAATAGTTCGCAGTGTCTAACGTCGTTACTGAAATGGACGGTTCGTGGACATGTTCGTTGTTACGCCGAAGGCGGAATAGAATTCGTGATGCCAGGACGCTATGACTGACCAGCTGTAGCCTAGTGCAGTGGGTCCGAGATCAACTTGCAGTCAGAGTGCAGCCGGTGACGTACGAGTCAAACAAATTGCTATAGGCGATCTGCAGAACAGAAAATTAGCGAATCCTACAATTTGACAGACCAGACACGTACTGGAAGTGCAGCTCCGATGATAGCATTGGCGAGTGTGATGGCTTCCTTAAACGCGTCACTCGATAATATCTCGAGAGCCAATTATTTCCACGCACCGAGGATGCACAACATGTAAAACATGCCATCATGGTACAGCGTTACTATAATTCCGCTCTGAAGGTCTTTATAGTCACGGACCCTCTTATACACTGTAAGGATCAGCATCACTGCCATGTTATAGGTAAGAAGGCCAATAGATAGCTTTGGATAATTACTGACCGCTTTCAAACATCGCCAAGATCATGTATACTACTGCAGAGTTGCGTGTGCTCTCGAAATAACATCCTGCGGCAGAGGGCCCCTCTGATACTCATATTAGGACTTTCGTTCGTGAACACTAATGAACTCACCTCCTGGAATCAACACTGCAGGGTTGAGGTCTACAGCAATGGCGGCGGCGACTGACAACTATGCAATCATAAAAATCTATACTATCATTCCTGCTCTGCAAAACACGCACCACACTATAAACCAATAACCCGATCAGCAATCGTTTACTCTTTTGCCAGAATGCCCAGGTCCGAATAACCAGCAAGGCTGCCAAGGAAGTGAGATCCACTGCGCTCTCAGCATGCATGCAGAACGCGCACCTTCCGCAGAAACGATACTTATGACGTCAATGACTGGAATTCACATTGTTTAAGTTGCATGAACTTTTAAAAATGAACTGTTTGACAGACTCACTATATCCTTCCAGAGTAGCGGCACACTTTCCCCATACAATCAGCTTAGCGTATAAACTATTCGCCAGCTAAGCTTACCTGATCGCTGGCACGCAATGCGTCTAAGATATGCCCATCAGCAACGCACAAGATCAAGAGAATCGAAGTGGGTCACTCGCAATATGCAGTTATTCCAACACCCGCGAAAGGCAAATATCGGGAAATGATGAAGATAATACGAATTACGTCCCATGGTTTGAACCATGTCCATCGCACCTGTGGGGAGTGGTCAGAACAACATTCGCGAACAAACTGATATTTCCTCGAACCTCTTCGGAAAAAGTGATGCAATAATCAAATACCTGCAATGTCAAAAGAGCTTTGAGGTAGAAACACAAAAAATGTGTTTAATACTCACGAAGATTGCAAGACTGCCCACTAAAACAATAGTCAATGCTGTCGTTCAGTTTTTGAACGATCTGCCCACACTCACAATTGGCGTACTAAATCGGACATGATGTTAGCCTCGAGGATATCAGAGGAAAACAGCCCAAGTTTACTCACCTTGACCGTCTGCAACTTCGTCATGTCTGAGACAGATGGTAGGGCAGACATATCAGAATAATACGGTACTTAGAATGCGCCTGCCCGCAAGTCCTGAATGGAGCGATACAATTACTTAAGTACGATGCATTAGTATTAATTTAAGATGACCTTTAGGAAGTTGCTGGTTGGTCGAAAGTTGTCAACGGGTGAAAGAAACCTTGTCAAACAAGGTAACTACACAGCCAAAGCTTGCAGTGAGACTCATCAGAGATAGTGCCTGGTGAGTACGAGAGGCGCCATGTGCTACAATGAGAAACTGCTTGATGTGTCGAGGATTGCAATGACCGTAACTGCAAGCGATGTCTCTCCCACCGCGGGCAAAGTCTGGAAGGCCGGCCGAGACTCCTCAACAGTGATCATCCTGTTGCTAGATGGTTTACGCACCAGACAATTGGGCTACTTTCCGAGAGCCTTTGAACTAACTTGAGTTGGCCTAGCCGGTACCTCCGATTTGGGCTTCAGTTTGTTGGAAGAATCGCACAGCCACATACTTTGTTACTCGATCACTTTAGTCTATATCCCAAAAAAGGGTTGTTTAAAGTTTTTCCTTGCATCTCACTCCCACTGATGCCATACGTAACTCGCTCGTTCTCACATTTTCACACCACTTTCAAGTAAGTACTGTACGTACTACTAGCTAACTTTGTACTAACAGTTCGCAGGCTGGGCGCCATCGCTGATGATTGGGCACACTGCCTGTTCTCATCTATGCTCTTGAGACGCCGGTATAGTTCATTTCCGTCTCCTTACATCATCGTCTCATGGGGGCAAGTAATATATTTGAATATATCACACTATTCAGGCAACAAAATTTTTCTTGATCATCAGAGCATGACTCAAAGAGCTCACACCATGGGCCTGCATCCCATCAACGGCAGTGTGGTCGCATGGTGAAGCTCCACATGATCGGTGCAACTCATACGACATCAAGCCAGCTACATAACAGTTGGAACATCTTTGACGGATCACGCTGAGTTCTAGGTATTACTAGCATCCAATCGGTCGATACCCACTGTGCCGGCATGTACATCTGCTACGTATAACCTCACTTCCTGAGGTACTTTTTGATGCAATCCTGGAACACATCGCTTCGCCGACTGATTTTCAGCGCCTCAAGTAATATTTCCCATGTTTCATTTAAATCAGAAACCCCCCAATCATGCACTTTGGTTCATTCGAGAGCTTCTGATCATGAAACTATTGTTTTATCGACAACAGTCGATACGATCGATCAAGATTCTCATTTCTGACAATATACCCACTTTCTTCTTTGAGCCTTCGGCGTTGTGTCCGGTAGTCTTGCTATCCCTCGAGCCTGAAATCCTGTTTCTCTCCGCTGACCTAATACAATTCTGCGGTTTTCTGTTATGCCCCCTTCCGTCGCATTGCCTTTGACTCGTGCCGTTGTTGTTCTGCGCCAAACGTTCATTCATCTAAGTGTCCAGAAGCTCTTACCACCAGTACACCGTTCTTTCTATCCATGGCTGACTCCGAGTTTCTGTGTCAGAAATGCCAGAGCTTCCGTGCCACTTTCCAGGAAAAATCCGAGCGGGTGAGCCTTCGATGGGTCTACTCAAAATCTCAGTGCAATTTTTGGCACCCAACCGGTCGTGTTCGAGTCAGGAATACAGCCTGATTGTGATGTGAAATATTTGGACGTGCCATGGAGAAGCTGGACAACAATCAGAGTGATTTGAATACTAATTTCGATGAGATGACATCCCAAGGCGGCTCTAGCAGAGATCTAGTTACAAACGAAAGGGGTATATATACATGACAATACAGATGGGATGGGGCAAAGGACTCTAGACAGTGGTATGGCAGCCGAGGAAAGAGGATTGTGCGTCGATTGTGGGATAGGCGATGGATCATGGATATATAATTACAAAATTCAAACTCGGAGGAACAGCCATGTAACGAAAGGGGAATGATGTTTTGGTTTTCATGAAATACAACGTGGTAGCAATCAGTCCAGCATAAACAGATCGTCGAGCGATGATTGATTATCGGGGACAACCTCGCAGCATATGGCTTCTGTTCGAACGAATGGCCTTTGAAGGCAAGGAGCCTCCCAATCTTCATCTTCGACCGATGATTGATTCTCGGGGACAACCTCGCAGCGTATGGCTTTTGTTCGAACGAACGGCCTTCGGAGGCGAGGAGCCTCCCAGTTGTTGCTCGGAAGGTACTGCCGAGAAACTGGTGGGGGCGTATTCGCAGCTGGTGACTTCACATAACGTGAGAGCTGGTGGATTCTCTGCTTTTTTTTCGCCAAAGCATCCGGTGCTGAAAAATATTGGTCAATCTAGGTCCCCTGAACACCTATCGCAGCAGCTTCACGTACGTAACATAGCGTCCGACGCCGCATATGATTTCTGTGGCGACAAGGCAATAGCAGCATGCGCATGTGCTGCAGTCTGGATGACGGTTTCACAAGGGGTTGGTGCGTCATTTGGCACTAGTAACTCCTCGATGCCCAGTTGGGCACGAGTGTCAACTCCCCCGAACCGTATAGTGAAATTAGTCTTTAGAACAGACAAGAGAGAAGCAATTCGATCTGTACGAACGGTGAATAAGGAAATCCAACGAAATAACGACTGATGCTTACCCCCAATGTCAGCAGGGAACGCGGGCCTGCGGTGTCTGATCCAAAGAAGAAATTTGAAGTACGCCGACTTGTACGGCAAAAGTTCCTCTGAACAAATAACGAAGAGGTACAGGGCCACTCCCTCGCGTCTCAATGTCATGCGTGCACCCTTAAATACCGAGTACATTAATATCGGAAGAGTTTGCGAAATTTCAAATTATACTTACTTCAGTGAGAGCGATGATCTGCACGGGAAAATAATCGTCAGTTGACTATAAAAGATGATTTAATTGTGAGGGCAAGACCTTTCGACTGTAGTGCTGCAATTCGTGATCTCCCAAGCAACTGAATTTCATAAGGTCGTTGATACCGTCGAGAAAACGGCTTAGAGAGCCCAGACGTTCAGCCAAATCATTGACAACTGCTGGACAATCGAGTGCAGGGATATCGTTATTCATGATGTGAGGTGTGAACAGTTCGAAAGATGGTAAGAGGTAGAACGAAGAGAAGCGCTGACAACACGGAATATAAAGTTGTTGTTTACCTGGGTGACAAACACACGCTTGCCACAGGTCATAGAAGTAAAAAATGTGGATGTTGTGGAGAGTGGAGAGTGGGCTGCCGATTGTGAGCTCTAGCCTGCATGAACCACAATTTTAATGAGGATCCTGTGCGAAGGAAGGGCTCCAAGGGTTTACCACGCTTGAATGCGTAGTTGGCTATGCAAGCTTGTCGTAAACGAGGGAGCAAAGGTTCTAATTGCTTATGGAAAAACGCAAGGACAATCTGAGAGTGATCGTTAAATTTGCATGGCTTCATTGCGTGTCTTTATACATATGCATCGGATATATCAGGTATGAGAGAGTTTTAAACTGTGTCAAACAATCACCTCATGAGTTCATAGCCCTTCCATAAGTCCTCGGAGAATGGGGGCAGTCTGCTTCCTTGTCGCCTTCGCGTTACCCTGCTTGTATGCCCTCACAACAAATGAATCCCCGAATTGCGCTTCATCGGCCGTCACTTCTTCAGCATCATCGTCCTCAGATTCATCAGCCGTGTCGGCGTTGCCCACGAACTTTGGGAAATCAAGCCTTTTCAGTTTAAGCTCTTCGCTTGATTCGAGACCTTGCAAAAGTTTCTCTGCGATGCCTTCATCTGCCTTGACTATCCAAAGTTGCTCCCGCCTTTTCTTGCCTTTCTTGTTCCGAAAAGTAGTGAGTATCCCGAGAACGCTAAGATCTCTTTCGTCGAGCCAATCTTGAATTTCTTTTATAGGATAACTCGATGATGTAAAGAATGCGGAGAGGCGACGTGGAACAGTGGCAAGACCCACTCTCATCATATTGAAAGATTGGGTCGCATTATCGGATGCAGGCCTGCTGAATACGTACTCTTTGTAGTCTCTCCGCAGCAAGTCCCGCGTGCTGAGATGGGATACAGAGAGTTTCTTCTCTTCTAACGTCGCGGACAGAGACTGGACGGAAGGGAGGTGGATGATTGTTTGGTTATCTGATGATGCGGAGACTTCTTCCTTGTGTGACAGAAGGGAATTCGGAATTAAAAACGCAGCTGCCTCCCTGTCAACATCCAGAGCTTTTCCTCCCTCTTTCAGGCCGTGAGTGTCGATTAAAATAGCACTTAGCAAGAGGGTGGAAATTTCTGGGGGTATGGAAAGGTTGGAAGACGATTGATACAATCTTGTAACAAGAGACGAGCAACTTCCAGCCGGTTCGACTATCCTGGGATCAGTTGTACTAGTATCCTTGTATTGTCCTTCATCTTCGTGATGATCTATCACTGCAACAACTCTGGCTGTCGGAGATGCGTATTTGATGTCAAGGATGTTATGATCCACAAGTGCAAACTGGGACACTTGTGATGGAATAGGATCACCAGAGCAATAAAGTTCTTCAAAAGGGTGGTTGATCCCAGCGAGACCAAGGGCGTGCAAATTCTCTGCTCTAAGGTCAAAATCCTCTCTAGGTGTAGTTATGTATGCGATCGCTTTTCCGCTCTTGTTGGAGCGCAACCAGGCATATCCGAGTGCACTAGCGAGAGAATCGAGATCTATATAGTGCAAGACAACGGTAAGGACTAAGACCGAGCGAAACACGGTTGAGCATACCACCCGCTTCATTTCCCATTACCACTGTCCATCCTTCCCCATTATCAGCTAGAAATTCCGCTTTCCGGGACTTCAGGTATGTTGACAAGTTGAACGTAGACATTGAAGTTTGCCGCAGAGGTTTAGCGGGGAATCTGAGGTTTAGACTTGCTAATGAAGTGGAAGTAATTTTTATAAGTCGGGGTAATAGTTGGCAAGCGACCACGAAAGCCCATAAGACCGCCAGGTAAGAATATCTGGTAAAGATCATACGACTCGTCGGAGTGTCAAATCCTATACGTGTGATGCAGCGAGGCGGCGTTTGAGTGCTTGCTACTTATTTTTGCAAACTAATCTTTACTACCCGTGTTGATGTCCTTGCAGTACGATGTACTTATTGTCGGTGCTGGCATCGCTGGCTCTGCTCTTGCCCACGCACTGTCGCAGTCCTCAGCTTCGCAACGTCGTATTGCACTCCTCGAGCGGAGCCTTGCCCAACCTGACCGTATAGTCGGCGAGCTGCTCCAACCTGCTGGTGTCGCCTTCCTCGACAAGCTTGGCTTACAGGGCGCATTAGAAGGTATAGACGCGATACCAGTACACGGATACGCGGTCGTTCACGATGGTCGCATTGTTCATATTCCATACCCTGATGGACGAGAAGGACGGAGTTTCCATCATGGACTATTCGTGCAAGGACTAAGGGAACACGCAAAGCGCGCAAAAGGCGTGGATGTCATCGAAGCAACCGTAAACGAACTGGTGGAAGAGGAAGGAAGGGTCGTCGGTGTAAAAGCTACGCGTTCTGGCTGCAAGGAGAGGGAGGTTTTCCGTGCAGACCTAACAATTATTGCAGATGGGTGCTTCTCGAACTTCCGTAGCACCGTACAAGGTCCATCTGCACGTCCTTCAAGTACGAAGTCGCATTTCTGTGGTGCGATACTCAAGGATGCACGGTTACCGATGTCACAGCACGGCACTGTCGCGCTCGTACGTGGCCACGGACCCGTTTTGCTATACCAAATATCGGAACACGATACCCGCATACTCGTAGATGTCAAAGGTCCACTGCCATCCGACTTAAAGGTTCGCTTCTTGCCGCTCATAGTTTGCATGCGCTCAAGACCCCCCAGAAACATATCATCACCGAAGTAATGCCTTCCCTCCCTAATCAACTACATGAGCCGATCCGTGCTGCTCTTTCTGCTGATCGTGTTCGCCGCATGCCCAATTCATTCCTACCGCCTGCCCCTCAGACGCACAAACGCGGTGCTATCCTTCTTGGGGACGCCTGGAACATGCGTCATCCGCTAACAGGCGGTGGTATGACCGTTGCACTGTCCGACGTATACATACTTTCCCAGCACCTCGATACAGTAAACGACCTACTTGACTGGAGCCAGATGAAGGACGTTCTCAACAAATGGTGGTGGGAACGCAAAGGGCTGGCTGCGACTATCAATATTATGAGCGTCGCCCTTTATGACGTGTTTGGAGCTGATGGCGAGTGTTTGACTGTCTTCCAAGACGGATGTTTCAAGTATTTCGAAAGGGGAGGGGAATCTGTCCGTGGTCCAGTATCATTGCTGAGTGGGTGAGTGATTTTCCAATCACGATTGCCGTATTTTCCGTGTTGACCAACCGACCTAGAATTGCACCTTCAACCTCACTCCTTGCATATCACTTCTTCTATGTGGCGTTGTATTCTATATGGTCGCTCTTTGCACATCCTCGACGCATGCGTGCGCCTCGCACAAATAGCAAGTCGCATATGAATGACACTCCCAATATGACTGGGAATGGTGAAGTGCACACTGACGAAAAAAATTCGGACATGCATATCATGCAAATCCCTTCAATACTAGATTACCCTCGACTATTCTGGCTGAGCTGTAGAGTCGTAAGTTCTACTACGTGATCTTTAGTTATCCCGACTGACATTTTTGTGTAGTTATGGACGGCAATTGCAATTTTTGGACCCCTACTATGGACAGAGATCCGCTGGTGGTGAGCTTATTAGTTAGACTTGAACAATTCAGGACACCTATATTTTGGAGTTATCGTACATGCATGTGGCACCTAATCATGTGGAGGTTCAGCTGTGAATAGTATTCTGGTGTGTTTATGGCCTGTTCTGATATCCTACACGAGTCTGTTGTCAATCTAGAAACCTGGCGAACGTGTAGTGTACAGTGTACAACTACTGCCCGCAAGGTTCATAACTCGTGCGCCATGCCCCATTTCGGTTGCTCCACAATTCATCTAGAGTTATCAATGCGCATGTCGACTGTTGTTCCGTATCCGCTCCCCGTAATACCAAAATATCCAGGGCCTGCAGGTATTACTATCGAGGGTGACAACGAAAGGATAAAGGAGGAAGACATACGCGGGACAGCCTAAGACGATTGCCGCAACTGCCAGGATAGTATTGCCCTTCCCGAACCCGAGTGCGTCATACATTGCTGGAGCGAACAAGGGAAATCCAAAACCTGCCAGTGACCTCAAAAAGGCGACAGCAGCAATTGCTGAGTGTGAATCATTTGAGATGAGTTACATGGGAACCAGATCATACGTACCGGAAGCGGCATGAAGCTGAAAGCATTCAAGGATGTAGGTCTGAATACACTGGAAACTCAGAATGATACCTGCTCCCACAAGTGCCATACCCTCTCGAAACCATCAGTAGAGAAATAATGATAGGAGAATAAAACCAACAATATCTACAGCTATCCAATGAGTATGGGCTTCAGAGGTCCAGCCTACGATCAAGCACCCTATTGGAAGTAGCAGAGATCCGGGAACCATAGCAGCTGATAGTAAATCGAGTGAGCACTCAAGAAAGGGGACACTAGAATAACACAACGAACGCAATCTGAATTCCGGCTTTGCAACTCCGCCGTTTTTATTCTTGAGATGAATGTAAACCATGTTCGTCGTTTTTGCATTTAATTGGCACGCCCCAACCAATCCTATGCCAAGCGAAATGTAATGAAGGCCGGCGATTCCCGGCGACTCCTGATATACACCCTGAAAGATCGATGGTATCGTCGTCAAAAAGACTGAGAGGCTAGGTGAGATCAGGTCCGTCGAAGAATAGATGACTTGCGATACAGTAACCCGTACAGATACGCCATGTAAATGCCGAGGAGCTGCACTATTGGCTCATGGACAAAGAGTACAAAAGGGCGACTGAGCGATTTGGCCATGATGGTCTGCCAGCTATATAAACCATCGTTACCTTGTAAGTTACATGGATTGTGATAGAACTTACGAGCGATCTTGACTGAAAACGGTGCAGACTGCTCGTTGCGGCGCTTTTTCGGCATCCATCGATCTGCGAATTCGATCTGCCTTCCTTTCCAATAAGATGGGTTCGTAAGCTGAGCAGTATCAATAAGGATGAGGATGAAGAGCGACTAGTCAGTGACCCACTCTCTTGAAGTATAAACAATGCAATGATATGAATGACTACATCCACAATGGACGTAGACCAAAACTATCAGAAAAATGAGAATAATCCTGCATTGGTGAAGGCATCACATACCACCCATCTCCAGGTCGAGAGTTCAGCGATCCTGGTGAGGATTTAGATATCGCCATTAAAGTTGGAATAGCCACAAACCAGGCACCTGTGATAGGCCCCACAACAGGTCCCAATAACGGAGCTAAGGCGACAAGAGCAACGGCTTGCCCCCTCTCTTCTGGCACCCAGCAGTCCCCAAGGAAGCCGGCGCCAATCTGAAGAGGTCAGCCATTCAGATCAAACATGTTCTCTTCAACAAATGTAAGCTTTACCGACAAAACCGCGCTGCCTCCGATGCCGGCAAGAAATCGGAAGGCAAGAAGCTGGGATTCTGACTGTGCAAATCCACATCCAATATTCCATGCTGCCAATTCATTTCAAGAGTGGGAATGAAAATAAATTTATGAAGACCACATACCGAGATACCATAGATTTGACAATTGCAAAACACGCCATCGTCCGTAAATTTCACTCAATGGACCCAGAAACAATGGACCCATCGCTGGTACGTAATTTGGTTGATCAGTGGGGTACCTAGCATCCGACATTTCGCTCACCAAACCCAAGCACAAAGATGGATGTTGTGAGGGCAAGTACAACATTGTTGTTGATCCCGAAGGCAGAAGCCACTTGGTCGATAGCGGGCGTGACCATAGAGGAAGACACTGGACTAATGAAACTAAATGCTGATACGATTAGTGTCGCTGCCCATTTGTGTCTATAACTCCAACTGTGCAAGAACTATAAGCCTGATAGCCATTCTGCTCTGCATGCGCAAACATACTTTTTAGGATTTTGAGGGTCATCTGGGCTGTCCCAGTCAACAATCAGAATATCTGTACCATTCGTTGCCGCAAGCAGCTCGCTGCTATGCGGCTTCTGAGAATAACTCTGTTCTGGAATTTGATGGACTGAGTTTAGCGCACGCTCCCCTTGTAACGTCAGTGTGGAAGACACAGAGTGTAGTATGCCATGCCGCCCGTCAGTCACAATCTGATGGACTGAGTTTGGCGCATGATTGCCTTGTAATGTTGGTGTGGAAGACACCGAGTGCAGTATCCGCCGGTCCCGGTCAGGCACGGACATAGGGGTGTTGTTTGTGGCGGACATATGCGAATGACATCTGTATGATCCCTTCCTTTCCTGCTTATAAGTAAACGTAGGAGTTGGTTAATATAGACCAGTACGATGTCGCTCGCTATAAGGCGCAGTTGAATACACAGACCTTAGTCGTTACTGTGATGCTTACCTTGAATCAGCATGTGCTCAAATCCGATGTCATGCATTAGTTTGACACATACCAGTTTACTGTAAGGTCACCGATGCCGTCGGGCGACACTGTTAACCGATAACGGAATATCATACAGTCTTGAAACACCATCACTCCTTGATCAACATGAAATGCATCTCACGCATTCAATACGCCCACTGTGACACTGGAAGGATGATGTTATCACCACATGTGCAGGTAGTTTATTTGCTTCACTTACTAAATGGTACTACACGAGACGGTGGCGGATGGAGGACGAGTGAATTTTCATCGACAAAATAATTATCGCTTACCGAAGCCCATTGACTCAGAATGTAGTCATCTCGGTTGGAACTTGAAAAGGCTATGGTGATAAGCAACAATGATATTCCGCTCGTTCAGTTTGGTTATGAAAGAAAGATTAAGACTGCGAATGGGTCTATTAGGCTCCGCCTTAGTATCCGACTAGTCACTACGTGAAACTATCCGTTCGTGCTCGTATGGTGCAGAGATATCGATCTTGGCGGCCGACATGATTGTGATACACGATGTTTCGGCCTGTGTTTGACACTTCAGGCTCCAAATAGGACCGCTGTAGAGAGATACAGCTTGCGTCCACCGTCAAGAGACAGACTTGAATCACTTTATGCAGATCAACATGCAGAGATATATTCAGCAGGTGAGATGAGATACACATGAGTTCCGAAAATGATACAGGTCTGTGCGGGGACGAATCTGATATCCTAAGATGACAACGTACCTAGCAAAGTGCTGTCGAGCAGGCTCGCGACACGAGGTAATTGTGACTCTCAGTGCTTTGTGGCGTGCCTTTTATTTTAACAGGTGTACCATCGGCACATGCCAGGCTAGTTTTGGATATTCAAACATGGAGCCTATGGCAAGCGCAGCGCCTTTCAGAACAGGTTATACAAGCAAAATGAATAGAAACGTACCATTCAGAATGGTCACAAGCACATCCCAGAAGGTGGGAGACAGGCGGGAAAAGTTTGAGCGTCATAACTATCATTATAGAGGCGTTGCGTCATGCTGAGTTTGGGAGAGAGTCACGGTGGTCCAGGGATTGACGACATGGTTCGTGTTATCCTTGTACTGAGCATATGCATCAGCCATCGCAGCTTCGATGATATATGAATACGTCTGCCTTGCTGATGGAGTGGAGATGTATGCGCGTCGTCCCTCGTATATCGAACATGAAGAAGGATCTATACTTTTGTCCAAGTTTTCCATTTAGAGGTATACTGGGTGTCTCTCTTTAGATTCATACGTCCAGATATACAAAAAAAAACGTACCACAATGCAACGAAAGCAGCTAGTATGCCAGAGGTGCCATCTCTGTATTTTCTTCTCGAGACTATCAACGGTTGTAAGTTGAGCAATATTGCTAGGTGTGAGAAATAACAAAGTACTTTGCAAATATACCATCCACACTCTTTCCGCTGTCGAGCACGCTCGGTACGCGCGTTAATGCGAAGGTGTATTGACCTATGCCGTCGAAACCCAGTGTAGTAGGGCTACCGGCTAATGGTGAGCGGATATTTGTCGAATTACTTAAACGATAAACAAGACACAGTGAAAGGGTTCAACGTTCAAAACTGACGGAGAAGGACGAGTCGGTCAAGAGCAAATCGAGGAGATAGTAATGACCCGAGTGCTCCGACATCCGCCGTGTGCCCGGTACTACTTACAAGCACTGGCAGAGAACGCGTTGATTCATCACGTGAGTAGCATTATCGGAAAAACAGTACGTGGATGTTCCCCGATACTTATCCGAGTCCTGGCTAGTAACTGCTAGCTAGCTTCAGATCACATCTAGCCTACTGTACGCAAATAGTTTGAATTCAATCCTGTTGCCATAATGCCGATACTCCTGCCGTTCCACAAATCAATACTTGAGGAGATTCACGACCCTGCAACTTCAGACTTGCTCATCCTTGCCCGTGGACTTGGACTTCGTCGTACCATATGCACACTCATGCAAATATACGACTCAAAGCAAAGCCTTATTTTGCTCTTGAACGCTTCACCGGAAGAGGAGATTGCCATTGGGGATGAACTGGGTATCATGGGGTGCAGGCGGCCTGGATTGCGGATTGTGGGTTATGAAATGGGAAAGCGGGATAGGTAAGTTATTCATGCTTATGGTAAAAAACGATCACTTTGAGAACGATTCGTAACTATTTGCGTCATTCTTCTGCAGCATATTAACACAACGCTCGCAGACAGGACCTCTACAAGAATGGCGGCCTCATTTCTGTCACCTCCCGCATTCTTATCGTTGACATGCTGCAATCCGACATTCCAACAGAGCTCATAACGGGTTTAATTGTTTTACATGCTGAAAAGTGCGTGACAGCCTTTCTGCGTTGTGTTCGGTGTTGAATCGATGTACTACCTAGGGTCACTGCCCTCTCCCTTGAAGCATTCATTGTTCGGCTGTACCGAGAAAAGAATAAGGCTGGCTTTCTCAAAGCATTCTCGGACCAGCCTGAGCATATCACCAGTGGCATGTCTCCGCTGAAGAACATCATGAAGGAGCTTCAATTAAGACGCGTTCATATATATCCACGGTGGGTGACCTCCTTCCTCACTGATGTTCGTATTTTTTGCCTTCTAGTGCTCTTATTTCCGTCTTTCTCATCTGTTTTTCGCTTTAGATTTCACGAAGACGTCAAGAACACCCTCGAAACGCGTAAAGCAGATGTCATCGAATTGTATCAGCGTCTTACAGAGCCTATGGAGGCAATTCACCATGCGATAGTTCAATGTATGACTATCACACTTTCCGAGCTCAAGAGATCCAATAAGACAGTAAGAATCTTTGAGCTTCCTTATTATCCCCTGAACGGATCCTCATTCATTCATCCCACAGCTTGAACTTGATGATCTCAATGTAGAGTCTGCATACTTCCGTTCCTTTGACGCAGTGGTCCGCAGGCAATTAGACCCCGTATGGCACAAGGTCGGTCCACGGACGAAGCAACTCGTGGGTGACCTCGCGACGCTCAGACGTCTATTAACGTATGTTTTCTACTCTTATAATTGTACACTTTGTCTCTGCTATCTACTATATTTCATGTGTTATGCTGTCCATTTTATACCGCTACTAATCTGGGCTCTCCATCAAGGTACCTATTGTCCTATGACGCGCTCGCTTTTCACGCATACCTTGAAACTCTCGTAGCCTCAAATACCACAACCGTAACTGGCGCAGCTAAACAACATCAGTCCCCTTGGATGCTCACTGATGCGGCTAATATCATTTTTAGCACCGCGAAACGACGGTGTTATGTCCTTACTGCTCCAAAACCTACATCTTCGGTTCCTGAGAGGCAAGTGATTGACGTTGACGATGAAGACGCATGGGCTGCACTTGATGAGGCCCATGGGTTAATAGGAAGCAATAGTAGAGATAATGGGAAGAAGAAGGAAGAGAAGAAACCATGGGTTCCGGATAATATGTCTCCAGTGCTCGAAGAGCTTCCGAAGTGGGATCTCCTTGCAGATGTACTTCAAGAAATCGAGGAAGAGCTAATGAAACAGGAGGCAGTGTCGACTCGTGAGTCCCATTGACCGAAAAACAATTTTCTTGCTTGACGCGCGTCAGGTCCGCCAACTCGCGGGACCAATACGGTACTTGTCATGACCTCCTCTCCACGTTCTTCCACTCTTGTGAGCGAGTTCCTGGGGGAGATGGACGGTACTGCTCCGAAAGGCTCTCGTGGACGATCCATGATGGAGCGCAAATTACGGACATACCTGTATTGGAAAGGCCAGAACGCCAGACAAAAACAACCAAGGTACCAACAACCACCTCGGTTCTCTGCCCCGCAATCAAAGTCATCATCGCAACCTGAGGGCGAGATTAGTGAAGCTTTGAAGAGGAAAGACAAGACGAGACAAGAGCGAAGTGCGAATCGGAGAAGGGTGCGTGGCGGTGCACCGATGACTGTTGCACCAAGTAAGCCAGCAGTTGTCGATCCAAAAGTGGAGTCGAGAGACGATGGAGATGATATCGCAGCCTTGTGCGTCAGGATGCTTGTAATTGTGCATTCCTCACTAAGATTGGATTCAGTCTTGCAAGTCAACCTTCAGACCTCCTTGTTTCCTCCGATGCAGACGCTCTCCTCCTTGAAACGCTTCTGTCAAGCGAAGCAGAAATAGACTTTGACACGCACTACGGCTTGCTTGCGCCCTCGCAGACGGTTGTTGTGCGAGCATATACTGATGACACGGACGACCAGATTCTCGCAGAACTGCAGCCGAGATTTATTGTGATGTTTGAACCCAACCTAGATTTCGTGAGGCGCATCGAGGTTAGTCTTTCATCTGAGAGATGTTGACATCCTTGAGTTTGATGCGGCAACTTGATAGGTGTACAGAAACTCTAACCCTGGTATGGGCGTCCGTGTATATTTCATGGTTTACCAACTCTGTTGCGAGGAGCACAAGTACCTTGCTGGACTGAGACGCGAGAAGGAATCTTTCGAGAAGTTGATCAAGGAACGCGGAGTACGTCGCTTTGTTTCACTATCTTGCGCGTGGTGCAAGTCGTTCATTACCATGTCTAGTCTATGCTCCTGCCGATCTTCGAGGACAAACACGCTGGGAAAAGTGATGCAGTCATTAAAACAATCAGCACCCGTCTCGCAGGCGGAAGGAAAGAGCTGAGTACTATGCCATCGCAGGTAATCGTCGACATGCGTGAATTCCGTTCCACACTACCTTCGCTTCTTCACGCATCTGGCCTACTCGTTATTCCGGCGACGCTGACTGTCGGAGATTACATCCTCACGCCGGATATCTGCGTCGAGAGGAAGAGCATACCTGATTTAGTTGCGAGCTTCAATAGCGGTCGATTGTAAGTCTCTCGGATTCGTGCTTCTTTATCGCTGACGAGTTGCAGGTACACGCAATGCGAGCTGATGTCGGTGCACTATAAGCAGCCCGTATTACTCATCGAGTTCGAGGAGAACAAATCGTTCTCACTTGAGGTACATCTCACACGACAGATCTCCAAAGATCTAGTGTCTCACCTCTCTTTCAGACGGTAGCGGAATCAGCAAAGTCGTATGCCAAGCCCACAAGCAAATATCCCGCGAAGAAATCAACAGGTCCAACAGATTCTGATCGCGCTCCTCCTTCTATCCAATCCAAACTTGTTCTCCTCATGCTCCACTTCCCTCGTGTTCGAATCATTTGGTCGTCGTCACCCTATGGTACAGCAGATATATTCAACGACCTCAAAGCTAACGCCTTCGAGCCGGACCCTAACCGCGCGATTGCAATCGGCGCCGAGGAAGACACAGAAGCGGGCGCAGGTATCAACGCTGCTGCAGAGGAGCTGCTCCGGTGTCTACCAGGAGTGACAGCGAAGAATGTTCAATATGTGATGAACAAGGTGGGGAGTGTCAGGGAATTGTGCGAGCTGGACAGAAAGGGCGTGCAGGGTATTTTGGGTGTTGAACCGGGGAATGCGTGTTATGACTTTATGCATCGGGGAGAGAGGAAGACAGGCGGTTTATGACCTTCGTTTGTGTTAGAAGGCAAGGTACTCGTCGAAATGTTGGATTAAAATCGTACATGATTTAGAAAACATGAAGGCGAGGATGTAGAACTGTTAGTCGGTCTTGTTCACGGCTGCTCTGTAAAAATATAACGTTGAAACGAAACATGGGCACGCGTTGAGAGATTTGAACACTTCGTCGTTATGTATGCGATTTACAAACTCAGACCCCGTGCCAAGTCAACAAGTAGCGCTGATATATAAACGGTTAATGAAGCACAGTCGAATTACCAAGTACACGAGATACGTCAAGAATGTCCATTGGGTATCGACATGCCAGCTGGCATGTACAATAATATAAATATATCATACGAGAAAATAAAAACGAATTCTCCTGCTCCCGGCTCTCCACATCTTTTGATCAAATTCGGCGCATCTCGTGCTACACACTATTGCTAGTTTGCACATGCACGCGCTCCTGGAAAGCAATTGAACTCATGCCTGTTGCCGCATAGGACTCAGCCTCGACTCGAGCGTAATGTTCTCGAATCCAAAGGATTAGGCGCGGTCCCAGCACAAATAATTGCATGAGCGAAAAAATACTGGCAGCACCAGCATAAATCGGAGGTCCTAGGGAATTTGGGTCCTATAGAAACGATGAACAGCGATCCATATATAGAGGTCAGAGAAAGTTCGGCATACCGGCGTTGAGAACGCAGGAGACAAATAACTTAGCTCAAGGCAAGAAGCAGCAACAAAACTAGTACGCATGAAATTTCAATCGAAGAAAAAGAGAGCACATTCGCATTATCAGCTCACCTTGCAAAGTAAGCCACGTGGGATTTCATTAATACCGCTAAACCGTCCTCGATGACATCTCTGCCCGAACGCCGTCGCAGTTCACGAAAGTGTTTTACAGCAACCCAGGCTGTAAGACATACTGCGACGACCTCCCATGCGGTCATGAGTATCCAAGTCACGGTATACATAAGTGTACTATCTCCCCTCTGGAAGACGACCTTACACCGATAGGTGCAAGAAAGAATGAGCTCCTCTTGCAATCGTCAATGAGCCTTGTGCAGCGGTATTTAATACATGAATGAGCTCACCCCCTGACAAATGGCTCGTTGCTATTACGGCGAAAGCGCAGTAGATGATGATGACAGCCAGGAAGGTAATAATGAGAAATATCATGACCTTTCTGGATCCCTGATATACAGCACGTAACCGAACGACCATGATGACTTGCGTGATGTTTCAGTCAAATTGACACGATTAAGACATTGGAGCTGCATAGCTCACCGCCTATTATTACAGTTGCGACGACGTTTACCCAATTTTGTATGATGGACACGATAAGACCTCGAATGCAGTCAGTGATCAGCCTCAGAGGATTACGCGCTCGATATAAACTCACAGCTGTGGTGGTTATTATATTGGACTAACAAACTAATCAAGGATCTCACTCACCCCTAAATGAATGCGCAGTTTAGTGGATGGGAACGGCAGGAATATAGCAGAATACTCACTGTACCCGTCATCGAAATTGTCGGAGCATTGTCTGTATGCCACCGGTCAGAAGAAACAAACATCGTGTAAGCGATGAGCCATACACATTATGTTGATGCTGAGTGTGAGAGACGGATTGATTAGCACAATACAGTCGTTTAGCTTTCCAGACATACACAACAAATACAATTCCAAAATAGCGCACCTAGGATATCTTCAAGTTAGCACAAATTGTTGGTCATATTATGATGCAAGTTACACACACTAAGATACAGAAGGGTCATCAGCGACCATCGTTGCCTCTGTGAATAAATCATATATGTGAATTAGCTTTTCGGATTGGGATTCTGCTCACCCAGACGAGTTCGATCTATCATACTATTCTCAGCAGCGTGACTGCGCCAGTAATAGTATCAACCCACCTCTTGTCCAAACGTCAGCGCTGGCAACACCGTCAGAACACTAGTGATTCTATAGCATGATGTTGCTCACCCCAATCATATATCACCCCAGCAGAAGAAGCAACTGCGAAACCACAGGCAAGGTTAGATTGACACATCACCATCATCATACAGTTGGCTCTCCACAAACCTGCAAAATAACTATAGATGAGAGCTACGTTGATCATTTGAGACTCAGATCATACTACTGTTCGAGGATGGATGTGAGGCACGGCAGACTTGGTGGTTTTGTGCTGGATACATCCAGCCCATTTATATGTGGTTGAAATGAGCACTATCATGATTCGATGATGTCGGCAGTGACGAATATTTAAAGACTGGTCACTAGTGGCTAACAATTGATTGTTTCAAGTGTTGATACCTATTTTTGAGACGAAGTTCTTATTGTGAGTTGCAAATGAAGGTTCCATCAGTGAATCCACGTAGTCCATTGATCTAGGCATCAGGCGCAGTGTTTGAAGTTCCAGTGGCAGGCCATTGGCTGGTCAGAAAAGAAGACATGGCGGTTGCCACCGCCATGAACATGGCTATGGCCTTTTCTCATCACGTAACAGATAACCGCTTGCCAGATTGCGGATATAATGGAGCGCGCACATGGCGTCGACACCATATATATTGGAAATCGCTCCGTATGTAGAATACCCCTAGTCCACTTCATAACATGCAGACCCAAATTTTCTCCCACCCATAACCAAGACCACTATACCAGCGTAATTTAGAGAGGGACAACCGTAAATGGGTACCATCAGATCGAATAGCCTCCTCTCCAGGACTAGATATAGTCTCAGTCCCAGTAAACGCATCTATTGTATTAGGAATGCCGTTTTGGGCCTTCAGCACGGTTGCGGGAAACGCCAGCAACTCCATATGCATATCAACTCCCCTATTGCTCAGCCCACTCACACTGACGGGAGCTTGGGTACGCGGGTACGGTAGTGTGACAATTTGAAGGCTCTTGAACGAAGCCAATGGAGCAGTCTTCATCCAATCAGGCAGGCGATAGTCCTGAGATGAAATCAGCGGCTGGGGGGACGTGTAGTCGCGGTATACGTATGTGATGCTTGAGAGGCGACAAATCGAAGCAAGGAAAGCAGACCCTTGGGGAGTGTCTGTGAGGCTGTTCCACTTTGTGCGGTGGATGGGGTTCCCAACTGTTAGGGACAGTGTTTGAGTCTTCCAGGGAGGCCGGGAATGCTCTTCGTTGACAGGTGTGGCTGGACGGGACTTCCATGCGTGTTCTAGACATTCTATAAGAAGGTCCACACTTTTCCAACTGAGGGCAAGTGATGGCGCAGCGAACATCACCGGAGTGAGAAGGCTGATGGCATGTGAACGCTCAGACGCAGGTGTGAAATTGTCATCTGGGGGTCCAATCCACATCTTGCGCACGCGTGATGCGTAGTTACATTGAAACGCGCTGTTTGCCTTCTTGTATGCTTCTTGTATAAGCAGGGCTTGCACGAACGCTGTCACGTTTCGAGATTTCGGTAGTAGTATAGTGTGCAGGAGTTCGGGAAGCGCCGCGCGCCTGAAAATTTTGGAGACGAGACAGAGATTAAGTGCGGATGAATATGGACTTATGCGATCATATCTTTCATCTTGGTCAAAGGTGGGTTGCGCGGCATATATAACGACGATGTGGACAAGCTCTATGGGAAGGTCAGCAAAGCAAAAATGAGCCATGACGGGCGAGCAAGATGTGAAGCTGGTTTGAAGAAGCCCTGCCTTTAATACTCGCCTCATTTATTGTAGCGTCATACACAGCAGTGTAGGCACATTGTGGGTGAGACCATGCGCTGTGGCCTGGTGGTCTATAGCAGCGTCCTTGTTCCTTGTAGGTTGCACAATGTGCTCGGGCCCTGTGAAACTTCAAGGTTTCATAGTAATGATGCAAAGGTAGCACGAACCATAGAAGTATTCTTACTTCTGACCAAACTCGAAGCACGTCCACAATCTCATTCAGCTCCTGTGGTGCGGCAGAACCTCCATAGCACATGATTCATTGCCGAGTTTGAGTTTCTCCTGAGCGAATTCAACTGTTTTTGAGCGATACGGATCCTGCGATTGAACGTATCAAACATTTAGTATTGCAGGCCTGATGGCCGTCAGCTTGAATATAACCAAATCTCCCTGATCCATGAATAGTACCGTGACCGATCACTCCTCCACCTCTCGTAGTTCCACGTAAAATGCCTTGTTCATTTCTCGAACCATGCTACACAATTGATCAGGTCAACAATGGTCTGAGAACGAATATTAATTCCCCCAACAAAACTATTTCGTTCACCTCTTCCAGTTGTGCGTGCCGCTAGATTAGGATGAGTTGCAATGACGAGAAGAGACGCCGGCAATGAAGAGGTAAGGCACTGATGCGGGTGTGTAGAGAGAAGTAGGTGGAACAGTCACTCAAGAAGCTGATGTAGATTACAAATGCTTTCAAGATTGGCAATTTGAGAAGATCGAAATTTCGAAAACGTCGTAGTACGGATGCAGAGGAAAGGACAACCGGTTCCAGGATGCAGACTTCACCCGATTTTGTTGGCTTCCTTTAACCTTCTGACGGTCCATTTGAGGATTTGAAGCCGAGAACCCGTTGCGGTTCAATATGGTTGGTTGACCTACGGTTCAAAAGTCTTGCAGTCAGCTGACTCAGCTCGATATGTGCCATATATGCACATATTAGTACCTTGCTACGCCAGTCCACATGCATAACTTTGGCCAAAAGGATGTGCGGGAAGCGGGACGCAACCTTGCGTCTATAGAGCTATTACAATTAACATTCTTTCTATTCTCCAGTGCTACCAACTTTCATCCTGGCCACCCTGGCATGCTATGATGCTGACCATCTGAGTCTCACACCAGCTTCGACTCGGATGTATCCCTAGTTTGATGCGCAGGAAGGCTTCCTGCGAAATCTGGGGGGTGTCATGCGGAAATCATGCGCTGGCAGTGACAGAAGCAGGAAGCAGGAAGAAGGAGGGTTAAGGCACTTGATGACATTCTAAAATTACGACCTGCATTAACATATTATTATTACGTAGCGAGCGCTCTTCGAGACGGTTTATATGTAAAACATTGTCACATTCGATTGCCTGGCCATAGAGTCACCACATCAAGGCGACCTCGCGCCGCATCATCGAATTATTATCATCACTGTGTGACCAACTCAAATGCATCGTCCCATTAGACGTCCAAGCCGGCGCCGGGACTCGTTGATTTTACTGCCGAGCGAGGCCATCCGTCGAATTTTGTCAAACCTAGATTGGAGAGCTTTATTGAGGCTAAAACTCGTAGGGTTTTCTGAGACTGTATCTACCTCAGTACTTACACCTACTGTTAGGTATGCAAATTTCTCTGCTCGGTGGTGGACGAAAGTCCTTCTGCCCAATATACCATTGAGTTAGCTGTATGCGGCATGGAGGATGGTGCACGAACACAACTCACTGCCGCATCAAAACTTGCATTACTCAAGGAGCGCAATGCCTCCTGGGAGGCATTGCAATGGGCAGAGTCACAAGACTTAACACTGCCCCAGGGGGACAATATGGCCTGGGAATTGTGTGCAGGCGTGTATGCACAGTTTAGTGTGTCGGGCGCTAGTACTATGCGTCTGTATCGACTCCCTTCGCAGTGCCGCAACATTCCAGCCAGTTCATGGAGGATACCCTTACTTAGCGACACCAAGGACTTTACAATGGATCCCGCCCAAGATCTCCTGGTGCTTGTTGAGAAACCTATCCTGATGTATGTTTCTTTCCTGGCGCATGTTCTCTGATTCTGAAACAAGTCTATAGTCCGGCCCACAATAATACAAAGTCTTATATACGGATTCGGATACACTCACGATCCCTCACCACTGGACATAGACATCCATCTGCGGTCGAAGTCATTGATCATCATCTGACAAACTTGAAATGGATCTTAGCATCCAAACATGCAACGAGTTCCTCGCCATCTTATTTATTGTTAAAAACAATACTTCAGAGCTCGTTGTCTGGAAGTGGAAGAAAGGCGAACTGGTACTGGTGAGTCAAGATGAAGCTGAGTCTGTTGTTATTCTGATATCTATTCTAGAGATCCTCTAGTCGCAAAATTACCACCTTCGCCTTCCTCACACCTCACCTTCTGTTAGTGGGAACGGTGATGGACGAGACTGGAGTCACGGAGCCTCGACTTTTCGTTCTGGACATATCAAAACCTTCCACCAACAAGGTTGCCCTCACCGATTATGTTTGCGTTTTTGGATTCCCATCTTTTGACTTTGTGGTTAGTCCTATGAGGATCGTAATTTGCTCTGACCCATCGCCCGAATGGAAGCCTAACCCAGAGGCACATGTTCCCTTCTCCATAGCACGTGGACAACGACTCTTCCTCATTACCACTTGGGTTAAAGAGAACCAGGAAACCGTCTCATATGACCTATTCGTACCAGCAAACATATTGTTATCTTCTGTCATGGCCCTTACTCCACAGACTCGTCGACGTGTTATCAACTGGAACGAGTGGGGTCCCACAGGTACCCGCTTTTTGAAGTCCCCACCTCACTCTCATGTCTGGACCGGATACGTGTTTGGAAGCAGATTTATTTCACTCGTAACATCACCCAAAGCCACTGCAGGTCGACACTCGCAGACCTTACAAATCTGGGATTTCAACCAACTTGCATTGAAGCGAGCCGCAGCGTTGGGCTTTGAGAAGGAAAATATGCGTCTTGTAAACGACACAACAGTCGTAAAGGACAAGATGTTCGTTGAGAGGGTCCGTACGAGCCTTCCTTACTCAATTACCACTCGCACACTTCCTCCTCCTCGCTCCCCCGGAGAACCGACATTCACTGATGCAATGTGCGGCGAAGATAGTATTTTACTTCTAAAGGTGAGTCTCCTAACTTCATTTCGTATTTTTCACTGACCTTTTTTCTTTCTTTTCATTGTAGTATGACCTTCATCACCGTCATCTTCGCATTCTGACATTCTAGATTGCTAGAGAATGGTTCGACAGATTTTGAACAATTTTTCTTGAGCGCCTGCCACCAGTAGCCGTAGAATTGATGTATCAGTCCTCATGATAGCGCAACAAAAAGTTGTACATTAATGTGGTCATTCTGCGCAGTGAGGTGACTTACAGCACTTATCAGATGTATCGGAGTGGCAGCGCTGCCATTTACACAGTAAGGATTGAGGCTCTCTACACCCACTGACTGGTTTGAAAGTCTGGCCTTAAGTTTCATGTGGGTGCAAGCTGCTTGAAGCTGCAGAGTCGCACCAAGGGCATGGCATTCGATCTTAGTCGCTTATCGACAGAGGTTGATGATAGAGTGCGACATGAAATGGGAGTTGGAATAGGTCAAGTCGGAGAAGCACTACTTCAGTTCAACGATGTAATTAGAGATCACGATAGGGATGGATGTCTCAGAGGGGACGACATACGGCGTTGATTGAGGAGTCGATTGCGACGATGTCTAAGCTGTAACTTCGTTTGAAATCAAAAGGGTTTAGGTGGTGATGATGAAACAATCAAGCAACATAGATATCACAGGATGCTTGAGATAGAATGGACGGTTGATTGCGACTGTATTCAAAGTCGATAGATGGCTCGTGGTTGAACTTTGCAGTTGAGTTGAAAAGATAAGCGGGCGCTTGTCTGGCTGCAGGTCCGACCTGGAAGGCACGAGGCTGTTGCACAGGACGTTTAGGGTAAGTACTAAACTAAAATTCGACTTGGAGAATGTCAAAGTTGGATTCCAGACCTATGGACGCGTACCGTCAATCATGTATTGTGTACCAATACAAATAGTACTCCAAGAAAGGATGCTGTCATATAAATGGAGGAAACAACCAAATGAAAAAAAAGACAAAGGATGGTGTAATATCTACTCATCATCACTTGGCGTCAGGCAATCATCATAGCTGATCACTTGTTTGCGACCAGCACTCCGAGCTCTGCCTCGCTGCGGTCGTCCATAGGCGTCAGCCTTTGAGATGCGATTCTATTGAGTATAATACGAATTGGTGCATGTAAAAGTAGGGAATTATCTCAGTTTTTTGTCCATACTCCACGACAAACACGTTGCGACACTCACCGTATGAAATACCTTCCAGCACCGCCAACGTTAAAGTGTCCATATCCGAAGGGATGCCAGCCTTGGCGGGGAGATGGTGTGTGCATCGAATGTTATATAAGTGATTGCATTGGGTGCAAGTCTGCAGGGTGACCGAGGTGGGACTCGATCTAGTGGTGACATCAGAGCATGGAGAGTCGAGACACATATGGGAGCATACTGAAGAAGAATAAAACGGCAACTATAGTACTACTTCCTGAACTTCCCGGGTGTTGCCGAAATTCTTCTGTTGTGGCTAAATATACTGAGAAGCAGACTCGGACTCCACGGACCACGACACAACAATTGCAATCTCTTGTCTCCTGAGACTCTCCTGCATGTATACCTCTCTTGTCTACCTGCACCACCCAGTACATCTCTTCGCCCTCAATCTTCCAGCACCTGCCACCACTAGCTGTAGAATTGATGTATCACTTCTTATCATGATAGCGCAACAAAAAAGTTGTACACATTAATGTGGTCATTCTGCAGTGAGGTGACTTACAGCACTTATCAGATGTTTCGGAGTGACAACACTGCCATTTACACAGTGAGAATTAAGGTTCTCTACACACCCACTGACTGGTTTGAAGTCTGGCCTCAAGTTTCATGTGGGTACAAGGAGCTTGAAGCTGCAGGGTCGCACCAAGGGCATGACATTCGTGACCAGTGATCCGATACAGTGGTAAGTTCTCCGGTACGACTATCATCACACGAGGAACACTTGCCTGAACTTGAACTTATCCACCTTAGAATCTTATCTCGTCCCGCTTGTCGTGGTGCTAGAAGCTCTGATGTGTCATTTTTCAGATACTGCTGCGTCACGAGTGCCAATTCTATGGGAAGTTTTGCCATCTGCATGGTGAGCTCCCGAGTTATTCCCCGAGCGATATTTACATACTGTGTTGCCAGCGAAATTGAATCTGGCAATCCATAATCATGTTGTCTTCCTCAACGCAAGGCCTCGTCACACAAGTTGAGCTCGGGAGCACGTATGGAGCACTTTTCATTGGGGCCATTATTGCAGCCATGTGAGTGGAGTTCGAACTATCCGCTTGCTTTTCGGACGAAACTGACACCGCCTGTGTCTCATCAGTCTTTTTGGTTTGACCAACGTTCAAGCTTTCATCTACTTTAAGACGCATAGGGACACAGGCAGAACATTCTTTAAGCTGGTCGTTCGTCCATGCTGCCTTCTTTCCAGTTCTGTCTTTCACGCTATATCAACAGGTCCTCTTATTGTGGCAAGTCTTCCTTCGAGTTTGGCTTGTCGAGCGCATGACAGTCATGCCACACCATGAACTTTTACAAGATACTTGATGCTTTTCACCTGATCTTTATCGTTCATTGCATCTATTATTATTTAGTGACCCACTTCGCGAACATTGGTGCACTCACAGAAATTGTATGGAGTTTTAAAGTGAGTTTTTTATGTAGCTTCTGTTATCATATTGATAAACTCGTGCAGCTTCAGATAATATTTGACGTAGGTCGTGTTTCCTGAACTTTGATCCGCCTCAAGTACGCACCCCACAGGTCCCCATCATCCATGGGGTACAACTGTAAGTATGATGTGCAGTATCACATACAATGTAATACTTCCTCATTTTATAGCCTGTATGCTCATCGTATATGGACAGGTATTTGTCCTCTTATCTATGGAGTGGATACACAATTTATGAACCTAGTCAGCAAGGGCCGATCAAGAGTTCTCCCGATTATAGCGGTGGGCTTTTTATAGACGTTCACGTCTTCATTTTGGAATTTGATGATGTTGCACTATTAGGGCATATTCGCGGTCCTAAGTTCAAGTGAGTGTATCGCCCTGAAATATTTCTCAATCGTGAATTATGCCATTCAGGTTTATCCATCCGTAAGAGTTCAAAATTGCTCTTGTTGGCTCGTCATTTCTACTTTGAATGTTAACCCGATGATAGCCCTTCTTTGGGCGCTGTGAGTAGAACAGTGGACTCTCTTACTCCACGAAGTGTTGATTGCGAGTAGATTTCAGTGTCACCTGTTCTCTGACTTGATTAGAGTCGAATGGGCGACATACATGGCCTTGACCGTGATTAGTTGTGGTGATGTCCTTAATACATCATTACTGTGCTATCTCCTCGCTACCTCACGTACAGGGTTCTCTATGTAAGGGCCGGGCCGTTCGCGGTCGGAATCTGATAAGCCAACGCAGCGTCTTAGCACCGATTCTTCTATACAAAAACTCATGGGTTTAATCATCGAAACTGGCTGTCTTACAAGGTGATTCTCCTTACAGCCTGTTCCGTCTCTTAACTCATATTTCGTGCAGTGTGTGTTCGGTGACAGCCATCATTACAGTGAGGTCCCAGTTACTGTACTGTCCCCTCACGGCTCTGAGAGTCACCTACAGTGTGCAGTGATGCCGAAGAACTACATCTTTCTCAGTTTTGAATGTTTATTGGCTAAATGTAAGATCAAAACATTATCCGAGGATCGTGCTGACTAATGATATGGTGTTAAGTACATGTCAACTCGTTCATCGCACTCCTGAACTCGCGATACTACCTGCAGGCCAACAGAGATAGTACCGTTTCCTCCAAATCCAATGTCAGACACAGCGTCTACCTCTCGGAGCGGTACTTTCCCTCGTCACAAGACGAGAGACTCAAAGGAGAACATTTTAATCATGCAGATGATGAAGTAACAGTGCATCCCGCTCGACCTGTCCAAGCTGGTAGTTGTGTTAGTGTCGATGAGACGGAAGCCACAGCGTCTACTTGCGGTGATATTGGAAAGAAATTATATCTCGAATTCGTATGATGGGATCGATCGATTGTTACCCGCTTATTCTTACCTATACCATGTATTGCTGTTCCGAGAACACGTTGAACCAAATCAGTGAGCAGGTACTATGGCTCGGTTTGTAGATCTGAAACTTAAAGCAGCCCATCAATACAACAAGGGACCAGTACTATAGTAGTGCCATCAAGATAAGATAATGGTCACGGAACCACAATGCAACTTGAGGGACCAAGTTGGACTCGCTATCTGGTGGTCTCATCAATGTAGCACGCAGCAGGCTTGGAGTAGTACCATCAAAAATTTACCTAATACTAAGGACACTCAGGCCTAGGCTAACCCGGACATCATCCGATGGCCGGATGATAATTTTGCAACTCCGAATCCGGGTCGGATATCATAATCAATTACTTCCTTCAAGGCTTAGTCTGACAGCGGTAGCTAATACGTACCTGCTGCGCCCAGCTCCGTGCAACCTGGACAAAATTCAGGAAATAATATTGCGTCTATTTTCCCTCATTATTCCTATCGTTGAAGATCTGATGCTGCTGGAACACATGTGTCTTCAATCATAGAAGAATGCATTAATGAACTTTGAAAACTGCGCACCACCTCAACCGCTATTAAATTTACCGATCAGTTTCAACTGGAAGGAGATCAAACCGGATGTCACGGAAGATGTAGCGCCCCGTATATAACTAAGGTTACGAAGGTCCTTGGCCCTTTGTCGGAATGCTGTCTACAAGGAAAGCCGTTTGGCTTTTTCTCGCCTTTGAACGGGTTCTGACTGCACAGATACCTTTGTCGAGCCATCCGCCTCTATCCTTCTACCCGGGGCCCGAAAATGATCTTGGACAGTGGGACCTTGATGAAGGACCTGCGGTGAACGCGACAGGACATCTAGTGTTCGAAACGGTCAATTCTCTGCTTCAAAACTGGCCAAATACACGTCATCGTATTGGTATGTCTGAAAATACTGAACACCACGCAGATTCATCATTTATGTCTTGCAGGTCATACAATAGTCACAGGGATCATTCCCGTGGGCACTCTTCTCTACCATGGAGCTGCTGGTCCCCATTTACCGACTGCTTTGGATT